TGCATACTATCTAGACTGTATAACATATTCAGAAATTGGATAATTCTGTTCATGGAATTGACATAGCAATAAATATTAATCAAAGAATCCACTGTGCCATTATGTAACATTTATTGCAGCATTTACTTCCGTTAACAAAGCAAAAGATTGGAATAGTTTGCTTATTCCACATATACTTCTTGATTACAGAGCATAGAGTTACAATCAAGACATCTTAATGCATGAAGAAATTATTTTCATTGGATTTTTTAAAAAATATGTAGTTTTATCAATGATGAGTTTAAGGGAATGCAATTAGTGACTGCAAGAAGACTTTATTATTTGACGACATTTATTATAGAAGTGTAAATCTAACAGTACTTTCATGTGATGCAGAATATAGTTATTTTATTAAATTTTGTCATGTTTACCTGAAAATAATGAATGAATCATTTGTTTCATCTTATTCATAACCGAATGAAATTTAAGTAGTGTTAAATTAAATTCCTTCAAATTTATTCATTCAATTTCTTTTCGGCTTAGTCCCTTTATGAGGAATGAACTGCCAACTTATCCAGCATATGTTTTACGCAGCTGATGCCCTTCCAGCTACAACCCAACACTGGGAAACACCAATACACACTTGCATTCACACACATACACTATGGCCAATTTAGCTTACTCAATTCACCTGTACCGCATGTCTTTGGACTATGGGGGAAACCAAAGCACCCAGAGGAAACCCACATGAACACAGGAAGAACATGCAAACTCCACACAGATCCAGCTGGGGCTCGAACCAACAACCTTCTAGCTGTAAGGCGATCATGCTACCTACTGCGCCACCTGGACACACTTCCTTTAAATTAATTAGCAAAAACAAAATGTGCTTTTCAGTATTTTCTTTATTTTAGCTTTATGCGCAGAGAAAAAAAATCAATGCATCCATTTAGGTTAATAATCTTTTCAAACATGAATCCAGTCAATTACTTGTGCTGCTAAATCTACCAGCTTAAGAGTTTATTTTTATGAATAAAGCTCTTTAAACTAGCTTAGAAATGTTTTGAATGAGCATGTTAATGAATAGTATTCTTTATTGAAGTCCTTGACATCCAGCTATTGCACATCCACACAGTCCATTTGGCTTTCCAAGAAAAATAAAAACAATGATTTGCTTTATTAAAGGGACTTTTTCAATCAAATGTTTTTCCTCACTGTAATATACCTCCTAGGTCTACGGAAGAATAGAAAAATAAATAATGCATATGCATAATAGAGACTGATTAATTTTGCAATAACTGCTTTATTTTAGATTTTAAATAGCAAAATACTCCTTTGAATTAAGCTTTATTGATAATCTTGTTTTTTTTTTTTTTTTGTCTTAACACCTTGGTAATCCTTAAGTTTAGGTCACCATTCATGCTATTAACTACTGGCTTATTACCTGCATATCATTAAGATATTAACTGTTCATTAGTATTGTATTCTGCATCCTTAATTCTACCCCAAACCTAAACCAAACTACTACCCTACTATTAATAAACAGCTAATTAGTAGTTTTTTTAAGCTACTAGTGTTTGTTAATGGTTTGTTAATACTGTAACTTGTGAACTAAAGTGTTACCAACACCTATAATCTTATGCGCTTTAGCTAATTGTGACAGCATTATTAGAAAACTCTGTAACACTTTGTAATAACTGCACACTACAAATCATTTATTAAGCATTAGCAAATAGTGAATTCCTTATCTGTTAAGTATTAACTCTACATTAACAGATGTTAGTAAGCAGTTTATATTTGCAGCTTTTATTTTTATCTTACATATTTTGTTGGGTGGATCTCGGGCTTTGTTCACAATTAAATGTTCAATAAAAAAAAAGATAAAATTAATAAAAATAAAAAAAAGACCCCAAACTTTTGACCGATAGTGTAAGTATTATTATAAGGATTCATGTGTGTGTAATTGGTCATCAATTTATTTTTAAAAAAAAACACATCTAGATATAACAAGACAGGTGACATAGCTTGACAACTAAATCAACAACAATAATGTAATTAAATATCATTTGTTTACAACAGGAACCAAGATGGTTTCATTGATCGTGAGGAGTTTGGGGATATCTTGCATGCCACTGGTGAGCCTGTGGCAGAGGAAGACATAGATGAGCTCATGGCCGATGCAGACACAAACAAAGATGGAAAAATTGACTTTGATGGTAAATGTTATTCAGTTTTTCTGTGTCTCCCTCAGAAAATAAAAATAAAAAACAGACAAAACTTTTAAAGAACCATTTTTCAGCCTTTCTTTAAAGACCTTTTGCACTGGAACGGTTCCATAGATGTTAAAGTTCTTTGTCCATTTTTATTTTTTAATGTTAAAGTATATTTAAATATAAATACATATGTGTCCATGGGATTTTCCTGACCTCCAGATATTATAATACCATGTTTGAGATGCTTAAGGAAATTAATTTGTGCAATATTTTATCCCATACAAATGAATTTGTTCAACATATCATCCCTTTTTTCCATTTTTATTGCAGAGTTTCTCAAAATGATGGAGAACGTGCAGTAAGAAAAATTCCATTTCATCCCCTCCAGCGGCAACTGAAAGCAGTCAAGATGTTCAAGAGCATCTGAGTGAGATTTTTGAAGAAAAAGAAAACAATGAGACAAATCGATAATGCTTGAGATAGTATGCAATGTGCTTTGAGGAACAGGAGAAATTATAGATGAGTGGTACCTTCTTGCCGTTGTTCCTCAAGGACCGCACTGTGATGGCGCCTATAAATAACCATCCAAACCTTTTTAAAAGGAAACCACTTACCCCTCACTCAGCTGTCCCCCACTACACCTGCTTCTTCCCCAGACATTCTCCAGCCCTCTGGCCACGTCCCCTCACCCTTTGCTGTTTTAAAATAACCCTGCTACAGTATTTACCTCAGACGCAGACTTCATGCTGTGTTGTCATGGTGATAGGAAACCTCTTATTTTTCCAACTGTATCTTTGCAAATTGATTAAAAAGGCACTTTTGACCTATATGCTTCTATATTTTGGGAATATTTTGCTTTGATTTTATTATCCAAAATAGTATTGTGTGATTTCAGCGCTTTTTTTATATTTTAAAAGTAGAAAACCTAAAAGTGGTTGTTATGAAGCCAAATATCTCAGTTCTAGAAGTTAATACTGAGACTCATGTGATCTTCTGACACACCCCGCCAATACTTTCACTACTCCCCATCAGAAAAACAAGATCAGCCCGCCATCATGGTTTCCAGTTGCCCTGGTCCAAAATAGACAACACTTTGAGCGTCCAGCAGATCCGTAGTGTTGTCGTTTGAATTTGCCTTGGTCTCTTCTTTTCATACTTTAGAAGGAAGGTCAAGAAAGGTCATGAAAAAGATCAATTTTAAATCCCAAAGACCATTGCCTGTAGTATGCTAGTTATATAAGTTGAGGTTAGAGGCAAAAGGTCAGATTTCCCTCAGGTTTTCTTCTTACTGCGGGAAACGCCAGTTGATCCTTCAGGTCATACAGTACTGTTGGAGGTGTAATCTCATGCCACTTCTGTAGATGCAATGATTTCTCAACTTCTCTGCTCGCCTTTTAAATCACTCCATTTCTGCTGGAAAGTATAGGGTCTGTAACCTCCTCCTTCTCAAACGTCCTCATGATTCCTAGCTCAGGAAGTGCATGCCTTAGATGGAAACTGGGGTTTATGCTCTTTGGGATTTGGGGTACCTGTGTCTCCATTTGTGTTGTTGAGTTCTGGGTGGAGATCTAAACCGACTGCTATTCAGGGCACAGGGAAGATTTGCAACACAGCACCTTCCCAGGCGGTTTAGGGTTTCTTGGCTTGACTAAAATGGGAGAGGTGTAGAACGCTCTCGCCTCTCACCATTTTAAAATTCAATTTCCATCTGCACACATTAATATTACATATAAATATTTACACACATAATTTATTATGTTACAGACGTATGTTACATGTTTAAGAGTATAAAAACTCATTGGAGCTGTAACTACACTGTACGATTTATATGCTCAATTAGTCATGACAGCATATGTTTTTAGTTTATCGTAACTTATTAAACTAAGTTAATCATGTTCTAACTTAATTTTATAAGCAAGCTGTTTTAAGTCAGTTTAACATTATATAAGTTCAATAGACTCATATGGTTAATTTGCTTACGCTTAAAATGTTAAGGCAACCAGTATTTTATTTACAGTGTACTCAAATGGTACTCTTGCTCTTTTAAGTTACTAATATGTCAATTTTAGGTAGCGATTAAGGTCTTCGACTTTTGAGGTGAATTGATAAAAAAGCTTTTAGCAAAATCCGGATGTCATTAGAAAATTCAACAATTCACCAAACACAATATTTAACTGCATATATCCATTTACAAGGGTGACCTGGCCAAGAGGTCTGCAACACAGAACTTCATGAATGAAAAGAAAAAAGAAAGGAAATTAAAGAAAAGATAAGAAAAATATGTAATAAATTATACAGTTTAGTCTTTCAGAAATACAAAACTACAATGCAAAAACACATCCACTGAGAAATGGATTCTTATTGTTTGCCGTGTAAGATAGAATGAAATAGCTCAATCTGAATAAGTTCAGACATTTTCAGTTCAGACTGAAGAATATTGCAGTATGAGGGGGCGGCATGACTAAAGACTCGCTTCCCTATTTCAGTCCGAACCCGACGAACAGTCAATTGATAAATGCCACTTGAACATAGTGCATAGTGGCTTTTTATCAGCATAAGCATTTTATTGTGTCTTTCATCAGTTCCTCCAATAAACACAGGCCTGCAGCAGTAGAACTGTTACCATTTTCCTGTATTCTTGAAGACTGTTCTTTAAGTGTACTCCTTTCTCATTTCTATTGGCTTGTGGGAGCTGCCGAACCCTAAAAGTTCAGGATTCTAAATCTGGAGGTGTGTGGGCGGGTCTTGGGTGGCCTGTTTAAAGTGTGTCAGAACTGTCACTTGATGTCTAGTCTTTCTGTTGGGGTGCGAGCGTGTTGACCACTGCTTGTCTCGTGGATATAAGTGAGGGAAGCTAAACCACAATCATGGTAAGAGTTTAAATAATCTAAGCAGTCAGTTTTGCTTATGAAGGCATGAACAATTGTGCAAATGGCCTGTTAATCAAAGAGTAATCAAATGTAATAGAGCAATGTCTATAAGTGTGTGTCTATATATATATATATATATATATATATATATATATATATATATATGTATATATCTGTCATTATTAATTAAGGATTATGCAATGATACATTTTATTAATGGTTCTCTTGCAGCTTTGCATGTTTAAGTTTGCATGTTTTAACTTTATAATAGGGAATAAAAAAGGGAAATAATTCAGTTATAATTTTAAAAATGCTATTGATCAGAAAACAGAAACGTAATTCATTTTTAAATGTCATAATTCAGTATTTTTAATCATTTTTAACATTGAGGTAATCTGAGTGCAACTTTAGTAGTTGTCTAACTAATGTACTGTCAGATTTTATTTGCAATACTGAGCCTTCTTTAAATCTCTCTCCAAAACCAAGAAATGGTCTAGCTGTCACAAGCAAAGTATAATAAATCTGTCACAAATTACAACAAAACATTCAAATATCCTTAAATAATAATCATGTTTTTTAATAATAGCTCAATGGTTAAGATGGATGAAACAACTTTTTCCACTATTTCAAATATAAACCTGATTGGATAATTAAATTATTTTAGTTGGCTACTATTATGTGCTTAAAATTTGGGAAAGTGGTAAATGTGTGGAGATAGCAATTCTGCTATTTGATACATGAAGCTGATCAGCAGGCTAGTTTAAGTGGGCTAACTAAATGCTGAGGTACCACATTCCAAGGATCCTGTTTCTTAACTACCATTTACAGTCACTGACTGCAGGGATAACGTCTTAAGCCTTAAAATAGCTGCAAAATTGTCCTGGACGGACGCCACCTGCTGTACCCACAACCCAGTAGTAATGCATGCATATTATCAGGAAAACAAAAACTAATAATGACTCTCAAATAACTCCTAATAAACCTGATAAAATTCCAAGTCACATAAAAATGAATGTATATATATATATATATATATATATATATATATATATATATATATATATATATATATATATATATATATATATATATATATATATATATATATATATATATATATATATATAGTAACCATGTTTTAGTGCTACTACCGACAGTTTTACTACAAATACAATGGTAAAATATGATTACAGTTGCAAAACCCTGGTCAATTTGTGGTTATTTAGTAGGATATAGCAAATTACTATAGTTTTAAAATCTAAACCTTTGTTGTGGTATTTGTAACAAAAATGGTGGTTATAAAACATGTAATTCAGTACATCAAAAAAAAAACTATATTTAGGCCATCTGATACTAACCATTCATAATGTAACAACGTGTTGTTTCACAGACTGACGCGCAACAGGAGGCCCGCTCATATCTGAGCGAGGAAATGCTTGCCGGTGAGTTGTCTATATACAGAGAGAAAAAATGTAATCCACGTCTTTGTTTTGTATTAACTCGAACGCGTCTGTTTTAAAGAGTTCAAGGCTGCCTTCGACATGTTCGATACTGACGGTGGCGGTGATATCAGCACCAAGGAGTTGGGTACTGTCATGAGGATGTTGGGTCAGAATCCAACCAGAGAGGAGCTGGAAGAAATCATCGAGGAGGTCGATGAAGACGGTAAACAAAATGCGACAGCTAGAAATGTGTACACACATCACTTTATATAATATTATAGGCAAAAATTTTAACTAAGCAAATTCATTTTCATCTGATGTCACGTTTTAAAAAAAATGTGTCTCCACACAAATACGGATTGCTTTCTAGCTCGGCCTCAAGAGGCGCTACAAACAGTCTAATTTATTTCTCTCAGGCAAAAATATTGAACAATTTGATAAGAATTTCACTGCGAAAATTAAAACTACACAAGCAACTTACCTCAATATCAACACATTGTGTTAAACCCTTAAAAGTTTGAATTCTTTAATCAATATTAAGTTAGTCTACAGTACATATTCAGGCCCAGAGAAGCTTTTAGCCTATCTAGCTTCAATGTCCTCCAAGTCCTATCATATCCTCCAATGTCCTCCAATGTTCAATTTAGTATAAAAATGTCCTAATATTTTTTCAATTATCAATTTTTTTAAAAACATATTCTACCTTTTGGAATTGGAACTAGGAATATTGTTTTTGTTCTGTGGTGAATTGCTGAGCCATTGTTTGCAGATAATATAATGATCTGTAGTTATTTTATTAAATTATTTCAATAATTGAAAAACAAACATTCTTTTCCCTTTTTTTCTTGTCAAAATTTTGATGATAAATTTATGAAAGAGACCTGTTTTTTAAGTAAGACCTGAGATATCTTTAATGGTTGATATTAAAACTAAAAATGAATATAATTTTATGAGCCCCTTCAGGCCAATTCAAGAGCACATGTCATGTGTTCAACATCTTTGTTTGTATGTTTTCTTAAAGTATGTTTCTGTCTACATACACTCTGATTGTTTAGTTTTAAGCATAAAATGCTAAAAAAATTAAAATATGCAAGAGCTAATGTACTCACTGGAAACTTTAGGCAGCGGCTCCATCGACTTTGAAGAGTTCTTGGTCATGATGGTGAGACTCCTTAAGGAGGACCAGGCTGGCAAGAGCGAGGAAGAGTTGGCCGAATGCTTCCGCGTGCTGGACAAGTAAGTCATTCGATATCTTCTCATGTGCATCTGTTTGTGAACGTCACTCAAGCTCACTACATCAAACGCAACACTGTGAATCTGCAGGAACGGTGATGGCTACATCGACAGAGATGAGTTTGCTGAGATCATCCGCAGCACTGGTGAATCCATTTCAGAGGAGGAGATCGATGAGCTGCTTAAAGACGGAGACAAAAACAACGATGGCATGCTGGACTTTGATGGTATGAGGGTTTATAAATTGCATTATGCTTTATCTTATTATACACTACCCATATAGAAATCTGATACATGGAAATATATGCAAATTACATACGATTTATAAGTTTATAATTGGATTTCACATGTCAAAATGTCAGAGTATATGCAACATATACTTTGAAATATTGCTAAAATGGCCTCTTACATATTTTATTCCAACCATTGGAATTTCAAGTACGTACATACATCACATATACGTGACATATATGCAACATATGTTTCAAAATATTGCTTTCATGCAAATTTTCAACCATTGGAATTTGAAATATGTACATATATGTTCATATATATGTCTTACATACATAACATTACCTAATTGGCTAATATATTTGAACTTATATGTGCATTATATACATTTCCAATTATTTCACAATTTCAAAAGTTAACAAAAAACATGAAAGCAACATTTTGATATAAATATTTAATATGACATGTATTTCAAATATGTGAAATCCAAATATGAAATTTATATATATATATATATATATATATATATATATATATATATATATATATATATATATATATATATATATATATATATATATATATATATATATATATATATATATATATGTATTACCACATACCAGATTTCTATGGGTGCATACATTGCACATGCATTGTGAAGAGATATTGACTCAACACTGTCTTTCCACCCTCAGAATTCCTCAAGATGATGGAGAACGTGCAGTAAAAACAGAGACTCATGGACATTCCTCTCCCCTTTCACCCCTGCCGACTGAATCCCTGCCCTCATAACGCCACCCAAACTCACTTTCCCCTTTTGTCCTCTTTCTGCCTCCATCTCACCTCCGCAGCAGACAGACAGATGAACACTTGTGTGGGGTTTGCCAAGGCTGGGCTCCCACTGATCCTCATACGCAAGACCCAAGGAGCGAAGCTGTGGTGTGGTTCGCAGCTTCATGATGTTGATATGTTCGCTAGAAACACACGCCATGGTAGACCCCTCATTTGTGGGTGTCTTTAGTCTAGATTTAGTCTAGATCAGCAGCTTGTTATCGCTGCATAGACCAATGCCAAAGCCACAACCACTACACTGTATTTAAGAACAAACGCTTGAAAACAGAATAAAAAATAAAACACATGTTGTTTAGTATTTTTGATTTATGATTTATCAAGGTCTCTGACCCCGATTAGATTATAGTTTCTGTATATACAGCGCCTATAGAAAACCAGCACCCCTGTGAAATGATTACTTTTATTTGTCATGCAGCCTGAAATCAAATCACATTCCAAATAACTTTTCCAGCCTTTGAAATGTCTGTGAAGCCTTCTCCTAACCTGTGCTTTTCTACAACTTTATCCTTAAGGTCTTTGAAAGCAGGGTGTAATGTGAGTAAAGGTAAAGATTTTCACAGAGTATGATGGTTTTTTATAGACGCTGTATGTATAGACCAAAAACGTTTAATGTTCATATATATTAGCAGCAAGACCCCAACTCCAGATTATTTTACAAATACCCAAGTGCTTTAAATATTTCTTAAATTATTATGCTCTGAAGCCTAGTTCTCATCCACTGCACATATTGCTTTGCAACATGACATTTATTTTTTGTGTGGTGTGTGTAAATCAGTAAATTCTGTCTTGTTTATCTGGTCAATGGCTGCTGAGTATTATTTGTAGACTAGACTAGTAATGTAAAGTTCATCAAGTATGTATGATTCATATGTAGAACAAATGGATAGGATTTCAGCTACTGAATGCATAAGTGTGCTTGACTGAATTAAAGCGTCGCACACTAACATTGCAAATAATGGGTGATTCAGTCCTCATTATTGTGAGGACTGACAAACACTGGAGAAAAATACCAGATTTACTTTCATTTTCTCAACATGCATGTGCTGCAGGTTGAATGTGCAGGGCTTCTGGCATCTGCTTCCATTTGTTTAGCTGTCTGTTATGCTGTTTGATTTTACAACCGTGTTTTTGTTATATTATTTGAACTTCTTGGTGTAATCATAAACATACTGGTTTGGTTTGTAGTACAAATAGTTTTTGAGTTATTTACCGACAGCAATATATCTGAATTTACATACATAGATTGGAAATAGCTCATGCAAAATAAGGTGACTAGTGGTAGCATGGCTTTTCTTTAATGCAATATCTACATTTATGTCTATATTAGTTTGTTATAATAAATTATTAATAGTTATACAATATATTAATACTTAAAAATGTAAATAACAATAGATGACACTATTAACCAAGGCTTTTTATTCCTTATTGCTGCAGTTTTCAAGAACATTGGGGTAGAGTTATGTAATTTCCCCCCCTTAAGAACATCTAAATCAGGGATGTCCAAACTCGGTCCTGAAGGGCTGGTGTCCTGCATATTTTAGTTCCGACCCCGAACCATCTAATCAAGCTCTTTCTAGGTATACTAACTAGAAGCTTCCAGGGAGGTGTGTTGAAGGAAGTTAGAGCTAAACTGTGCAGGACACTGGCCCTCCAGGAACGAGTTTGGACACCCCTGATGTAAATAATCTAATTATCGACCAACCTTTTACTTTGGAAAATCAAAAAAGCAATGATGATCCTGAAACAAACTTTTCTTTGCAGTGAAAAATTACCACTGTGGAAATGAATGGAAAACTAATGCAATCTCGATATTGACTAAAGCAACTAAAATTAGAGGGTCCATTAAATGACATAACATTTTTAGCCAATAAATTTTCGGTGGCCAAAAATTAGGTACATCTTTGATATCGACGCACTTTTAGATTCCCTTTGTTGCACATGTCTGCTGTGTGATTGGCTCTTGGATCAATATAGAGTAAAAAAAAAAAGTCCAGATCTAATCATTGTTATTGACAAATTTAATCGCGATTCTATATAATATTGTTTATCGGCACAGCCCTATATAGGAGTTACATTTTTCATAATGCATTTTCTTGACTTAAATTTATAGAACTTTTACCCAGTTCAGCAATAATCTGTAAAAAGGCCAAATGCACATTATAATTCAAAACACTAAAGACTTACACGATTAATTATATAGTATTTTAACACTCATTAATTAAATATTCTACGGGCGCATCGACGAGTCTTTAAAACTAAAAAATACACAGTCCTTTTAAGAACTTTTTGCTGTCCAGTTCTTTGAGGAACCATTCTTACTTTTTCAACTGTGATTTAGTCCTTTTTATTTTCATTTTGAAGTGTGTAAAATAACTCTTTAGAATTACATACGATGCGATTATAACAAAAACAGTTAATGATAATATACGGGTGTTGTATTATAATTTTCATTATTCTCGAGAAGTTAGTGCTTGTTAGCTCTTTTCAAAAAATAATCTGGAAAAAGATCTTCCGATAAAAGTGTAACGATGTACATTTATTGCACAAACAAATGAAAAAAAATGAACTAAACTGTGAAGTGTCAAGCAACTGAAAACCAAAACAGCATTAAAATGTAAAAAAAATTAACAATGATTGAACAAAATAAAAGCCTAGCAACTGAGGGCCAATTTTAAGAGCCATAATTTGCCTCGTCGAAGGCTTTTCGAGCCTTCTTCAGCTCCTCGTTCATGGTGAGCAGGTCCTTCACCCTGGCGAACTTTCTGGGGTCTTTTCTGATGAGAAAGACAATGTCCTCCACCTGGACGCGGCCCTGGCGCCCGATGGACATGGCTTTGTGTGTCATTTCCGTGATGAACTCGATCACCAGATCCTCTAGGATGTCCACTGATTCGGTGTAGGGGTTCTGGTCGTCTCCGAAGCCGTACATCATGCAGCGAAGCTCCTTGGAAAAAAGCCGCTTTCTCCTCCCTTGGCCGGAGTCTGCCCCGTTTCCTCCGTCGTCCAAATCCTCGTCAAAACCGGGATCATCTTCTTCCTCGGCCATTCTTGAAATTAAAAACAGTACGCTGGTTAGAAATGGGTATGAATATGCAAATGTCGGGTATTTTATATTATAAGAGAACAGTGCTTGTGTATGGCTTACATGTAGAGTTCAACAGAGAACACAAACAAACCAGCAGGAAACGCTGTTTATTCGTTTACATCTGACGCGACCCAGGATAGGGAGATTCAATCGGTTAGCGCCATCTAGAGTTCTGGATGAAACACATGTTGAAGTTTAACGTATTTTCGAATCTTTCAAACAAATCAATTTAGTGATTCTTTGACGTCACAAATTAGCTTTGTTTTATCCTGACCTGAGTCTTTTTATAAATTATATTAAGTATTTATCTAACTCTTCTAACAATCAGGCAACTAAAACATTAAATGCATGCTCTTTTTATGTGTTTATGTAATTTGTATTTATGGTATTTTGTTAGATTAGATTTTAGATTAGACACACTTTGACTGTATTGTCATTACACATGTACAAGTACAAGGCAACGAAATGCAGTTTAGGTCTAACCAGCAAGTGCAATAGCAGCAAGTGCAGGATACAGGTGTAAGTAATAAAGTGCAGTTATATATATACTATGGTGATATTAACAGATGGATACTATGATATTTACAAGTTGTATTAGCCATGAACAGAGATTTACACTAAATGAATGTATCTACAGGTTGCTATTAATAATCATAGGTATGTAAATAGATATGAACATAATTACAAATGTATAATACATATTTTTACTGTGAATTCCTTTTCTTATACTTAGTTTGGTATACTTTGCAATTTAAGTATTAATTAATTAATTTTATTTATTTAATTATATATATATATATATATATATATATATATATATATATATATATATATATATATATATATATTTTTTTTTTTTTTTTTTTTTTTATTGTACTCACTACTGATATGTTGTTTGACATTAATCACAACTCCTGTCCTGGCTTTTTTGTTTATCACAGTTGATCTTCACACCTGTATTCTTGAGCAAATGATAAACTAAATAAAATTTAAAAAAAGACTTTTGATGATTTTGTCTGCCCAACGTTCACAAAAGTATTAACTAGCCAAACCATTTTGAGGCAGGGGTTAATCTTTAAATGCCACTTAGATTCTGAAGATATGATCATCCTCGTGCAAATGCAAATGTAAAAGGCATCTATGCATTTTTTTTTAGAATTAGGCAATTCGTACTATGAACATTTAATGTTATAAATTTCCCTATAAAATTGGAAAATATTTAAATTTGGAAAATATTTAGTTTATATTAAGTTGCGTTATGGCATTTTTCTACATTGTCAAGTAACTCGGTATGTATGTATTTTTGCATTTAAATATTTTTTTTATTTTAGTGTATTTTAATTTATTATTTATTTGAATTTTATCATAATTATGTTTGTATGAATTAATTTATAATGTAATTTATGCGAATTAATTATAATATAATAATTTTAAGATTAATTTAAATCCATGTGTATTTTTAAATTAATGTAATAGCATGTTTATCCAGATATTTGTTAATTATTAGTGTTTTATTGTAATATTACTATATTCAATTTCTATTAATTTAATTTTAAAAATCCCCATCAAATTCATTGCACATGTGATTCGCTCTGTTTGATTCAATGATGATTTGTTCAGAACTCGTTCAAAAGAACCGACTCGAATGAACGGATTCAAATGACTGGCTGCAAAATATCGGTTAAAACAAAACAACAAAAAACAATATAATTATACGATGCAAGATAATTCACTTTGTCCAAACAACAGAGAACAAACACACACAGAGGATGAAAACATTCGATTTGAAATGATCTCCTGTGAAACCTTATCTATATCGAATTCAAATGTTCCCGGGCTGCAGCGCATGTGTCAGCAGAGCAACGTCCACGTCACAGCAGCGCAAGTAACTCACAGGGGTGTCTGTAGGTTTGCAAAAACCCTCAATCATTAAATGACACGATTCACTAATAGTAGCGTGTTAATGTAAACCTAACGCTCCGAGACGACTCGCGCGACCAAATGATGGTTACATAGTGTTTATTAGCAGCAGCTTCTCGTTTTGGAGGACTATGTAAACAGTGAGGTAAGAAGACTGATCACTGACCCAAGCTAACTAGTAACTTATTGGTTAGCTCAGCTGTAAATGTCAGCGTGCGCTTGTCAGCATCAGTGAGGTGATGAGTTTAGCTCTCCCTTCAGTGAAGCTCGAATTTATTGTGTAAATGGCTTCAGAATACAACCCATGAGGTTTTAGTCTCTTTATCAGGCACTGAACCGGCACAGCTTGTTCTGGCAGTTTTCAACAAGTGTTTCTCCGATCGATTCGACACGCGGACGTCAAACTTTGGCCTGCTTGTCCTTATCAAGTTTGGTTTTACACGTTAACACACTTGTGGACTAACTGCGTTGATTGTTATTATCCCACCCCTCTCTCTTTGTTTTTTAAAGAGTGTTAGCTGAGCCCTGTGGTATCCGGGTTGTCCAGGATGGCGTGCCCGACACACTTCCTCTGCAAGGCGCTGCGCACTGTGGGTCTGGTGCTTTTCTACTATGCGTTTTCTATTGGCATAACCTTCTACAACAAATGGCTCATGAAGGTGGGATGTCATTCAGTCGCATTATGAAAATCTCATTGTGTTTTTTTTCTTAAATTTAGATTATTGTTATATTATTATACTTCCGTTTTAATTCCTGTTGTTGTAACTTAATTTCAGGACTTCCACTTTCCTCTTTTTATGACCCTGGTCCATCTCACTATAATATTCTGTTTATCCACACTGACACGCTCTGCTATGCAGTGCTGGACAGGAAAGCCTCGAGTTACTCTTCCCTGGAAGGTCTACCTTTCTAAAGTAGCCCCTACAGGTGAGAATTAAAGTCATCATGAGTCCAAAGACCAAACAAAGTGTTTGAATAGATTAAACCCGTTATCTTTTTTTATCCAACACACAGTTTGGGCAGGTAAAGTCCACATCAGGGCCATTCACACTGTGCTTAATCTGGATTATTGTTGTTCTGTACACCACTTTTAACTATGTATAAACCCAACAAACGCACAACGTTGCCTCAACGTAGCTTCCTTCCTACATCGTTGTACCAATACTGTAAAAAGGTTGAGGATCTACGTTGTTGCTGATGGTTGACACAACAGTGTCATAATGTTGCCATTTAATGGCTGTTGCTTTAGGTTGTAGACAACCACTGTACAACATTTACCCGTTATAAATGAATCGGTTTAAATTTCGACAGACCATTCTGTGTCTCATTCAACAACGTTCACTGCATATTGTGACTTGTGGCTACTGTGGATCCATCTGTGAATTGAATTCTCTGTTGGATTTGTTTCTTTCTCTGACTACTTTCTCCGCACCTACAGCTATGCCTGGTTTTCGGCTGCGCTCCCCGATCTGTTGTATTCTCCAGTTTAGTTTAATTATACAGTTGAAGTCAGAATTATTAGCCTCCATGTTTATTTTTTCCCCCAATTTCTGTTTAACGAAAGAAGATTTTTTCAACACATTTCTAAATATAAAAGTTTTAAATACTCATTTCTATTAACTCATTTATTTTCTCTTTGCCATGATGACAGTAAATAATTTTTTACTATGTATTTTTCAAGACACGTCTGTACAGCTTAAATTGACATTTAAAGGCTTAACAAGGTTAACTAGGCAGGTTAGGGTAATTAGGCAAGTTATTGTTTAACGATGGTTTGTTCTGTAGACTTTTGAAAAAATATATAGCTTAAAGGGGCTAATAATTTTGACCTTAAAATGGTTTTTAAAAAAATTAATAACTGTTTTTATTCTAGCTTAAATAAAACAAATAAGACTTTCTCCAGATGAGTAAATATTATCAGACAGACTGTGAAAATTTCCTTGCTTTGTTAAACATCATTTGGGAAAAAAAATAAAATAAAAATCAAAGGGGGGCTAATAATTCTGACCTCAGCTGTATATAGTTAGTTAATTATTTAATGTAATCTATATGCATTTGTGTGGCATTTTTACATGTAAAAAATTATATATGCACTCAGGCCTATATTAAAAAGGAAAAAATGAATGAGCAATATTTAATATTAAAAGCAATACTGGAAAACCATTTCTGCTTATCCTGTATTCTAGACGGTATTGATTAACTGCCAGGAAAAAACAATAAATACATGTACTAAGAACGTCGTCTCACGGTTGCTGAATGTTACACGACAACATTGCTACAACCTTTTTAGTCGTTTTACATTTCTACGTTGTGACCATGTAGCGAGCATGTAAGTGGAGACGTTGGCTTTGACAAAATTCAGCGTTGTACGGATATCGTTGCAATGTAGTTGAATTTGTTGGGAATAAACATTTAATGTGATTTAGAAGCACAGTGGGTACTGCAGTGTCATCTATTCATGATCAGTTAATGTTCAAAAAGTAACACAGAATGATATAAACCTTGCATTCTAGTGTGAAAATGGTTGATCATAATAATATCTGTTCATCGGTTTGTCTGTGTCCCTCAGCCCTGGCGACAACGTTGGATATTGGACTGTCCAACTGGAGTTTCCTTTTCATCACTATTAGTTTGTAAGCATGTTTATTACTATCTGACAGATTAGATTGTATAGTGTTTGCAATAGTGTATAGTGTTAGTGAGGCACCTCAAACTTTATTCTAACATTTTGCAGGTAATATTAATGTATGTCTGTCTGTACTGCTGATTTAATTTTTTTGCTTGTATATGATGTAAATATTTTCACTCCTCTTCTAATCCTCTTCTTCAACCTACTTATAACCTGTGCATGAATTTGCTGACATTGCTAGCACACCACCTTATAACTAAATAGCTGACACTGTTTACTTTAGTATGACAGCATGCTGAATGTGATTTTTGTTTTGTTTTTTTGCGTTTATTGGTCTGTTAAGACATTGATTAGATAACACTGGAGTCTGATATTGGCCACATTTAAAACAAATTGTAAAAAAGTTTAAAGAAAATAAATAAATCCGAGCAACAAAATCTGAATCTTTTTATATAAAGTTCTCATTACCATGTGTTTTTTTTTTAATTAAAAAAAAATAAAATAAAATAAACTTATTATTTACCTAATGTACTTATTTGTTTCACACCACTGTATATAGCTTGACGTGTTGGTAAAGAAGAAGAAGAAAAAAAAATGTTTTGAGGTCATGACAATAGCAAACCTGAGGCCTGTAGCATGAAGCTGGATTAGCAGGCTAGCCAGTTAAGTTTCAGTTTAGTTTGCACCAATCTTTTGTTTTAGGTCACATTAGGCCAGCTCAAATTCCAATCACCCTTTGTTGCCATTGTATTATGGAGCAGCTGAAATGAGCCAATTTCATGTACCTAAAACCCAGAATTAGCTAATCTAACTTCAAGGTGCAGGCCCCTGCTGTGATGCAGCATTCTGTTTACATTTAACCAAAGTGAAAAACTTCAACTAACATTAAGACTGGAATAGATTACACATTTTGTTTTTAATGTGAAGAGCCTTAAAACATATAACGTATAATACAGTTATAAAATACTTGCTCAGGGAGGAACTGGGTATTATGTGCTCATAAGTTCACACACAACACAACATCTTCAGGTCATTCAGAAAGCTACAGTCTCAAGTGTAAAGTAAACATAAGATTTGATGTTAGGAGATGGATGACAGATGACAAATGAATGTGTTGGAATAAGAATGTTGTAAAATTGGCTCAATATATCACGATTAAAATTAGTCTGTGTCCATCACACTTCCAATGTGTATTTCTGTGAAATCTGTCAGCCCTAACCTTCATAAAATCAGACTTCTCATCACGTGTTGACTGGTCTAAACTGCAAATCAGGACAAAAATAAGAGTCATATTTTTCTTTTCTTAAACTGTATTTTATTCTTGACCTGCGTAACAATCATCTTTGAATTTTTGTTTTTTTGTTCAGGTACACCATGACCAAGTCTTCAGCTGTTCTTTTCATTCTGTTTTTCTCCTTGCTATTCAAACTGGAGGAGCCGGTAAGTGTAAATAAAAGGAAACAATTTTCAAACTGAAGTTTTAGTTCCTGTTTTTGCTTGATGGTGCATTGTTGTATTCCTTTTTTTTTTTGGTTTCTTTTGTGGACTTCTCTATGGACACAGCTGAATACGTTGTACTCTTTGTTAAATCATTATTTCCCAGACTGGAGAACTGCATGCTTTTAAAAAGAATTCCTACTGTGTTTATTAATGATTAAGTTTTAACAGCAGACATTTGTATTTATCTTTTTCAGATTATGGCATTTTAAAGAGAATGAGTTTAAAAAGTAAAATGCATTTTAACAGCAGACATTGTTTAGCAATTTAGGTCATATTAAAATTATGGCATTTTGAAGAGAATGAATTCCTACTCGGGGAGGCAGTGGCGCAGTAGGTAGTGCTGTCGCCTCACAGCAAGTAGGTTGCTGATTCGAACCTCGGCTCAGTTGGCGTTTTTGTGTGGAGTTTGCATGTTCTCCCTGCCTTTGCGTGGGTTTCCTCCAAGTGCTCCGGTTTCCCCCACAGTCCAAAGACATGCGATACAGGTGGATTGGGTAGGCTAAATTGTCCGTAGTGTGTGTGTGGATGTTTCCCCGAGATGGGTTGTGGCTGGAAGGGCATCCGCTGTGTAAAAACGTGCTGGATAAGTTGCTGGTTCATTACGCTGTGGCAACCCCAGATTAATAAAGAGACTAAGCCGACAAGAAAATAAATGAATGAATGAATTCCTACTCTGGGGATTGTATAAAAGAACATTTTAAAAGTGGACATGTTTAATCAGTAAGGTTTAGATCATATTAACCGGATGTCGAAAGGTTATGTTGAATCTGCTGTAAGGGGTTTGCTGAGAGGTCACATTGTGAAATGAAAAATTAGAGACCTCCCTGTGAGATGTTAAAAATAAGCCAGTTGAGTACGATTTTCCTGTACTTGATTGAGCAGTTGCTCACCTATGTACTAGATTTCTCCAATATATAAAGCAAGAAAAGTTGACAAGTGATTTTTATGAAAAGAACTGATTGAAGGTAGTAGTTTAGCGCAGTTCAAAGAATATTGCCAAAGTTCTTGGAATCACTTTATCTAGTATTGTGAAATAAGTGTGCTTAATCAAAAAGTACATAAAATTATTTTTTAAAAAGTGATACAGAGAACAGCAGCTATCATTTCTGCTCTGATAGTCACAAACTAACACTGAACAACACTGCTGTGAAAAAGTCTTTGCTCCTTATTAATTTCTTGTTTTTCTGCATGTTTTTTCACTATATTGTCCAAGGTAACACAAATGCATCATGCAGAATCTAAATGAAGGTTTTTATTATTAGGGGAAAACTAAATCCAAACTACATTGCCCTATGTGAAGGTGTTTGTCCCTTGTTAAAAAAATAACTTAACTCTGGTTTCACACTTAAGTTTTAAGTTCTCTAGAGACACCCAGGCTTGATCACTGCCACACCTGTTTGCAATCAACCTTAAATAGGACCTGCTTGACAAAGTGAAGTAGACCAAAAGATCCTCAAAATCTAACACCATGCTGTAATCCAAAGAAGTTCAAAAACAAATAAGGAAATAATTGAGATCTACCAGTCTGGAAATGGTTGTAAAGCCATTTCTAAAGCTTTGCGATTGTAGGGAACCAAAGCTTTGTGACTGTAGCGAACCACAGAAAGAGGCATTATATAAAATATATCAAAAACATGGAAAAGTGGAGAACCTCAGAAGTGGCTGGCTGGCCAAAATTCCTCAAAGAGGTCACAAAAGACCCCACAACAACAACCAAAGAACTGCAGGCCTCACTTGCCTCAGTTATGGGAGGTGTTCAAGACTCCGCCATAAAAGAAATGTAAAAAATTGTTTGCATAGTAGAGTTGCAAGACAAAAACTACTGTGAGCAAAAAGAACATTAAGGCTCATCTCAGTTTTGCCAGAAAACATCTTGACGATATCCAAGACATACTGACAAAACAAAGATTGAATTTTTTGGAACGTGTGTGTCCCTTTACATTTTAAGAAAAAAAATACCACAGTAAAATGTGGTGGTGGTGGTGATGTGAATGTCTGGGGCTGTTTTGCTTACCAAAATATCCTGAAGGAATTACCCAAAATGTACATTTAGGCCTTATTTGGGTTCAAAAACATTTTTAAAACATAGCTTTCACTAGCACATCTAACCTCTTGTTAAAAATACACAAATACAGAATAAAAAGAAAAAGTCAAACTACTCATAAACAACAATAGGACACATGGCAGATTCTGTTCTTCTGGGCTTATGGCTGTTTGTCACAAGAATACGAGCAGGTTTGTTTCAGCTCGAGTCCACCATGGCTCACGGCTGTTTATTTAAAATTGGTGCTTTCTTTGTTTTCATTCTCTTGGCTTATTGCACGTAATGGTGACAATTCTCTTTAAACAAATATTGTTCAGCTTTGAGTCTAGCTCCACCCTTTTGGTACTATTCTGTAGTATTAGGTACCTTTTTGAAAGGGTACCCCATAAAGTGACATCGCATGTTCACTTTTTGGTAGCTTTTTAAAGGGGAAATGGATAAAAGAGCATACAGTACCAATCTGCTCAATGGAAAGAGGCCAATAGATTGTTATGGGTCGATAATGCTACTATTTAGCACAAATACATAAATTGGTCTATTCTGGTTGTTCTTTATATGAAGAAATTCTATAGAAGCACAGCGCATTCATGTGTCCTTGTTGGATAGTATCATTATATGTAATTGCACAACAATTATCAACTGAACAATTATGATAAAAAAAATGAGAAATCACTCAGCCCATGATTTTGCGGTCAGTGGGAGATGGTAATATGTTCAAAACTATCAATTGACAAAAAATTCTATGGAAGTCGATGCCTGCTGTTTTTCCAACATTCTTCAGTGGTATTTTTCTTTGTATAGAATGCATAAAAGATGTCAGAATTTCATTCTTGAGTGAACTATGCCTTTTGGATTAAATGAAAAAAACCATCAAAATCTCACCTTTCAATTCTCATGCAGTTTAATAGTTCTGTACTGTTTCATTAAGTCTGTGCACTTCCTCACCGGTTGTGGCACTTTAAAGGTTTTAATATAGCTTATCTGTTGTTTTAGCTGCAAAAATGAACAGCAGGTAATCAGGCATGCATGGAGGTGTCAGACCATTAAGAGGCTAAAAGCACACGTGAAGCCTATAGGGGGCCAGTACAAATTAGTTTAAAACTACTTTTAATCACTCCATGAAATGCCATTTTATGTGTTTGTCTATTTCCAATTACTAGTTTGGATGGAAAATATAGGAATAATTGTCTGTTTCTTTCTGCAGTCAGTGCTGCTTGTAGGTAATGTATGCTGACCATTTTCACACCAACAGAATCCATTCCTGATCCTGGTGGTTGTCCTGATTTCCAGTGGTCTCTTCATGTTCACTCTCAAGTCCACTCAGTTTAATCTGGAGGGTTTCATCATGGTCCTGTTAGCCTCTTTTATCGGAGGAATCCGCTGGACTCTCACTCAGTTGCTCATGCAGAAAGCAGAGCTTGGTAAGTCTTTAGTGTGAGCAAGGATGGTGGATGCTCCTGTTAAGTTCCCTTAACTTTGTTTGTGTTCATTCTGTGTTGAATTTTGCATGACTCTCCTGTCCCACTCTTTGACACCCAGGTCTTCAGAACCCCATAGACACCATGTACCATCTGCAGCCCCTCATGTTCCTTGGCCTATTTCCCTTGTTTCTTCTTAATGAGGGTCAGTCTTGTAACATTTTTTTTTGTTTAAATATAACAAAAGGAAATAAAGTTTTCGTGTTTTGCTGTACTAATATTTATATTGTATGCTTTATCAAAAAAGTAGTTTGTGAAAACTGATTTTATAAACAGAAGAATAAAAAAGATTGTGTCCAGAGTTCTAAAAATGTGGAAATAAAAATATTTTTTATAATAAAATAAAGAATACAAATGATAAGGGAAAAATGGGGAAAATACTATTTATTTTTTTCTAGCTATGCTTAGTTGTTACATGTATTGTTGGCTTAAATAAATGGAATTTGATCTGTAAACAATCATAAAAAAATATTAAAAGAAAAAAATCTACTCAATACAGACAATCATTAGTAAGAAACAAAAGCAACTATTCTACCAAAATAAAATGAAAGCATAGAGTAAAAATGAGTACACCACAAATTATTGTGTTAGGAGAGAAAACATAGGAAGAATCAATGAGAACATACTAAAGCTTTGATCTAGGTTAATTTAGGGTGTAATTTTCTGTCTATTCTTTATTATATTTGAATTTAAATGTAGTCTTATCCCAAAGATATTTGGTGAATACACACTTATTTTGAGAAATATATATATATATATTTATTAACTGTTTTTAAAAAACACAATAAATAGGTGTGACATTCACTAAGAAAAATTATAAAAATCATCATTTATAATGTGTACTCAATTGTACAGGAGCTTTTAATTTATTTCATTTTTTTGTAAGGCTTTCAAAAAAATCAGCTGGTTATTTCTCATTTTTCCATTTGTTATGTTTCAGGGTTGTCGGTGTATTTGTGTCTTAACCTGTTGTTTTGTTTCTTTGTTTTGTTATTCCTGCACAGGACTGAGTGTGAGCACCACAGAGAAGCTGTTCAGGGTCAGTGAGCTCTCTCACCTGCTGTACTCTTTAGTCACTCTGTCTGTGGGTGGCATGCTGGCGTTCGGGCTCGGCTTCTCTGAGTTCCTGCTGGTGTCACGCACGTCCAGTCTTACACTGTCCATTGCAGGCATTTTTAAGGTGAGAACAAATGCAGTCAAACCAAAATTTGCTCAGACCCTAGATAGATTTTTACTTTTTTTTTCTTACGGATGCTAAACATTTTATAGTATAGTGTAAAATGCTGAAGTAGAAATGCACTAAAGTTAATATTCCCAGTCAAAACGGAAATTGGATGGACTTTCGCCATAAACCTAAATGAAAAAAAGTTCATCTTGACCAATAGCCATCATTTTACCAGTGTTGCCATGACAGCATAGTAACGCACATGCAAGCAGCAGGAACAAGTATACTACATAGAAAAGTCCTTCCGGTGCATTATTTGAGCCCAGCAGTGATCAGTGTGGCATAGTATAGCCTTTTTACCCCGTCTCGTATTTTCAGCCAACTTTCTCTTTCAGTTGAAACATATTTTTTGTCGATCATTTTTGGTAGCCCAAAATTTGGTGGATCCCTATACTAAAGTTCAGGTTTAAATGAGTCCTTGAGACTTATGCTGCACAAACAAAGTGTTTATATTCTCAAACTAACAGCTATTTGAATAATTTTTGGGATTGTAATCCATTAAATCCTGTCTGTCAAAGTTATTAGAAATTTATTACATTTATTATTATCATGATGAATTTTTTCTTGAATTGAGTTCTGTTAACATTTTCCTAACTGTAGCTAATTAACTGTCATAATGTGACAGGTTGATTATGTTTAATTTGACACTGTTATTTTTGCATACTTGCAGTATAAGAAGCTGCTGAAGCACTGTCTCGTCCTCTTTCTGTTTTTGGTGATTTTTCCCTAATAGCTCAGCGTGGTATTAAAGTCTTCATTAGTCTAATAGTGTTAATATGCTTCTCTCTGTAGGAGGTGTGCACTCTGCTGCTGGCAGTGGAGTTCTTGGGGGATAAAATGAGCACAGTCAACTGGCTTGGTTTTGCTGTGTGCCTGTCTGGGATATCACTTCATATTGGCCTAAAAACATACCGTAACAAAGGTAAGATTCTTTCCCAGGCCTGTTGTGAGTCTAATTGACCCTTCGCTAAGCCACACCCAAAAACCGCCACCCACCAGTCATGGCTTCGCAACCATAGCTACGCTCAGGGGCTCTATCCAGCTTTCGAGCGAGTGAAACAAGCCAAAGCCCTGTGCATATGAATTGTGCAAATCTGACACCTGGTATCATTAAAGTTAGGACAGGGTGGTGTAATTTTTTCCCTTTTCAAAACCTAAAACTCAAGAAGAGAAATGCCAGCGTGCATCAAGCTCTGTGAGGGGCGCTAAAAAAGCTGAGTTGAGTTGGTTTTGTTTTTGATATTTACATTCAGTGATGGACCGACGGCAATAACTCACACACCTCTGTGTGATTAATGACTAATAATGTGATGCAATTAATCCTTTAACACAATGTGAATTTTGCATAAAAATGGTTTCCACATGTTTTGCAGATCACAATGTGTCTAATTTTGCCAGTATGATGTACTAGAATAAGAAAACATGTTTTAATGCTTGTATTGCAAATAATTTGCCTATGCAATGCATTATTGCAGCATCTATTAAAAGTTTGTTTGACACACTCTGATAACCACAAAGTCCCACCTTCTGAAAAGACAAGAGTGACCTTATTGGTCAATTCACAGCTGTTTTTAAGATCCGTTTTTGTCAATCCCATCGCAAGTGGACAAAGGAGTTATGGTAACATTCACACCTGGCATTTAAACGTCTCTTTCAACCACTTGGAATCACTTTTCTGGTGAGAGAGTGTCTTCGGGTGGATGTTGACCTTCTGATAATTCACTGTAAGTTTAATACTGCAAATCTAGTGCAATTTGCATAATTAAAGAAAGATTTAATGTAGCAGATCAATTTTAAGACGCTAATGAATTAGATATTTTATGCATTGACTAATTAAATCTTTGACAACTAAAGTGCTAAACATTTAAACTGATACAATTAAAAAGTTGAATTATTTGGCCAAGTATCAAATGTTTATATCAAGAAGATGTCATGTGTGTAAAACCCTTTTTTGCTATGCAAAATGTATAGGGATCACATGAACAATTTTATTTATAGCATTTGTTATGACAGCACTATCAAATGTAGATATACAACACCAAGTAAACGTTATTTTCACACTCAAGTGGTTGAATCGGAGAGATTTAATTTAATTAAAGGTAAGTCAGGTCATTTTGTTTGTATTCTTACTTTGAATTATAGCTGTAAATGCAACTCTTCATGTTCTCCTTAGACATTATACATGTTTCTCAACGCATTGCTGTATTGTTTTTTTTTTTTTCTCTTAAATTTCCTTTAGTTGGTCATAAATGTACCCCCATAAAACCTGCAGAATCCCTGCTCCCGTACATTGTCAATTAACATAAACTTCTCAGAAAAAATGAACAGCAAAATGTTTGGAAGAAAAACATATGCAAAGCCAGTTTTCCAATTACAGATTCTTTTTTGCAGTATTTATTGTGCACTCAGTGTGTCCGTCTCCCATCTTTTTAGTAGGAAATGGCCCCATGGTAAGAAACCTACAAGTCAGGGAGAACCCACACCTTGAGCTTCCACTTCTGCAGGCAAAAGATGACTACTGTGAAGACACAAATGACGAAGAGGAGCATGAGATTCTCTATTAGTCTGAGGAAGAAATGAGTGTCCTGAATGGGCTCATGGAATAGTCTTCTTTAAAGACTCATATCAGTGCTCCCATTGAACACAGGTACTGAACAAGCTCCAGAATATATGAGAATGAACTCAAAAAGATATTGAAGAGCTAATGTTTTTTATAGTTCGTCTCTGTGTTAATGAGAGAACAGAGAAATGCTCTTGGGAAAAGAGAACTCTAAAAGAAAGTGAGTTCATCCTAACATCGTCATCCATATCCAGGAGTTCATCCATATAATGAAAATGGATGGGGAAACGACCTGCTAAGGTATTAAAAAAGGACCATATATGTAGACCGACTGACTTGTGCACAATATTAAAGGTATTTTGATGCCATATGATAGACAAGGAATTCTGTCATAAAGCTTTTAGGACAAAGAGAGAATTGACATGTATGTAAAAAAAAATGCCTTCAACCATGCTTATGGCGTCGGTTGCATCACAGGACGAGTCTTAAGTGGCCTTACGATTCAAGCTTTTGCTAATAAAATTTCAGGTCAGTTATCAGTCGCTCACAATAATTTGTTTTCTAATTATGACGTAGAGATAATGAGTAAATTACTTTGTTTTTAATAAAAAGAAGAAACTCTCCTGTGGATTCTTTTAATTTTGCAAGTCAATTTTATGAATTACAACTACAAGTATTTCATATGTATTTAATTTTCAGAATTCAGCCAATGTTATCAACTCTTTATTAAAAGAGGGAAGCATCTACTTCAGCAAAGCAGAGTAGATTATGCAGCCTCCAGTAATTAGATTTGTTTGGAGTATTGGTGCAGGTGGAGGGAAGCCTGTATAATTCTTGCTTTGATTGAGTTCATTGAGTTGGTTTAGTGGATTAATCTAAAGTCAGAGGGCTTCAGTTTCCAAGATCAAGAGTGAGCACATGGCTCTGAATTCACTTAAACGGAAAATGCCCTTCAGTTTGTACACTTTCTTCATCGAGATCATAGTGTATAGTGAACTTTTATGACACTTTTGCTGCTGATTTTTAGTCATTTTTGGCTGAAAATTATGATTTTATTAAACAGATTTTAAAAGAATGTTGTGTTGTATATCTTGCTCAAATAAGAGCAAATTAACAGACTCTCTTCCAGGGAAAATGACCAAACACCTTATCGTCTTGCAGTTTAGAGAATATTTTCATAGTTTATTCATTTATTAATTTTCATCCACTTTTCTGGGGCTGGGTCACAGGGGCTGCAGTCTTAGGAGAGAATCCCATACTTCCCTTTCCCCAGACACTTCCTTTAGCTTCTCCGGGGGGAATCCTAAGGCATTCCAAGGCCAGCTGAGATGCATAGTCCCTCCAGCGTGTCCTGGGTCTTCCCAGAGGCCTCCTCTTCCTCGTGGGACATTCCTGGAACACCTCCTTAGGAAACTCATTTCAGCTGCTTATATCAGAGAACTTGTCCTTTCTGTCCTGACCCAAAGCTCATAACCATAGGAGAGAGTAGGAACGTAGATTGACCGATAAATTGAAAGCTTTGCCTTTCGACTCAGCTCCTTCTTTACCACAACAGGCCGGTACATGAACTGCATTACTGCTGCCACTGCATCGATCTACCTGTCAATCTCACATTCTATCCTTCCCTCGCTCGTAAAAAAAAATATAAAAAAAATACTTGAACTCCTCCATCTGGGCTAAGGACTTTCTTCAACCTGGAGATGGCAAACCACCTTTACCCAGTGGAGCGCCATGGCCTCGGACTTGGAGGTGCTGATTCTCATCCTATGTAATGTACAAGGTTTGCTGTGTCAAACTAGCCAGTTGAAATTAATAAACAATTTGAACATTTACCTTAGGGTTTATGATGAAGATAATTTACTATATTATGAAACATAAATTTAAGTGTTTATATTGTGTAATTAGATTTTATATATATTTATAGATTATACAATACTTTGAAAGTATATTTGCAAAGTAAAACACATTTGAAATGCAATAATTCTTTCAGATGGCTTCCAGCATTGTTTTCTGGAACTCATTTTGTTTTTAATCTCTTGTAACTCATTCTTTTAAAGGTTTTTCAAAGTTATGATACCTAAAAATGGCATGACAGTTTTAGCAATTTGAGATTTAGTACTTAGTACTGTGTACTAATTCAGACTAATTCAGCTCTGACTAATTTACTGTAAGACAAGTTCTCTTTTCAGTTGAGATGGGTCTGGATGCAGACCTGGTGTAGTGCAATCTAAGCTGCATCCAGTGCTTTTTAATTCGCCCACATAACCCTACCTGTCACAGTGACGTCACTCACTCTATTGAGTGCATTGTGTCTGACATTGCATTGCTGAGCGATGCAATTTCAGCTTGCATCAAAAAGGCTGCATCCAGATACTATTGTTTCAGTTACTATTGCAAATATATTTGATCAATCAAATGACTGGAATGAAATCACTCATCCTGCAGCTCTTATTTGAGCTTTAATTTGTTTATTTTGGTTCAACTCAATAGAATGCTGACATCCGGGATTTCCTTTAAATTGTAAAGGTCTTGTGGTGGGCCAATAACTATGCATCTGTATGTGTGTGCGCGTGTAAAATGTTTGCACTATTACAAAAAAAAAAAAGTGTCACATGAGCATCTCGTGTTAAAATAAAATAAGCAAGAGACATTAAGCAATGTAGTTTCGGTGTGAAAATGTTAAAAGATATGTGTATGATATCTTCTATGACCTGTATTCACTATTTAAATTGTGTGTGTACAAGTACTGTAAATTTAATTATAAACTAAAAAGTCAGGTCAATAAAAGTAAGCCATAAATAACACTGCATAAATATAATATAATAATAAAGGGTAACTCTTCGAAAAATATTGTTGAGTAATTGATATAATAGAAATAATATTGACTTCATGACAACTGTAATGGTCTCTTTCTCCACTGGTAGTTTGTTGCCATCTATTGGTGAGGTGTTAAATTCTACAGGAATATGTTCCAAGTAGACGTATGCTGATGTTCAGTAACACAATATATCATCATAATTTTACACTCATGCAAAATACTGTGGATAAATTTTTATTATTTACACTTTGAGTGCATTTAAGACTATTCCGGTTGTATTGTTGTTCATCACAGTACCAAATGCTTATTAGGCTGTTTATTTTCAGTTATAAACAATTTCACATGATAATCTCACCTACTGTATGATATGTAAAGTTTTGTGACTTTTATAGGACTTTAATTAACTTATTATTAGGGCCAGACGGAATCTGTGGACATTTTTTGCTATTTTTGCGCAGAATTTTGTCTGTGGATTTATGCGGAATGATTGTGGGGGTATTATAACTAAAACATGAATATATAAAATAAAAGTAATACCTTTTTAACTTGTATTTAATGTTTACAATGCAAATCCAATTAGATCCACTTTATTTGGTAAACAAAGCAAGTCTATCATGTAATATCTCTACTAAAAGACAGAAAACATTACAAACTGTATTGTAAATAAATCATATGAACATTTTCATATTAGTCAATAAACAGTAAATAAACCGAATCAATGATGGGAATTAAAATCTGCGAAATCTCGCAGATTATGTGTAGACCTACTCATTAGCTAATTTAAATGCAGTGAGTTGCTGGTAACTTATTGTGATTATGGTCAGTAAAGTTCTTGTTACCTGTTTTGTAATACACTTTATTTTTGTATTATTTTTAATTTGCTGTGAATGCATTTAAAGAAGAGAGACACTAATTGACTAAAGATGACAAGTTTTATTTCAGTGAGCTTCAGAGTACAAATCAGCTTCTGCCTTGTCTTTGTCTTCATAATCAAATTTGCCATTGTGCCTCACGTCCAGCACCTTGCACTTATTTTGGTGACCCTCACCAACCCAAATTGTCTGTGGTGACCCTTACCAGCCCTTAGTATTTTTTAGTGACCCTCACCAAACCTTTGTTTCTGTGGTGAACCTCACCAAACTTTCACTGTCTGTGGTGACCCTCAGCAACCTTCGGTGTCTGTGGTGACCCTCACCAGCCCCCAGTATCTTTAGTGACCCTCACCAAACCTTTGTTTATGTGGTGACACTCACCAAACCCTCACTGTCTGTGGTGACCCTCACCAACCTTCGGTGTCTGTGGTGACCCTCACCACTCCTCAGTATCTTTGATGACTCTCACCAAACCTTTGTTTCTGTGGTGACCCTCACCCAACCCTAAGTGTCGGTGGTGACCCTCACCCACCCTCAGTGTCAGTGGTGACCCTCACCCAACCCTCAGTATCTTTGGTCACCCTCATCAACCCTCTGTTTCTGTGGTGACCATCACCAAACCGCATTGTCTGTGGTGACCCTCACCAACCCTCTGTGTCTGTGGTGACCCTCACAAAACCCTCAGTGTCTGTGGTGACCCTCACCAACTCTCTGTTTCTGTGGTGACCCTCACTAACCCCCATTGTCTGTGATGATCCTTACCAACCCTCAGTGTCTGTGGTGACCCTCACCCAACCCTCAGTGTCTGTGGTGACCCTTACCAACTCTGTTTCTGTGGTGACCCTCACCAGCCCTCAGTATCTTTGGTCACCCTTGCCAACCCTCTGATTCTGTGGTGACCCTCACTAACCCCCATTGTCTGTGGTGACCCTCACTAACCCCCATTGTCTGTGGTGAACCTCACCAACCCTCATTGTCTTTGGTGACCCTCACCAACCCTCTGTGCCTTTGGTAACCCTCACCAACTCTCTGTGTCTGTGGTGATCCTCAACAACCTTCTGTATCTTCCAGTAATTCTCACTAGCTTGTCGACCATCAGTGGGCCCAGAGGGATCTTCCCTCTTTTGCACTTTGTACCTGCCAGTGCATGAGGCGAACTTTCTCAAAATCAATATAATTTTCTTCTCTGATGCACTGAGGCCTAATCAGAAACCCATTTTATTTACAATTAGTCTCAGCATAAGTGACAAACCTTTGGAAATAATGTAGCACTTGCCATGCTTTCTCAGGAAGCCCCTGCCTAAGCTGACTGGTCTTTCTCAGATGGGACAAGGGCACACCAAACACCTTGCTCAGGGTTTCCTCCTGCACAAAAAGAAGTTAAGAATGAGAAATGAAAATGTGCATTTACATAGAGCTGTCGAATAATAAGCATGCATTATTTATTATTAACTATGAGTGTAAAGTTGAGGAAACATAAAATGTACTATTTTTCTCCACACACAGACATAAATGTAAGTAACAATGCTACTTAATAATGAAAACAAACATGTTTATGGATTTATTAAATCTTTATACAATTTCATTAAGTTTGTTACAGAAAACTTAGGGTCTATATGTGTGTATAGAATACTTGTATACACTGATAAAACTCCCATCATGGGGTTTTTAACTAATCCAAGGGGTGTCTGAAGTTATAAGTCAAAATCTAAAAAGGGTCGTTGCTAAAAATCCAAAACCTGATTCACTGCCCCTCCTCGATCATTATTGACAGCACATATACTTCAAAAGACTGCAATTGCAATTTAATTTTTACCTTAAGGTAACTGAAAAGTTATGAAATGAAACAAAAATATAACGTTACACTGAATTCTTTTTGAGTGTGTGTGTGTGTGTGTGCGTGCATAATTGGAAGCCAATTCCCACCACTGAATATAAACACACACACACACACACACACACACACACACATATATATATATATATATATACATATACATATATATACATATATAAGTCGCAATTCTGGCCCCCCTAAGAAAACTTTCTGTAGGCGGCAGTATGACTGTATATTTTAAAACAGACTGTTAAATTAAATGAGCAGTGTGAATATTACAAAACGGCTGCTTTATAGGCTTAGCTGGTTTTGCTGAACAGCTGATATACTGTACCACCCTGTGTAGATTATACCCGGCCTCCTTTTTGCTAGAGGAGGGCTCTGCATATCAGATTTCACACTTTGCTCAACCAAAGTCGAGACCTAAACGGCAGCAAATGGGAAGTGAGTAACCGGGACTCAATGTGTTAACATCCCTTACCTGTGAGGAATGCGCCAGGTACAGGCTTCAGCTTCAGGTAAACTTTCCGTCTGAAGTTTAGTTAGATTTTCTGTGCATCTGTGTGTGTTTTCACATATTTGCTGCACAAACTGAGCCGGTGGCTTTTTTTAATGTTTGTAATTTGCGGGTACTCGCTGTAAACTTGCTACTGTAGTGGTTGAAGTATTAGACTGAGTTGAGCATTATTCATAAATATCATGTTTGCGTTAAAATAAGCCTCAATAAAGACTAATGTGCAGTTTATTCAGGTTAAAACCGTTTTATGTTTCATAATGCGCGTTTGTATTGGTAATATCTTTCGACAGCTCGCTTTAGGTGTGGTGTCATGACGAATTCAAGTTCTATTTAGAGCTTTAAATCTCATATCATGTTTTTTTTCCTGCTGTTTTCTGTACAACAAGTCAATGCATGTAGCCTATAGCTCGCACTATAGGGAAGAGGGAAGCGACACTTCAAATTTAAACGTAGTATTTGAATAAATAAGACACACTACTGAGAGGATTTGCTGTTCCCTCCATTGATAGCTGATGTGGACATGACAGATTTTCACATGCCAAACTACATGCAGAGTTCGCAGACAAGTCTGGTTTATGAATATATAACAGGTGTTCAGAGTCCCTCCCTTGTCTTGTAATTGTCTTCAATGGGTCTATAATGACCAGTTTTAGGACGGCTTGTTTGTGTCCATCTCTCTCTCTCTCTCTCTCTCTCTCTCTCTCTCTCTCTCTCTCTCTCTCTCTCTCTCTCTCTCTCTCTCTCTCTCTCAATATAGTTCAATTGACAAATGTATTGCCAAAGCATTTATAAAGTTTACATTTAAAATAACATACATGTGTATATATAATAAAAAACACAGTAAATAGTAGTATTAGTATAAAAATAATAACATAATGACAATATAAATAATATATAATATTATTCAGTATGTCATATTATTAACATATATCAATAAAAATATTAATTTATCAGAACAAACTACATTTAACAATCAACATTTTAGGATAAAACAGTAATAAAAGCAACAATAATAATAATTATAATTACAATGATTCAATTATAAAAATCCAGATGTGTCTCTTGTATATATAAAAAAACATAGTTAAACTGGGTCAGTGACAAACCCCCATCCTTGAAAGGGTGGCACAATATTATTAGGGAAATTATTCCCCTAGAATTCTTTACCTGTGTCATTCATATGCCCGCTGAGGCTTTTCATTAAGTCTGGACTCCTTACTTGGGCTTTATTGATGTTTCTTTACGCTGCATTTTGAGTTATGGTACGTCATAATTGAATTTATGTATTTTATTTTACTATTACTTCATATATTTTTTTCATTTTGTTTGTTTATTCATTTATTTACTTATTATTATTGTTATTATTATTATTATTATTATCATTATTAAAATGTGAGTTAACTGTTGGTTTGTTTCAATGTGTTTTGTTATTAATAGTTAATGGTAATAAAAAGATCCAATAAAAACAGTAAACAGTAAAATAGTAGTATATATTGTAGTATAAAAACAATCTCTCTCTCTCTCTCTCTCTCTCTCTCTCTCTATCTCTCTCTCTCTCTCTCTCTCTCTCTCTCTTATACATTAAAACATAGTAAACACAGTATGTAGTAGTATAGTATTATTGTATATAGTATAATAATAATAATACCCCCCCCCCCCCTCAGTTTACAATGTACAAATTATTGAGTGATCTTGAAAATGTTTTCAATATATGGTGCTATAAACATGTGCTTTGTTCTGTTGTAGAAAATAAATTAATTCTCTACAATTTGTTGTTTTTTAGTAAGATTATTTTGTGGATTCATATGTAATTGTGTAATTGGAACAAACTATTTGTAAAATTTTAATCTCTCTTTCTCTTTATTAAAATATATTAAAGGGTCAAGTAGCTTTCTTAGCCGGAAACAGAAAACAGCAGTCCACATTTAGCTCCCTTTGTGAGACTGAAATGCATTACCTTTTTTTCCATTAATTGAGGGAGAAGTGTAGCATTTTGTGTCGTTAAATTACTCCTGGTCCAATTTAATATTCAGATAATTAAAGAAAAAAAAAACAGCTATATGGTGCCAACTTCCATAATTACTCTTTATATTATGTTGATGACCTCTTCTTTGATGGTTTAGTGAAAATGAGTTGCACTCATTTTGTTTCGACCATTTTTTCTACAGGTTTTTTAATTGGTACTAACACATTCACGATGGCCCACATCTCTCCTCTCGTCCTCCCAGAGCGAATGACAATCTTCCTGGTGACTGTTCTCCTGATACTGGTTTCTGAAGTTCAAACACAAGGTAATATGCTGCCATTTTAGCTGTTTTTTAAATATTTACCAATACACTTTTTCTGGATAATGTCAAAAATGATCTTTACTATTACGAGAACTGAAAAAGGCTAATATATAAAACTTGATAAAGCTGTGGATGTCATTCAGTTTAATCACACATTTATTGTGAAATTAAACAGAGACTTTCTTACCATTTATTTTGTTGTGATTTGGTGATTTTTGAAGAACAATTTTTTTTTTACAAAACCTTTTATTTAAAGGTAACTGTTGGTGTTTTCCCATAATACAACAAAGAACAAAACCATTCAGAATATACAGTGTACAGTTTGGTACAGTGCAACCACTAGGATATTGTTTACATTTTAGACAAGTCAAGTTGCAATATCAAACAGGATCACATGAGATGCCCAAAACCCTAAAACAGACACCTTGACTTGATGGCATACAGTACACTGAGCTATTCATAATTATTGAACACCACTTCATACACATGACAGAATTGATTACAGTACTCATCCATCTAAAGTTTTCTAGCCAGATGATGGTTTACTTTATATAGCCAAGAAACATACTGTAGTTTGTGTATCTTGCAGATATATACAGCAGTGGGCTGTGTTGACATTATGTTTAGCCTGTATTTCACAAAGCACCATGCATGACTCATTCGCAGAACATGACAAAGATTGCGCTTTAAATGCACTCATGGGAAATTAATTCACAAAAAAAGTGAGACACTGTTCTTTCTCAAGTAATTGTCCTGGTTTTCTTTACATTTAGCTCAGTTTTGGACAAATCGTTTGAATGCATTTACCTACAGACATTTGTGAGACAAGACTGGATTAACTTTTTTTCATTCACTGAAGAAGTGTGTAATCTTATTCTGATAAAATATCCCTGGTCCATTTCAACATTTTAATATTTAATATTATGTTTACTATTTTTAGATTTAACAACCATCATGTCATTACTTTTATACATTTCCAGCAAAAATGACACCTTAAATACTTAGATTATGGCTATTCAAGTTGAATTCAGAATTATTAGCTCCCCTGTTTATTTTTTCCCCAATTTCTGTTTATCGGAGAGAAGATTTCTTCAACACATTTCTAAGCAAAATAGTTTTAATAACTCATCTGTAATAACTGATTTATTTTATCTTTGCCATGATGACAGTAAATAATATTTTACTACTTTTACAAGACCCTATTTTACAAGACCCTTCTATACAGCCTAAAGTGACATTTAAAGGCTTAACTAGGTTAATTAGGTTAACTAGGTAGGTTAGGGTAATTAGGCAAGTCATTGTATAACAGTGGTTTGTTTTGAGGAAAGTTGGGGAAAAAATTGCCTTAAGGGGCTTATAATTTTGACCTTAAAATGGTTTATAAAAAATTTAAAAACAGTTTTATTCTAGCTGAAATAAAACAAATAAGACTTATAATATATATATATATATATATATATAATATTATCAGACATAAATTTCCTTGCTCTGTTAAACATAATTTGGGAAATATTTAAAAAAAGAAAATAACAATCTACTTCAACTGTGTATTTCCTAGTGTTACTTAATACGGAATGGTAGTGCAGTAATCTAAAAGTCTAAAAAAACATTGCTAATACTACATCACATTTGCTTTAAATAAAAAGACATGCACATATAATATATTCTGTCTATTTGTAAATATGATAGCATCTTAAATCATGCCAAGAATTTACACACAACTGTTTTCTTTTGTTTGGGAAATGTTAAAGTTCATCTGATTGGACTAAATTTACGACCCAGGTGCATTTGCTTACACTCTGACAGCTTAAATTAATCTGGCCGTAAACTGTGTTGAGAAGTTAAAATGGAAATTTTTGCAAATCAGGTTTACAGGTGTTTTTGACAGAGATAAACTCATGTCTCCTAATTAGCTTGTGAAGTAAATTTCATTAACCACCCAGTTTTATGTTATAGATTTAATTATTTTATTTTAGTCTCCATCACATGCATTAACATTAACAGCCCTATTGCAATAAAAATAATAAGAGGAAATTTTAAATTAAAGACAACATCAATTTAAACATTGAGGAAATGAATATGAACAACTGAATACATACACACATAAAAATAAATGACCATAATGTTCTTTGTAAGCTGCTAACATCAACAGTTCAGCAAGTTCTATATGTTTGCTCCTGTATTTTAAATGCATCCGCTTCCCTGAAATGGTCAGTATTTCAGAGCCATGGATAATTGCTACCGCTTCCATAATTAGATCCCCTTTTGTAACCAAAATGCTGGGCCTGTGCAGTTTAAAATATAATAAAGGGTCAAGTAGCTTTCTTAGCAGGAAACAGAAAATAGCAGTCCACATTTAGCTCCCTTTTCGAGACAGGAATGCATTAACTTTTTTTCCATTCATTGAGGGAGAAGTGTAGCATTTTGTGCTGTTAAATTATTCCTCGTCCAATGTTCAGATCATTAGCTTATAAAAAATAAAAAAAATAAAAACACACACACCATTACAATTGTTTTATTATTTCTATTTTATTTTTATTTTATTTATTTTGTTTTTTATTTCTGAATTTAGTTTCTGAACGGAATTGTGGGATCAATGAGGTAAAAATATATTGCCACATCACATTTGGGTTGTTTAGCATGGTTTGCATTTATTACATCATGCCAAAAAAGCACACAGCTTGTGTTTTGTTTGTGAAATGTCATCTGCATTCCTAAAAGTTCATCAAATTGGACTGAATTTACAACCCACTTGCTAGAAAAGTGTGCCGAAGTCATATTTAACCCCTATAGACTTACATTTGAGAGTTGTTTTTTTTTTAGCTAAATGATACACAGTCATTAAACACAGTCTCCCTGAACTGAATGTTTCCCCCAAGGAAGGAAATTCTTGGTTAGCAGCACAGCAGAAAAGAATAGACTGCAAACTCTCTGCCTGAGGCCATTGTGCAACATTGCGAAATCTCTAGACAACTGCACATGTCCTTTACTGGATGTTTCTGCATTTGGGAAAGAAATTTGCTTTTTAAAGTGCTTGGAATAATTTATGTGTCCTCTCTGGGCCTCTTGTTATCTCTGTCCTCCCTTGAGGATACATGCCGCGCGTGTGTTTTCCGCACTGTTTTTGTCTGAGCAGTTGGCAGCACATTTGTTGACTTCTAGGTTGGTGGTGCTGCTGCGTCGGCCAGAAAGTTTCTGTTTGCCTTCTGATCTTCTGCCAGTTGATTCAGAGCATGGCTATTTATTTGTTGCCACACTTTGAAAATTTTGTTACCCTAAAGGGGATCATTTTAGTAGATCTGACCCTTGAAACTGATCTCTGTTGCTGGAATCGAAGCAGCTGATTGTCATTTTTTATTAACAGTAGTAGTAATAATATTAATAATAATAAAATATGATATTATGTTAACCCTATTCATTTAATAGCATAAGAACAAAGGTTCTTCTTATTATTAAAGGTTCTTTATTATTATTATTATTATTATTATTATTAATATTATTATTATTATTATTATTATTATTATTATTATTATTATTATTAATAAAATGCGAATGATTAAACTGTTGGCTTAATTATTATTATTATTTTTTTTTATTATTATAAAAACGTGAATGATCAAATGGTAATGGCTTAATAATAATAATAATAACAATAATAAGAATTATTAATATTATTATTATTATTATTATTATTATTATTAATATTATTATATTAATATTAATAATGTTATAAAAAGTGAATGATCAAATGGTAGACTTAATTATTATTACTATTAATAATAATAATAGTAATATATACTACTACTACTACTACTACTACTAATAATAATAATAATAATAAAATAACAATTAAGCCTACCATTTAATCATTTACGTTTTAATAATAATAATAATAATAACAAAAATAATAATGATAAATAAGTAATCTGACCATTTGATCATTCATGTTTTTATAATAATAATTATAATAGTAATAAATAATAAAGCCAGAAGCCTAGAATTTGATTGTAAGCATTTTATAATAATAATAATTAATTAAATAATAATAAAGCCTACAATTATATCATTCACGTTTTTATAATAATAATAACAATAGTAATAACAGTAAAATAATAATTAAGCCTACCATTTGATGATTCACGTTTATAATAATAATAACAACAACAACAATAACAATATTTTATGAAATCTTTTTCTACAATTATGAAACCCAGCATTTCACAATTTCTGTTTTTAGTAATAATCATTATTACAATGATAGTGATGATATTGTTTTGTTTTTAATAGTAAGGTTTTTATTTGAATGAAGCTTGTTAATTTTGATGGTCACATGTAACATTATTTTTATACCTGATGAAACAATTTTTTGTGCATGAAACCTAATATTTCATCATCCATTGCTTTTAAATATTTTTAAATCTTATTTAATTATTTTTAACAGTTTTCCCCTGGTTTTATAAAAATAACAACAATATATAATATATAACGATAATTTGTTTAATTTGATTAAATTTAATTTGATTTAAATGTATTTATTTTGCTTGAATTAAACCACATGAAGTTTTTTATGCCTATGTTAAATCTGTTCATAGAAATTTTACCACATGAAGTTTAATTACTATAGATGGATATAGAACATTTTTGTGAAGCCCAGTATGTTGCTGATAATATATTCCCCCAGTAACATAATCCAGATCCTAAATCTGCTGTACATCTAGCAGGGACAAAGATCTTGATGTTTTTTTGGGGTCATCCTCATTGTAACACCCATCTGGGCCATGACGTTACACACATGCATCCCCTTCAGGCTGACCTTCAACCCCGGCGAAAAGCAGATTTCCTGTGGTCCCGGAGCCCCTGTTACCCTGCAGGCCATGACAGGGCCTGCTTTGAGTACTGGTGGACAGCTGGAGTGAGGGGAAGATGGGCCAGCCTACATGAAAGAGGCGATTGACAAACTGTCATGTGGAATTTATGGAGATAAGCTGAAGACAAGGGCAGAGTTGAGCAAGAGAACAGTGCTGAAGGAAATGAAAAACTTCCCGGTCAAATATTAGAACTTCTCAAAGAGGGAAAAAAAGGCTATTGAGCAGCTTTGATCTTTTAAGACTTACATATTTTAGCTTCGCCCAAATACAGGCCTCTTTTCCCATGGTTCTCTTCAACAGTTACAGGCTTGTTTTTGTCCCACATCTGACTGGCTTTTGTGTGTGTTTGTTCGCTGGAAGACACAAACTTATCAGTGGAAATGCATCTGTTTTCTTTTCTAATGGTATTTTCATTCTTGCATTTGTTGAATGATGTATTTTGAATGTGTTTGCAGGCAGACTGAAGCTAACTGTTCTGTCTGAAGATCGGTTACAGATGAAATGGAAGGAGGCTGAAGGGCCGGTTCAGGGCTACAAGGTCCGTGTGCGACCCATTACAGGTCAGACTGCTATAGTGATACATTAAGACTTCAGCATTAGTGTTTGCGATATACAAGTAACGTGTTGATTTGGCATTTTTGTTACTTTTTCTCAATGATATATGCTTTGTTTGCTGGCATTTGGTGTGGTGTTTTCAATAACAATGTAATCAATTTAAACATATTTAAAACTGTCATAAAATAAAATAATAATATTGGTGGTCACCTTTAGATATTTCTAAGTCGCTTCTACGTACACCTTACTTAATAGTAGAGTTATACTTGATAGTTTGGGTTAGAAGTATCAATAGGGCAATTACCAAGCTACATCACATGGGTTCAACCGTGCATACCGGTTGCAAAAACAGACCGGTTGCAAAAGCAAACATGTCATGTTGTGCAATAGGATGCCAAAAATAGAAAACTTAAATTTTACCACACATCACACTGCTTTTAATGGCAACCGCAGACGTCTTTGGCAAACAGCCATCATAAGAGCTGAATGGAGTGAGGACCTAATTAAAAATGCTCAACGCTGCAGTTCTCATTTCATATCAGGTAGGTTTACGCTATGCTAAATCATACATATTACTCCCTTTTGATTGCAGCAATGATTTCAGCAAAAACAGTTAAATATGGTGAATTTAACTGCGGACACTGAATGCTTAGAATAAAATGTAAAAATGTAAGTTGACATACCCTGCCGTACAGGTGCAGTTGACTGTCAGAATGCAGTCCTTTTGCTTGTTGATGATTAATTACCCAGGTCTTGTACAGTTCCGTCCCCTTTCTTTGTCTTTAGTTAGGCAGAACCTCGGTCTTTTGCGTTACAAAGTTTTGAATCTGGTAATCATGGAACATTATTTCTTGAACATGACCACACAATCACTGGGTGACAAGCTGTTACAACACGCTGAAAACATTATGTAAGTAAAATATATAATATGTAATCAATATAACTTATCTGTAATACAATAACAAACTCTGTACAACATCGGATGTCATTCCCTCACTGTAAATGCTAGCGCTCCCGTTTTTTTTTTCTGCCACCTCGCTGTGCGCGCATTCTGAATGTTTACGAACCAGTAATTTGGCTTTTGACAGATTTTCTAGTGCTGCCTTTGGCCATAGATTTTGCTAGTTTAGAGAATTTAGAAAGTTTATTATTATTGTTTATATATTATTATTATAGAGGTACTTAAAAGCGGAATATGCAGAATTTTACATTGCTATTTTTATCTGGTCAGATGGGTTTGAAAAGAATGTCTGAAATTTTTTTTTTTGGCTTGATTAGGACAATTCACTTTCACAGCAGTTTTTAACATAAAAACATTTAGCAGTGCCTCTACGGCTGCTGGATATTCTTTAAAATGCATTTTAATCGATTATTTTTAAGGCTTGATAAGTGCTTAGAATTTCAATTAAGTTCTTGATGCTTTTTTAAAAAATGTAATGGTGTTACTTTTATAACAATTTGCAAAATGGATAATAATGATTAATAATAATATTTAAATAACAAATAAAAAAAATTTTGATTTTGCATAAAATGAAAACTTTGTAGACTGTACATGTGCCTGTAACATGATCTTTTTAATGTGTGCCTTTTTAAATGAAAATGAATCTAATATTGGTATTATGCAAGATAAATCACATTTAAGAGAATAAATGACAGTAATTTAGTAACATTGAGCTGGGTTAACATGCCATCAAAATGTCCTTAAAATACTATATACTATAGAAAGTTCTAACAAATATTATCTCATATAATGCTACCAAGTATGTACAGTTGAAGTCAGAATTATTAGCCCCCCTGTTAATTTTTTTCCCCAATTTCTGTTTAAGTGAAGATTTTTTTCAACAAAAAAAACTCATTTCTAATAACTGATTTTTTTATCTTTGCCGTGATGACAGTAAATAATATTTGACTAGATATTTTTCAAGATGCTTCAATACAGATTAACGTGACATTTAATGGCTTAACTAGGTTAATTAGGTTAACTAGGCTGGTTAGGGTAATTAGGCAAGTTGTTGTATATTGATTGAAACAAAATATATAGCTTAAAGGGGCTAATAATATTGCCCCCTATGGTTTTTAAAAAATTAATAACTGCTCTTATTCAAGCCAAAATAAAACAAATAAGACTTTCTCCAGAAGAAAACACGTTATCAGACAAGCTGTGAAAATTTTCTTACTCTGTTAAACATCATTTGCGAAATATAAAAAAATCTAAATAAATAAAAGGGGGGCTAATAATTCTGACTTCAACTGTATGTGTTTGTAAATTTTTTATTTGTCACACTTGTAAACAGATGGAAATGTTTAAAAATGTTCCTGAAAAGGGCTTTAAAATGCCTTTAGTTTGTCCTTAAAAGTCCTGTATTAAAATGGGCAAGATGTACTGTAAGTAGGGGTCATTTTGATCCAGTGAGGAAAAAAGGCAGCAGATCTGCCACTTTAGATTTTTTTTTTTTAATATATGCTTAGTAGGACATACTTCTTATAGGCACGTCGACGTACAATTTTAGATACAGTATGTATCTAGGGTGACATGGTGGCTCAGTGGTAAGCACTCTTGCCTCACAGCGAGAAGGCTGCTGGTTCGAGTCTGGGTCAGTTGGCATTTCTGTATGGAGTTTGCATGTTCTACCCATGTTTCCATATATTTCCTCTGGGTGCTCACAATCCAAAGACATGCGCTATAGGTGAATTGGATGAACTAAATTGGCCGTAGTGTATGAGTGTATGTGAATATGGGAGTGTATGGGTATTTCCCAGTACTGGGGTGCAGCTGGAAGGGCATCTGCTGTGTAAAACATATGCTGAAATCAATGCCGGTTCATTACGCTGTGTCGAGGCTGAAGGAAAATAAATGAATATTACAATCTAAAGCCTATTTTAGTCTTACACAATGCAAAAATAACAAAACTTATTTAACGTGAACACGATTACAGTTACTATTTTTTAAAGTGACTCAATATTGTAACATTACTTTTAGAAGTAACCTTACCCAACAATGATCACAGATTTGATTAGATGAGCAGTGCCAAAGGCTCAACCCAACTAAAATACAACAACAAACAAAAAAACTCAGCATGCTCAGAACTTGAAATACATTTCAAAGGTGATATACAAAACTGCACTGCTTAGAAGAAAATAGCTGTTAGTGGAGCATCAAATTAAAGTGCTACCAAGAAATGTTCTCTACTGTTCTCTACCGTGGACTGTAAATAGCAGTCATGCCTTCTCGCCCCAGGGCAGATTAAACCCACCACTCAGTGGAAAAATGCACATTTTGTTCACTACACCGAGCAGAACCTGGATTCCACTGAAGCACTCCCATTTAATTAATGCATCTAGTGGATTCATTTTTCTTAGTTAGTCAATCAAATAAAAATAGACATTTTTGAAAGTAACTTGAATTGTATTCATATATTTGTTTCTTTAATATTTTATTTTATTTCATTTGTTTTTTCTTTCTTTCTTTCTTTCTTTCTTTCTTTCTTTCTTGATTGTATTTCATGCATTTATGCAATGTTACTTGAGCCTTTGTTTACTAATTTACAGATTTTTTTCTTTTTTCCCCACAATTTTTTATTTGTGGGTTTAAATATGTTCAGAAAAAAACATTTTAATTAACATTTAATTTAATTAATCAACAACTTAATTTTTTAGAAGTTTCCCAGAGATGGGTTGCGGCTGGAAGGACATCCGCTGCGTAAAAACTTGCTGGATACGTTGGCGGTTCATTCCGCTGTGGTGACCCCGGATTTATTCCGGGCGACCCTGGAATAAAGGGACTAAGCCGACAAGAAAATGAATAAATGAATTAATTTTTTAGAAGGACAAGCTAAAATGCCAGTATATACTACTAGAATGCAATGACTATAGGGACTATTTGTGACAATTTGTTGTTGTTTTTTATTCTGTGCTATCTGTCTTATGCTATGGTTGATCTTCTATTTTCTGAACTGATGTGGTGTATTTATATTTATATATTTATATATATATATATATATATATATATATATATATATATATATATATATATATATATATATATATATATATATATATATATATATATATATATATATATATATATAATTTTATTTATTTATTTTTATTTTTATTTTTTGTTAGTTGATTGTTTAGATCAGAGATGCCCAAACTATGGCCCGTAGTCCAAAGTTGGCCATGGTAACCTTTGATTTGGCCCACCATCCCATCTGAAAACAGAGGGAGAATGAGGGGATGGCTTTTTCAAATTAAATGTAACCTTTTGTTTGTTTGTTTAAATGTTATGCTACAACAAAACCTAACTGAAAATAAATGTTTCAATGTTAATGCTGTAATTTAGTAAAAAAATGTACATACTGTCATCCGAGGGATAGAGGACAATAAAGAGACTTTGATGCGCAAATCAAAGCAAAGGCAGATTCTGCTTGATTAGTGCATTCAGCATTGAACTCCACTGTGTGGATAGTTTGATATATTTATCTTTGGCTCACGACTCTCAATGATTATTGGTTTTTGGTCCTTCATACGAAAAAAAATGGGCACCTTGGTTTAGATAATTTTATTAATATTTTTGTAATAAAGTGTTGTTAAAATCATCTCTTTCTTTCTTTCTTTTTTTTTCTTTCTTTCTTATCCCGTTAACTAAGAGTTCAGAATAGACAAGTCTTTTTGAGAGATGATGGAATGAGGATAGTCATAACCTTTGCTCATATCACTTCTGTCTATGTTTCAGTTAAGGCCCTCTGTATTTTTATCACCATCTCTTGCTCTGTCTTTATCTTTGCCTCTGTTATCTTCTGTTCCGCCCCGTGCTCAGTTAGGTGAGTCCAGACAGGTCTGTTGCAGTCTTGAGAAAGTTCACACAGCAAAACAAACAGCGCACATGCCTTCACGAGGCTCCAGGCAGAAACCCACAGAAACAGGCAATCATGATTCTTAACAAATTCTCACACTCCACCTATTTTTTGAGGGTGTTTATATTTAACTTTTCTGTGATATTTTAAATGTCTCACTCACTGTGCATTCTTCATAATGCTATCTAATTTCGAAATCTGCTCTCCCTAGAGATCTAATTTCAGGAAAGCAATTCAAAACTCAAGAAATGAAAGTAATTTACACCTCAAATTTAATTATGTAAAAAAAAAATCTAATCATTTTTAAATATATAATATATTCTGTCGGTTGGTTGTATTTTTACAGCCTTGTTCTTCAATATCAGCCTTTTTGTCATGCTGTATTTTAACAAGCCTCTCTGTTAAATCCGTAAATAAAAAGAACCCACAGATACACATTTTATTTCTAGTTTCTTGGTTTTATGCAGTAGTTATTATGTTTTAAGTACATAAATCCAAGTCTACATTAAAGTCAAGCTGACCCTCAGTAACATCCCTGAAGAAGTTGCATTCTATTGGTAAACAGCTCAAATTGGGCAGAGAAATTGGATTATTAAAATAAAGACCTATGAATAATAACCTATAATAAAGATTGCAAGCCTGTAATGCAAACGGGACAAGAAAATGGAATAACAGCAGTGTGTTATTTTATTCAAAAGGGAAGATGAACGTTTTTTTTTTTTTTTTTTTTTTTTATGTTTGATCATTTTGACAGCAAACAAACTCAATATATTGCTTGCTATATTAAGCCTGAAAAAGGCCATAATATTTACAGATAACATCTTAAGTAAGAATTAGTGTAGGTGTTAGTGTAAAACTAATTCTGTGTTACCGTACTCTTCAGATCAGGTGTCTTTATGTCAAGGTCAAGTCCTAAAGTAATATGCCTGTCAGCAGTTTAGAGCATTATTAGCAATCCAGTCATTATAGTGATCAGTGCTACAATATTAGATGTTTAAGAAGTGTAGTAAGCCACTAGCAGCTCACTTATAGAGCGAGTTCCTCTGTGTTTACAGATGCAAGCAGATTATATGCATATCTTGAGTTGTTTGCAGATCTTTTGTAGATGCATTCTTTCCCGGACAATATTCAGGTGGCTTTATCTGAAGTGTCTTGGTGTCACATCTCCAAAAAACTCAGCAGTTGGGTCTGATAAAAACAATGAAAAAACTTTTAAGGTTTTTCTTTTGAGGTTGAAGGAATAATGTTGAAAAAGTGACCATTTAACTGGCTTAAAGTTGCTACTCTGACCTTTAAACAGTGGTTTGAGATCATTGAAAAATGCTGAAACAAGGTGTGTGTCTACTAAAGTGTTTTTTTCTTAAGCCAAGAATATATATATATATATATATATATATATTATTATTATTATTATTATTTATTTTTTTTTGTTTTTTTTTTCGAGGAGAACACAGTTTTTTTAGAACCTCAGCAGTGTAGCAAGGTGTTGACCATCCATTTTCAATCAAACACAGTGATTTGTGTTTTTAAAATGCTTGGAGGAGTGCTCACAGCTGAGCCTACATAGAAGAATGCTTACAATAAAGCTGTGCAAAATAAAACTTCGGTGGAGGCACACCATGAGCATTTTTGACAAAGACACAGACAAAAAATGGCTTTCCCATACACAAAGAGTAGAACATGGTGTTATCAATGCCAAAGTTGAGGATTTGTTTCAGGGAAAGCAAGAACTGCTAAAAATCAATTCTACTTTCAATGCAGTGCACTCTAAGAAATTAAGGTACAGGAGCTGTCTCTGGGGCAGTACCTTTTCAAAAGGTACATATTTGTACCTGAAGGGTCCATAATGGTACATCAAAGGTACTTTTTGGTACTAATGTGCACTTTTGAGGTACTATTGTGAACTCTTTGGGTACAAAAATGTATCCTTTGAAAAGGTACTGCCCCCATAACAGCTCCTGTATGTTTATTTCTGAGAGTGCGTAATGAGCTTTGTGTAAAAGCATCTGCCTAATGCATTGATGTGAAATGTAGATATATAAAAAGCAATAAATATATTTTCAGCTGTTTGTTAAAGATTTCTAAATCTAAATGACTCTTTCTTTCTCTTTTCCAGAAGTTCCTCAGCCAGAGCTGATGCTGACAACCACACGTGGACGTGCCACAGTCGCTGGCCTGGACTCCAGACAGGAATACCTCCTTCAGGTTATGGCAATCAACGGGACACAGGAGAAGCTTATTGCAAAAAGACGCTTTACAAGTAAGAGTTAAAGATATGAGGACAAGAGCGTAGATTTGCTCTTGACATTGGTGGGGACATACATCCCTAAAGCACATGCATTGGACAGCACAAATTCGGTTTCACGCTTTTAAAAACAAGATTAAAGGACTTCATAATATAAAATAAACACTTGATAATACAAATAATAAACTTGTCCCATGTTGCAAAACTCAATTTACATGATTTTATTGCAGTCAATTTAGAGAGGTGTGTGATGCAATTGAACTGTTTTATCCCAATTATTGTTTTTCATAATCATGGAGGCCAAAATCAAAACCAATTTTCGATTAATTGCACAGTCGTGGTTTATAGTATTACAGTGAACTAATGCCAATTCTACGCCCTTGTGTGAGGATGTTTCTATCTGATTGATTAGAGTTATTGCTAGGGAGCTGCTAGGTCCTTCTTTTAACCTACAGTATAAGGAATCAAATCATATCCATTATTAATGATTGAAAATTTATGGTCATTGCTACACAATGAACCTTAACGAGTCTCACATTTTAAGGAAACATCAAAATGTCCAGAGTAATCAATGTTACATTATGACTCAGTGTTTATTATTAAAATGAGATGTTTCTTCTCAGGTTTGTTGTTTACACTGCACAGACAAATGCCAACAAACAAGTCTGCCGGAGTTTGTTGGATCAGTGTGTTAACTCGGTCAGCATCTGACCTGTTGGTCGGAGTTTGTTTTCACCCAAATGAACATGTTCAATTAGAGTTTGTTGGATCATGGAATATCTGAGCAGTGTGATATGATTCCCCAACAAGTGGAAATAAATTTAGGATTAATCTGATCAGAGACCAGATCTGCTTTACATAAACGTCTTTTGAAGACACTTAATTAATAGTGTTATTTTTGTGTGTAGCAATTGTTGGGACAGTGTGAACATTGTGACAATTTTTTTACAACATTTTAACAACGACCAACTTGTTTATTGGCTTTCGTCTGTGCGATGTGAATTGGCCTTTAGAGGTGGAGGAACTTTTTAAGAGCAAGAATCAGAAATCTATGGAAGCTTGTTTTTACCACTAATAAGTAAATAAAAATGGTAATTTATGACCTTCAGCTCACAATTCAGCTTCCAGTTGGGAATTTTTAATAGAAATTCCAAGGTATAAACACAGAACTCCAAGATACAAAGTCAGAGTTCAGACTTTTCTCTAGTTTATGGTTTCATCTCACACTTTCACTGACTTTTTCCCATATTGTGAAATAAAAACAAATTAAATTTTTTCTAGTTTGCCAATTCTGTGGTTTCAGATTTTTTTCTTATAATTCTCAGATTATATTTCACAGTTCTTTCTTTTTTACTGCAGTTATTATTCCTATTTCTTTGAATTGTGAGAATAGTGAGACCCACTGTGCCACCACGTCGCCCCTAATAATAATTAACAATTAAATTTAAATGTTGACTTAATTTAATCTCACAATTCTAATTGTATTTCTAACAGAAGGAAAAAATACTCTCAATTGCAAGTTTTTTGCAATTCTGAGAACAATAAGTCACATTTGTGAGATAAAAAGTTATAGAAACCTTTGAACACAACACTAGTACAGTGTTCAGGGGAAACTGTCTGTAATTGACAGTGTGGAATGGTGGATTCCTGCTGGATTACAGGCCAGGACTGACACTTGTGTCTTTACAGGCGCAAAACACTTCTGGAATTCCCTTTTAAACACAGTAATGTCCCCCCCAAAGAGGCCTCCCTTAAAGAAACCTGATAGCGGATGATGAAATGACTTTCAGCTATTGTCCCAGCTGTGAATGTGCTGAAATAAGAATCTAGCTGGCAGATCTGACTTTATTCTGTAATAGACTGGTGTTGTCATTGTCAAAAGATGCAAACCATGGCAAACATCTGTGATATGTCAGGTTGAGGGAGTAGGTTACTGTGTCGAGCCGAGCAGGTCTGGACAGGGCCAGTTGTGTGGTTTGGCTGTAGGGCCATGCTTTATGTCTGAGGGGGATTATTCCATTGTTCTGTCATGAAAGCCAAATCATCCACTCAGTTTTTCCATATGCATCTGCTTATATATCAGAAGGCTGTTGGTTTAAGGAAAGAAGGCTTTAACATGATTTACTTGTTTTGTAAAGTAGTAATCATGTAATAGTTTATACTAAATAAATCAGAAAATAATATTCCACACACCACAGAAGTTTGGGATCAGCAGGTTTTTAAAAATGTTTTGAAATGAAGCATGTTGTGCAGGAAATATTATTACAATTTATTTTTGAAATTGTATTTAATAATATTAAATACTTCTTGAGCAGCATATCATCATGTGAAGCTGATGACTATAAATGATGCTGAAAATTCAGCTTTACATCACAACAAAAAATGACATTTTAAATATATTTAATTGCTACACACAAAAAGTAAATTGTAATATTATTTCAGATTAGGTTTACTTTCTTGTCCTAAACGCATGTTTGGTCTATTGACCACTTTGATATTTTCCTCTCCTCTTGTGTTTGTGTGTGCATCAGTTGATGGGCTGCGTGAGGAAGAGTTGATCCGCAGTGGGAACCGGGAGCAGAAGAAGAAAACTCCCGCTATTGGCTCAGGCTCTGGAGAGGTGGATGACGTGACGGAGGCTTTAGAAGGCCTTCCCACTGTGCTCTACAGAGAACCAACCACTACAGGTACAGACTAAAGTTAATTAAATGTGCATTTGCCAGTGAAATCTTTCATGAAAAAGGACAAGTTTTCAACACAACCATTCAAAAGTTTGAGGTGTGTTATGTGTGAATTTAGAGCTGTAATTCAGAGATTTTGACCTTTTGAAACATAATTGCAAGTTACTTTGATGAAGGTATCTTCAAATAGTTTTTTACACGGGCTGCGCTACCAACTCATGTTTGTAACATTTCATTGAAGAGGTTTTTTTAAGACGCTTAAAATGAGGCAAGTTAGAATCTGTGGACATTTATTGTTATTTCTGCACAGAATTTTGTAAAAAAAAAAAACAACATCTGCTGATTTCTGTGGAATGATTTTGGGAGTATTATAACTAAAAACATGAACCTTAAAAAAAGTTTTAACTTTTATTTGAACTTTTATTGAATTTTTACAATGCAAATCCAACTAGATCCACTTATTTGTTAAACAAAGCAAGTCTCTCATATAATAAATCTACTAAAAGACAGACAATATGACTTTACAAACTTTATTGTAAATAAATCATATGAACATTTTGATATTAGTTAATAATTATTCTGGAATTAACTTAAAAACTGAATAGAAATAAATTTACACACATATACAAGAATGTAATAATTAGACTAAATGATGGGCTAATATGACACATATTATGAACGTGAATGAGATTATATGCATGTGTATGACAGCTGTCATTATGTTTCATTAGCTCAGTTATGTTATTTTAGGTGCAAAGGTGACAATTGCTTGAGATGTCTTTTTAATGACAACTTGACATTACTAAGACAGCATAACTTGTCATAGATCTGCCATAAACATGATTATCTTAAGGCCATTATAATTATGTCATGAATTTTACAACAGTGTCATTAATGTTTTTCTTGACCTCAACTACAGTGATACAAATTGAATTTTTCATTAAAATGTGATTAATTGTTGGCGCAATAGCCTAGTGGTTAACGCATCGACATATGGTGCAGTAGCACGTCAGGCAGCCTGTGTTCGAATCCCGGCTCGAGGACATTTCCCTACCCCTCTCTCTCTCTCTAAAACTTTGCTTTCTGTCTAAATGCTGTCTTATCTAATGAAGGCAAAAATCTTTTTAAAAATAATGTAATTAAATACATATTAATGGAACTGTTTTAAAAACAATTTTTGACTGAGTATTGGCTCTTACTGAGACGCTTCAATAAAAAAATAAATTTTGTTTAATTTAAAAGAGTGATCAGAAATATTTTCATGATCACAGATTTATGACAAGTTAATCTTGGTAATGTCAAATCGTCACAATGACAACAAAGACTGTTTCTCATGCAGAGAATGTACTTGCTTTCTCGTGGAGATTATTCTTGCTAGGTCACCTCGGAAGAACAAACTTGGTAGACCATGAGAACACACAACGCATCCTTTGAGAAATTAAATGTTGCGTTCGTCCTGATGGTCAAGTGACCTTTACACGTTTTAAACGGAAAATGAATTAAACATTACAGATTTCTTACAATGATTTATTGTTTTCCCCTTTTTAAATATATATAAAATGCACAAAAACCTTACAAATGTACTCATTTTAATAAGAATTTCAGCAAATAAACACTATTAATGTGTTTTGCCTTTATTAAGATTTTCATATTAATGTTTACTTTCACCGTCTCATTTAGAGAAACTCCTGAAATAAATAAGTTATATCTCTGAACTTTAATAATAATCAGGTATAAATGCTGTCATGTCATGATTATCAAGGTGTCATGACAGTCTTAGAAACATCTCCTTCAACGAAAATTTTACCATTTTGAATCAGGGTTAGGTGGTAGAGAGTTTTAACTTTGTGTGTATGTCTTATGTGCTTGTTGTTGTGTTTGTTTTTAACCAGAGTTCTATATTACAGTTTCAACACATTTATTATTTAATTAAAATTATCAAACACATAAATAATAACAGTAAAAAAATTATAGCAATGATTCAATAATTTTTTTTTTCTTGTTGATGTTTTTAATAATTTATGATATTTTTAATAATCATGTTGGTATAAAAGTATATTCGTAGTAAAAGTTTACTGCATGTCTGCTGTTGCAGCGTTTATGTTGAGCTCCAGATGTGTAAAACTGAGTTACTAAAAGGAGGTGTTAACAGCATGGCATTTATCAGTGACAAACAAACCATACACTTTTATAGTTGCTGCCCAGTCAGTGTACAAAGCAGAGGAGCTGCATCCCCACACTCTCTGTCATTATATATGCTTTGCTGGTGGAGTGACAGAGGGTTAAATTAGTGGTTGCTTTATCACTAACTATTAATAAGAGTTCATTCATCTCCAAATGCCTGTAATCAGTGCTTCTGTAATGGGACCGAATGGGACATGAATGGGTTGCTCTCTACCTGTGCTGAGATTTTGTTTGTATAGGGGCAAAATGTGTGGGAATGTAGACGCAGGCTTTGAAACAGCATAACATATACTACTTTTTTGACTACAGATAATTGCTTTTGATGTTGTACAGCAGCTTTTCGTGACCTTTATACATTTTAATTCATTAGTCCCTTTATTCATCAGGGGAAGGAACTACCAACTTATCCAGCATGTGTTTTACACAGTGGAAGCCCTTCCAGCTGCAATCCAGTACTGGGAAACACCCATACACTCTTATTCACACAGCATACACACACACACACACACACACACAAACACTATGGCAATTTAGCTTATTCAATTTACCTACAGCGCATGTCTTTGCTCTCGAACCAGCAACCTTCTTGCTGTGAGGTGATCGTGCTACCCACTGCACCACTGTGACGGCCATTTTAATACATTTGTGACTAAATGTACATTGCAAAAACCAACATTTAAAATCTAACCTCAACCTAAACTTTAACGTGTCTAGTGAAAGGGGTCGTCCAGAGTGTTTTTTTTATTATTATTTTTTTATTGGAAGAATATGTACAATTACAGAATGTTTGCAAATATATATATATAAAAAAAGATCCTCCGCATTTTACTTATGCAAAAAACAAAATAAAATAAATTAAAATAAATTAAAACAAAATATTTCCTTCTATAATTATTAGGGTCCAGAGTGTGTTTTTAAGGCTTGGTTATGTTTATAAGATGCAAGTAAGTGTGCACTCATGCTTCATTTGTAAAAAAAAAAAAAAAAAAAAAAAAAAAAAAGAATTTAATTTTTTTCATTTATGTTATTTTAATTATATACAACTACTCTACACAGCTGAACCTCATGCCTGCTCTCTAAAATAAAATCTGATAAGTGTGTATTCAGAATAAGCATGTGTAAGTAAGCTAAATTGCTTAGTTATTAATGGTGCTAAACAGCATTTCCCATTGTTTACATCCGTGTTTAAGTCCCTGCTACAGCATACCGTTAACGCTAGAAACTGTGCATGCAATAGATCAATTTTAACAAAAAAAAATAACTACAGGTTGTGGATCACAATCCACAGCTTCGTCGGTTGGAAGAGTTTTAACCGAATCCAGCACTGAACTGGGAGAGATTCTGAAAGCTGTCCTTTGTCAAATGCTAGATATATTTTTTATAATTCTCTGGAATATAATTAATATTAAACTGTAAGCACTTCTGTTTTTGTGTCGTGTCCTTTGGAAGCCCAAATACAGCAACAGAACAAGCTCTGTGGGAATAGCAGCGTTTGGACTGCATTTTAGCTTTCTCTGCTATAACATTACATCACCTCTTGCCACGATCCTTCACTGCGCAGAGATGTATTTTTTTGTAGTCCCCAAACTTTGTTTGCTGTAGGCTTTGCTAAGCTAATTCTGTAAAAGCCAATGTCTCTCTTTGCATTGAACTTTGAGTGTATTACATTCAGAGATATTGTATCTCGTATGATATCATAGTGGACCACCCTTTTAAATCTAAATCTTCTAAATCCTCTTAATCTTTATTTGACTGTTTTAGATTCAGGATTGATCACAGTTTTATTTAGCTGTTAATTTTCATTCATAATATCTTTCTTCCATTTTTAGAGCCTTCTGTTGTACCAGAGCTTGAGCCTGAAGCTGACCAAGGCACCAAAGAGAAGAAAAAGAAGAAGGACAAAAATCGATCCAAGGCTGAAGATAGAATTGATCAGGAAGAAAATGAAGGGAAGTCAGCAAAAGAGGAGGACAGCGACACCAGTAAACTGAGAAAAACCACCCCAACTCAACCTGGCACTGGTAATAGAATCACATTTCAGACGTAAATCAACCAAATAATAAAACATCATCAATGTTAATTGACTGAATAAATATGCGAATATGATTGTAAAGCCCACACTGCCTCAGAGAGTGATTCAGGGCCAGTGTTTAACAGAGTAAATGAGCCATGCTGATGTTTCCTGTGTCTGTATAGTGAAGGATAATAACAGAATTAGGGATAAACCAGAGTTAATGACCCTCTATAGGTTGTTATCAGGGCCCCTCGAGTGCCCTCAGGACTGAAGTTTATTCCCTTCTTCCTCCCATCTGTAAAAAACACACACACACACACACCGATAGGAATGCACCATGGAGGAGCACACATACAGTGCATATGTAAAGAGATCTTGCAAAATCACTCCACATATTGCTTTATATAAGGGTAGAGATAATTGCAAAATGTTTGTAAGTGTAAAAAGACACTTAAGTATCCCTCACAGCAAAAAATAACTGCAAACATGCACAGGCTGAGACATTAAAATACATTCCTCTGCTTAACTCTTAAAGTGCCCAATTATTCTATTTTAAAAGTTTCTATATTTGGTTTTTGAGTCTCTTATAATCTTTTCCACTGAGCGTTACGGTTTCATATGAAATAAAAAATAAAATTGTGAATAAAATAGTGAACTGTAGCATACACATTTAACACGCCTATTAATAAACCCCTTTCAGGTTATAGGATTTTTGATGCATTACCAGTTAAGACAGTCACTGTGCCAGATTATAGGATTTTGGATTCCATCTTGTTGTTTTGTGGGTACCAAATATGCCAGACTATACTTGCTTCATGATCAATCATTGCATGATGTCTATGGCACGCATTCTTTCATCAAAAAGCCACATCAATTATAAATATCGCTGTAATTGTCTTGATTTGTTTGTTTACTTGGTAATTCCACTACTCACTAACCGTGCTGCAGAAGTGCCTCACTATCAATCACCAATATTTATTTTTATTTTTATTTTTTTATGGTAGTTCTGCGATGACAGATCATATAAGTGTACTGTTGCCATAACTTCATGAAGATTTTTTCCATGTCATGGAAGCAGTTCTCTTTCATTCAGCTCTTTGCAACTCTCACATGGTCACCCACTGAAGCTAAGCAGAGCTGTGCCCGGTTAGTAACTGGATGGGAGACCACATGGGAAAAGCTAGGTTACTGCCGGAAGTCGTGTTTGTGAGGCCAAAAGGGGATGCTCAACCTGCGGTTTGTGTGGGTCCTAACGCCCTAATATACAAAAGGGGGCTATATACTGCTCAGTAAGCGGCATCTTTCGGATGAGACATTAAACCAAGGACCTGACTCTTTGTTAAAAATCCCAGGATGTCCTTCGAAAAAAAAAAAGAGTTAAGGTTTAACCCCAGCATCCTGACCAAATTCGCCCACTGTCCTCTGTCCATCATGGCCTCCTTACCATTCCCATATCATAAAAAGTCTCCTCTCCACCAATCAGCTGGTGTGCGGTTCTGGCGCAATATGGCTGCCGTCACATCATCCAAGTAGATGCTGCACACTGGTGGTGAATGAGGAGGTTTTGCAGTTCGCTGCGCTGAAAAGTTCAAGCTTGGTGAATTCTGACCTGTAAAATCGCATCACATGATTGCGTAAAACCAATCGAAGATCAAAACATGACTTCTCTGGACAGAAATTTAACACATGGACCAATCGCTTGCTTTTTTAAATGTCTAATCATCTTGTTTAACTCCGCCCCTTTTCGCAGCACAGTGCTACAGAATTTCGCAAGCTGAAACTCTAATGTGACCGCAGCTTAACTTGTATGTTGCAAAAAAGCCTAAAGGACTCAATTAGTTTGTTCAGGTGTGTTTAACTATGGTTAAAGCTAAACTATGCAGAACTGTAGCCCTTTAGGAACAAAGTTTGCCCTTTACAGTATGTCAAGCCGTATATGTCAAGCAAATTTTGCTGAAATCAGGAAAAAATTGTACCGTCTGAATGTAGCTTTAGGGTATCTAGCACAACAGCACGGTACCAAAAGGGTGAAGCTAGACTTTATGCTGAATGCTATTGGCTTTCAGAGAATTGTGACCAGAGCATGGAACAAGACAATTCCATTGTCTTTTGTCATTTTTTTTAAAAAATACACCTCAAAAGCCAAAAACAGTAACAAGGCATTACAATAGCTTTACATTCATCCAAGATCAATTTCTTTTTCTTTTTTTACATAATATATCTTTCCTCACAGTGTATGTAACAGTTTGATTTGTTTCTGCCTTTCTGCTGTTGTTATATATACGAAAGCTAAAACCTTTAACCATTGACTTCCTGACATAGCCAAGCCAGGTTCTGCCCATTCTCATTCACCTGAAACACCCAGCTCATAGTCACCGCAACCAGCAAGATCCCTCTCACCTGCCTACTGATACCTGAAACACACCTGCACATCATCCCCGCTCATCACTCCAGCTCCTTAAATCCCCTCACCATCCCTCACTTAGTGTCTGGCCTCGTCGCATAGAGAAGGACAAACTCTCATGCGTGATTCGCTGCTGGTTCCTTCCTTGTTGTGTGCTTTCCGATATTCTCAATTTCAGTGTTCATCATCAGTCTCCGGTTCTATCCCATCATCTGGTCAACTGCTCAACTACACAAAATAAAGACTGTTCACAACAGAAACCCTATTAAACTGTCATTCATACTCGCAGCTCTGGTCTCGTCCCCATTCTGTGACACTTCCATAGTAGGAAAAGCAAATGGAAGTCAGTGGTTACAGATTTCCAGCTTTCTTCAAAATATTTTCTTTTGTGATTAACAAAAGCAAGAACGTCAAACAGGTTTAAAAGATGAGTAAAGGATGACAGAATTTTCTAATTTGGGAGAGCTATCACTTCAAGTTTGTGAAGGAAGTAAGACTGAAATCAATGACTACTGGTTTCAGGCAATTTTGAGTATAGTTAAACAGACTTGGCAGTAATGTAAATGAACTTACTGAAAGAACATGTTGGGAAAAGGCATATTGGGCACTTCAATGCCAGCACTTACTAAAACAGCCTTTTCCCCCCATGTGTATTAAGCTGTTTCCACACGAAAGCCATTTGAATGCAGTGCTGAGGCTCAGGCGGAACTGGTCCTGCTGGTGGACGGATCCTGGAGCATCGGTCGGACAAACTTCAGAAAAGTGAGGGAGTTCCTTCAGGGCCTTGCTGTCCCCTTTCACATCGGCCCAGAGGGCGTCCAGATAGGTAGGAGATTGTATTTAATGGTTATGTGCTTCAGTCTCAACATTCATACCCCATTCTTCAGTGTCACATGATCTTTTAGAAGTTCTTTAAATATGCTGAATTGAGCTCAATAAACATTTTTATTATCATCAGTTTTTATTTATTTATTTTTTCGAAAATATTTTTTAAAATGTGACACTTTTTGAAGGCTTTTCATGAATACAAGTTAAAAGTACATAGTTTGTTTATAAAAAAGAAAGCTTTTAGAACACAAATGCCTCTTGATTTAATGAATGAATGCCATTGGTGGTTAAAATTATTAATTTGTTATGGTTTTAGCGCTGTCTCAGTATAGTGGAGATCCACGCACAGAGTGGCATCTTAACAACTTCACATCAAAAGAGCCGCTCCTGGAGGCCGTCAGGAACTTCAGATACAAAGGAGGGAACACTTTTACAGGTAATTCAATCGCTTCCTTTATACTTCTTTCCAGCCTTGGAATTGAAAATATTAAAAAAAAGTGCAACCTCTATTTTATGTCTTTATGGCTATTAATTCCACCACTGATGCAATAACATACATGTTCTTTTGCTATAAAAACACTTAAGCTTATGGCTATAATTGCCAACCTGTTTTACTTGAATGACTGACACTGATAGCAATAAAAAGACACATTTACTGGCAGGTACTAGTATGAGCACTATATAAAACATCTTTTCAATATACTTTGAATAATTAGGTTAGGTTATTTTATTTAAACCCAAAGGTGGATTTGATTTGCAAGAGTCTTCATTTTATAACAGGGCCAAAAAAAACTCACAAAGTGACAACAACAAAGGGGCATAAAGACATAAAACATAAACATACAAAACACTCAAAATAAAATAAAATATTAAAGAATAAATAAATAATCACTTCAATGGCACTATTTTCCATATTCTTATTGCACTATTCCCAAAAAAATACCTTTTACACCTTTTATATTTGTTGAAATGCACATTATCCTGTGACATACTTATTTTTGTCATATTAATAATCTTATTTCTCTTGACGCATAGATCAGGATCTATCTGTAAATTTGAACATCCTCAGATTGTTTTTTTTTTTTTTTTATGTTCTGATGTTCTGTATCCCAGGGCAGGCTCTCATCCACGCTCTTGAGAACAATCTGAAGGAGGAGGTGGGTGCGCGACCCAACACTCCTCAGTTCTTGCTTCTTCTGACTGATGGCAAATCTCAGGATGACGCCATTGCTGCTGCCAACAGACTGAAGAATGCTGGTGTGGAGATCATTGCTATAGGTGAGAGAGCCTCTTTAAGCAAAATACACATCTGTAAAAACGAACATAGATTGAGAATGAATCATCAAAATGTTTGGGAATTCTTTTAAAAATACATTAAAGATAACAGTGCTTCAATATTTAATACATCGCTATTAACCATTTTCATATTTTATTATAATTTAATATGGAATAAATTTGTGAATTTTCAACATCATAACTATAATCTTCAGCATATTGTTATTATACATTTCCAGAAATCATTCTATGTTGACATTCAGTTTAAGAAACATTTGTGATAATTGTCAGTTAAGGAAACGGGTGCCTGGTGGTTTTTATGAAAAGTATTTTTTCAGGAACTGTGATTTTTCAAGAATTTTTATGTCTTCATTTAATGAATAGAATAGAACATGAATTATAAATGAATTGAGATTAGCAGAGAACAGTTATAGTTTTATTGCATTCCTGATCCTTGTTAAATAAACAATGTGTTTATATACAGGGCTCAACATTAACTCTTTTGCTGACCAGCCACTGTGTCTAGTAGTTTTCCAAAGTTACTAGCCACTCTGCATTTTTACTAGCCACAATTTTGTTGTTAGGAAAATACAATTAATATGCTTAGATTTCATGTTGACATGTTAAAATATTTAATTACATATAATATATAATAATTATAATGTAATAACTTAAAGGATGAAGTGGTTTCTTAGTAGTTAGCATTGTCGCCTAACAGCAAGAAAGTTGCTGGTTTGAGTCCCGGCTGGATCAGTTGATGTTTCTGTGTGGAGTTTGCATGTTCTCCCCGTGTTTCCTTTGGGTGCTCCAGTTTCATCACAGTCCAAATACATTTGCTATAGGTGAATTGGGTTAGCTAAATTGGCTGTAGTGTACCGTATTTGTGTGTATGAGTGTGTAAGTGTGTTTCCCAGTACTAAGATGCGGCTGGAAGGGCATGCTCTGCGTAAAACATATGCTGGATAAGTTGACGGTTCATTCTGCTGTGGTGACCCTTGATTAATAAAGGGACTAAGGAAAATTAGGTAAAGGAAAATGAATAAAGGAATGAATAAATGAATTATTACTTAATTTGATGTGTTTTTACTTGATTTACGTCATTTAAAATCCCTCTGACCACCCAATGTATAATATGCATAGTAAACTGGCTGGTTTAAAGTAGTCAACATTTGAGTTCAACACCTTTTCTTCAAAGTTGACGTAAAGCCAAAACACCAAATTTTGTCTTAGGACAACTTTGAACTTTTTTGGTCCTCTTCAAATGTTGACTAATACCAAAGTCCCTTTAAGACAAGTCATTTCACACGGCGGCCATCTTTGAAGCACCTTTTGGGCAGTATTTTCAGGTATCCTGTCTTAATGGGAAAACATCAAATAAAAAAAAACTGTTTGTCAAGCTTAAAGAGCCCATATTATACATGAAATAAGGTCATATCTTGGTTGTAAGGGTCTCCAACAACAGTCTAATATGCATGCAAGGTCAAAAAACACTTTCATGGTCTTATAATCTGCATTTATTTTTACCTAATTATCCCAGCGACTCCTGTATGAATCGTCCAGTGATTCATTTGTTCCCAAACCCCTCCTTAGCGCGGAGCTAATCTGCGCTGATTGGACCGATGACAGTCTGTCGCGATTGGTCGACTGCCTTCAGTCAGAGAGGGAAATGGCCAATAGCTAATCAGCAATTTAAAAAGTAATCACAGTTCATACACGCTCGATAGTGTAGGCGTGGACTTTAGCTGCCACACTATGGCGAGTGGATAGTGCCACGGATAACCGAACGAAGGAGACAGTCGTGTACTCGCCATACCACACACACACAAAAACACACACACACCTCCGGATGACAACGCTCCCGCTTCAGCCCGCACCCGCCAGGTTTTAGCCTGAGAACCCGCTCCGTTTTCTGCCCGCCGCGCCCGGTCCCGCTAGAGCGGAGAACACAACCAAATATCACCCAGTATACAGTCCAGACAGCCAAGCTGTCTGTACACACACAGCACAAAGTACACAGAGCTCGTTCGTTCGTTCGCTCTCTCTCTCGCTCTCTCTCTCTCTCTCTCTCTCTCTCTCTCTCTCTCTCTCTCTCTCTCTCCCCGCGCCAGATTTCTGCGGCGCGGGAATACATTTCCGAATAAATCGCGGGAGCAGAACTCTAGCACGGAGCTCCATAAACAAACAGCACGCGTCGCGTTTTTAACGTGACTTTGCACGCGATAAGATAATATATCCAGTTAACCTGATACAGTACACGCGGTTACAAGTAACAAATCACAACTAAATACATTTGCAAGCTAGAGTAAACGAGGCAACAACTTTAACCGCACGTACTTACACTTGAGAAATGTAGGAAGAAACCCATCCTGACGTCCATCAGTTACTCTTTACTGATCCTTCCTTTAACAAACTCAGATGAAGTATTCTTTGTAGCATGTAGCTTCCAGAAGTTTCCAACTGCTTGGTTATAATGCTGAGGTTTCATCTTTGGGTAGAGACTCAATATATCCATCTGCAGTGTGACTTCAATCGACCGGCATGTTTGTGTGCGTGTGCGTGTGTTTGTGGGTGTGCGTGTGTTTGTGGGTGTGTGTGTGTGTGTGTCTGGGTTACTGCGTCAGAGGGCGGGGCCTCAGGTTTGAAATCTCCCGGGTTTGCGCGTGCACGTGAAAAACTTTGTTTCGTTCGTACGTCATGGCGAAACACCTAATGAGTCGGTATCAAGGCGACTCGTTTGAAGCACTATGATTCGACTCTTTTATAGATGAATCAACAGTTTTAAACACTGTATTCTTACAGATTTAAGCCTTAGCTGGATACTTCACTTCACTTAGAGCTGTGTTACACACTACATGGAGGGGAATTTTCAAAAACCCATAATATGGGCTCTTTAAGAGAACAACCACTAAAATGAAGCAACAACTGTCACAAGTTTAATTTCTGAACATTCGAATCAAACTAAATCTGCATTTTTTCAGGTTGCTTGAGCTAAAGCTCTTGCGCACCTGAAGGGAATGAAATCACGACACCAACCTCATTTATGGCTGTTTTACACACATCATCCTCTGGATAATGATTATCTAATCGCGCTGGTTTTCTGAAGTAATTCACAACTTATTTTTTGATGGCAAATCTGCTCCAGAAATGACAGTGACTCTTTGTTTATAAGTTTGTGGGCATTTGAGTAGTTACTGTCATGTGATTAGCGTTTGACAGGATGGACTGTACCTTACATTCATTTCATACCAATTACATAACCAAAAAGGTTTAGTTTCAAGTGTTGTTGACTCATTTAAAAGTACAAATTTCAAGCTTATTTGTATATATTTCTTATGTCTGTGAAGCAAGTATTCGCTGAGATTGCAGTGTGTTTGTTGACCACAAAAACTGTTGTAAAAGCACACGCCTGGTCCAAGATTCTCCTCTGGAGAAACATCAGTCTATAGCGATCAATGATTGGTTCTTGTTTTAGTAGGCGGGGCTTCATTCGCAATATTGACCATTACATTTTTCACCATTCAAAACTGTATGAGTGACATATCTTGTGTATTCTATAGTTTTCGCTATTACATACACTACAGGCCATACCATATAAATAGAGAATTTAAAGCCCAATATTTGGAATATAAAAGCCCAACTTTATTGTGTTTTTTTTTTATCTAAGTTTTCTGTTTGTTTGCTTGTTTGCTCTTGTCCAGGTGTGAAAAATGCAGATGAGGCAGAGTTGAGGCAGGTGGCGTCTGAACCTCTGGAGCTGAATGTGTATAAGGTGAATGATTTTCCTCTGCTCAGTAAACTGGTGGGAAAACTAGCACGCATCCTCTGTGGCAAGATTGAAGACCGTATTAAAGCCAAGAGTAGGTCAATCACAAATTTGTTTTCATTAAATTGGCGAATCTGTACCGTACACTCACATTAAAACTAAAAACTGTGTCTTTTGTGAGAAGGAATGGAGCATCCAACTCAGGAACCAGTTCTGTCATTTCCCAGCCCAACTGATCTGCAGTATGTAGGACTGGGCTCCAGAGAGTTGCGTCTGCGCTGGACCGTCCCCAGCAGAAATCCCCAGCAATACAGAGTGGTTTACCACACCGCTGAAGGACAGAGCCTTAATGAGGTGAGACGGAGGTCTAGCATTATCATGGACATTATTTGGTGTTATTTCTCTCACTATTTATTCAATCATGAGCTTTTAAATGCTGCATTTTTACATTTAAATTCTAGTATGTGCTGTGTTATCTTGTCCATATAATGTGCTAGCTTTTTGATGCAGCAAAAATATTTCTTTTAATTTGATTACATTGCTTAGCATAATATCTCACTGCTTAAGTATTTATTAACAATATGTATTTAAATATTGTTTTGAGAGTTGTGTTTTAAAACTGTATATAATGTTGTTCAAAACAAAAAGAATGAGGATTTTCAGGGCCTGAGGTTTCAGAGCTTGAAAAGCAGTTTCCTGTAGAGTAGAATGAGTTTTTCAAGCTCCCTCAGGTCACTTGATTTTTACTTGAAACTAAATTAAAAGTTTTGTAAAAAGGAATATTAAATGTTGCGGGGAAATACCAACACAGGCTCATTCAGAAAATGTAGCCCTATATACATTTCAGACACTTTCGCATGAAACGCTTAACCGAGGTCCTGACTTTCTGTGGTCATTATAAATCCCATGGCACTTCTCGTAAAGAGTAGGGGTGTAACTCTGGTGTCCTGGCCAAATTCCCACCATCGGCACTTACCTATCATGGCCTCCCAAACATCCCATCCACCGAATTGGCTCTATCACTGTCTCTCCACTCCACCTAAAGCTGGTGTGTTGTGAGCGCACTGGCTCCGCTGTCCTGTGGCTGTGGAGAGACCCTCCCTCATGATTGTGTAGTACGTTGGGTGTATGGCCATACATGATAAATGCACCATAAAAATACACATTACGTTTCTAGAGATTGCAAATTATTTAGCCAGAGCTACGTATGGCTGCATTTTGTCTTGAAAACGAATGCTATCAGGTGGTATGATGCCGTTCCTGTTTTCGCTTACCAGCTAAGCGCTTACCTCCATATGGACGGCTTTTCCTCTGTTACCAGTTTGTCTAGTTAGCTCGACATGTATGTCAGCAGGCTTGAGACGCAGAGCGGAGTTGACCATGAAAACGGGGTTTAAGTCCGGTGAAGAACAGTTCCAGAAAGCATGTTAGACAAAAGCAAAAGCTACAAAATAAATTTAACAAGTAGATAACAGGGTGAGAATGTGGTAAAATCCAAAAATGTGTTAAAAATAAGGGGGCTTTTCTTTTTTTGTAATGCTTTTATAAACACTGCAGTTGGGTTTAGCAAAGTGGGTGGGCAGATCAATCTGTGCTTTATAAAACACTATTGGTTGGGTTTAGTGAAGAGGGAGTGTGGGGGTATCGGTCGGTCAGTCAGTCAGTCGACAGCGGCCTCTGGTGGATTTTCGTGAGAACAGCTGGCATGAATGGCACGCGCAGTGGGCACTGGTGGACTCGCAAAAATAAAAACTGCAAAAAAACGTAGCTCTTGGAACGTATTTTGCTCTCTCCAGAAATGAATATTGGGCTATGTAATCAGAATGAGCCTGGGTTGGAAAACACTTTTGTAAAGTATTAAAGTGCAAATGAATTATATAATCCATTATAAGAAAAACACAAATATTTTAGGAATGTTAAACTTGTTTAAAATGAAAACCTGTAAACAAATGAACTGCCTGGCACATTCAACTTCTCTCAGAAATCTGAATATGGCCAACCGAATAATAAGCAAATAAAACATAATAATAAAATTCATACCAATCGTTGTAGCTGCCCTTTGGCATCCATGAATGAGACCGAGAGTTTTTGACAGGTGCCTCTTTCTTTTTTTTGCTCAAGAAGAGAACCATTCAACTGTCGCTGCATAGCACCATGAAACTGCACAAAGAAACAACAAAAATCAATGAATACAACTTGTATACAGAAAAATATGACAAAGATACAATGTAAAGAGAATTATATGAAAACTAAACGATATAAAGTATATAAAGTCAGTATATACAGAAAAATATGACAAATAAAGATACAATGTAAAGAGAATTACATGAAAACTAAACGATGATGTATTTAAAGACAGTTTGAAACAACTAATAAAAAGGCAGAACTCACAATGACACACCTTGGGTGTCTAGAAAGGCGCCATTTACAAATAAAACAAACTATTATTATTATTATTATTATTATTATTATACATACAAACAAACTGGCTCAAATTAACAAATTCACAATCCTTCACTCCCAAAGGATTCTAGGATTTAAATAGAGCAAGATTAAGACTACTTTCTTCATAAAGCGCTACTCATCTCTATGAACTGCACAGAAACAGGTATCCTCTTTGCTCTGCCAGTTTGACTAACCTATTTGTTACCCGGACTACGAAAAACATGTGACATGCTCTAATGCTCTCAACAAATTAAAAGTGGTATGATCATTTAGTTATCACTTACAATCGTGTTATTCAAATACAAGTTTAAATTCACATTTTAAGCCTCTTTTGTAAAAAAAAAAAAAAAAAAAAAAAAAAAAAGTTTTTTTGGTTACTTTTTGTTTTAAATATAAGGTCCAAGGTTAGGAATTTCTCCATTTAACATCATTATATAATAAAAGCTGCCTATATATACAGCAGCTGGTTGTTGGAATGATTGTTTGCATTTGCCAAACTGATTGCTGACGTCAAAAACTCTGACTGTAACAGTAAATAATGCGAATGTTGCTTACTGCCACAATCATTATGTTGTCTTTTGTCATTGAATTGGCAATAAAAGTGTATCTATGAATTATAGTATAGATTTGATTATATGTGAACTTCAGAATCTAACTGATTTCTTTTGTTAATTTACAGTTCTGTGAGTGACGTGAGTTTGAACATACAGTACATCCTCTTATCACATATTGTTTTTCATCCAACATGATGTGAAATATGCATGAGTTGGTATCTGTCAGCCATCAGTACATGCTTGAGGCTGTAATCCTGTAAAGGTGTGAAAACCTATAATTACTCAAATGGCTGTGTTTATTTGTCCTACTTTTGAGCACTGCGAGTTGAAGAAAGCTTGGTTTGTGGCGCCATCTAGGGGACATTAACTGTGCTGCATTCAATACAGACTTTCAAAAAACCTACTTTGTGTAAATATAGGGTATGCATGTTGTTGGTTGATTTCAGCTGGTGGTGAATGGAACAGAGTCCACAACTCTGCTGACAGGACTGTCCTCACAAACACAGTACCATCTATCCATCTTCCCCGTCTATGAGAATAAAGTGGGCTCCGCTCTCAGAGGCACCTTCACCACATGTGAGTTTCAGCTTAGTCTATATATAAAATGTATTCAGATATTTCTCAAGTGCTGTTTCATGGAGCTGAGTTTTTTCAACACATTTTAAACAATAATTCACTAAAAACTCATTTTTAGCCCATCATTGAGTCTATTTATTTAGTTGTGTTAATGTGTGTAAAATTTATATTTATTCAGTTTTTAAATAAATTTAACTAATATTATTGTTATATAATAATAGTAATGTTAAAATGTTCATATGATTTATTTACAATACAGTTTGTAAATTATGTTCTGTTTCTTACCAGATATATTATATAAGAGGCTTGCTTTGTTTACCAAACAAGTGGATCTAATTGGGTTTGCATTGTAAACATTAAATAAAAGTAAAAAATGTTTTATTTTTATTGTATATTTTAAGTTTTAGTTATGATACTCCCAAAATCATTTTTACAAAATTCTGTGTGAAATAGCAAAAAATGTCTGGCACTACTAATAATTCTAATTCCTACTAATTCTTTTGTGTTTGACATGATAACAATACATACGAATTTATTAAGATACTAGTGGCTTAAAGTGGCATATAAAGTCTTAACTAGGTCAACTAGATACGTTAGGTTAATTAGGCAAGTCGGACAACATTGGGTTTTTTTCTGTAGCCAATCAAAAAATAATATTAATCTTAAGGGACCTAAGAATATGGACTTTACCTCTTTATTTTATACATTTTAACTGTATTTTTTGTTCAAGGCAAACTTTAAAAAATAAGATTTTTTCCTGAAATAAAATAAATATGTAATAGTGAAAAAAAAAATCCAATTACTGAAAAATGCTTTGAAAATATATCCTTTTTTATCCTTGCTCAATTGGGAATTATTTTTAAAAGAATTGCAATTGCAAAAGAGGCTAATGATTTTGTTTTCAAATCTGTTGTTAGGACTCTGGTCTAGGGTGACAAGGATGTAATATAAAAACCACTGGACAAATAAAATCACTTTTAAGAACCCTTGGGGTGGGCTCAGTTTATTTGTTAGTTTTATTCTTTTTCTTTTTCAAACACCCAAAATGTGAAGCCAAATAGCCACAGAAAAAAATAAACAAGAAATATCGCCTATCTATACACCCAAATAAATACATACATCTAACAAAATAACAGAAATAAAATACAAAACTACATCTGTCTTTCTAACGATATATAAAAACAAGAGAAAATATTTACAGAAAAGAAAAGTGTGGCATCCAACTCCTACTGCTTCTCACCGTGTATATACAAAGTACAGTACTTACAATAACAACAAACAAACCCAAAACAAAATTACAAAGGGGGAACACAGATGGTTAAACAACAAACAAACAAAAGTCAAACTTTACACTCACACAAACCAGGAATACACAATCAAAAAAATAACACATGCAGCTATATTTTTCTACTGCACCAAATGCCAAACAACACGCCAAGCAACCCGCTCTCTCTAGCTCCACACTTGTTCCACTTTTTAAAAAGCGTTCTGGGTCACTCCAGCCAATCCCAGAGTACGTCGCCAGGCGTAATTAGGGTGGGGCTTGTGGAGAGAGAGAGAGAGAAAAAGAGAAAGAAGGCGAGGGGGGGAAACGAGACACACATACACTTGCGAACGCAACACTATATACAGTGTTGATAGTTTAAAATCCCAAGACCAAACTGATCTGCAGTTTAAAATTAGGGAAACCGAAAATTCTGTTTCTTGCCTGTACACCTGGCACTTATAAATTATTTTTAATTTGACACATTACATTTGTTTGTCTGTTAAATGCATACAAAATCTTGCTGGTCAAGTGCAGCTGACTTTAAAACAGAAAGGGGAAAAGTAATTTTGAAACTGTGCTATAATAAATCCTCTTCTCTTTTAGTACCGTTGGCAATCCCTGAGGCTCTGGAGGTCACAGCCTCCTCTGCCAGCAGTCTGCGGGTGCGCTGGCAGCCGGCTGCTGGAGCCACACAGTACATGGCCTTATACTCAGCACTCAATGATGGAGAGCCTGATGATGCCAAAGAGGTGAGTGCAGGATTGTGTGTCATGTCACCATGTGGCTCTTATTTTAATATAATGGTTTTGTGGTTTTCTTTTTTGTGCCAGGTGAAGTTTGGACCTGCTCAGACAGATGTTGAATTGGTGGATTTGATCCCATCCACGGATTATTCAGTCACACTTTATGCACTGTATGATGAGGACCCCAGTGACCCAATCACAGCCATCGGCACCACATGTAAATCGATTTGTTATACACTGATACAGAAATATACATCTCTCCACATCTATACACTGGTTTACATTTAATAACATATATGTGAATATATAAATATATATATATATATATATATATATATATATATATATATATATATATATATATATATATATATATGTCTCTGTGGAACTCAACATCAACAAAATCTCGTAGATTATTATTACATATTATTTTATGTAGTATTTTGACACTCCTGTCATTCAGTAATGAATGTTAAAACTGTACAGCAATTTTATTTTCAGATAAGATTGCAAAGATTTTTTTTCAGTTGATATTGAGCTGTTATTTGTAATTTATCAGGGATTTATAAAGTATAAATAGTGCTCACTTTAGATTAGGACACAAAGAACATGAAATATGAACATACAAAGTGTAAATGTATACATCCCAATCCAAATAGTTTATTAATCATTTACTTACTCAATCTGAATTATTATCTTTAAAATTGTGTTAAAAAAAAAACTTCTCTTTGATCAACAGCACTTATTTTTTGCATATACCTGTATATATTTTGAACATTTATTTCACAGAAGGGCTAATAATTTTGTCTCAACTGTATATTAAGTTGTAACTTTATTGAAATGATTAAGGGTAAGTAAATAGAGACTAGTAGAATTTTTATTTTTGACTTGAACTTATCCTTCGATAATGTTGCAACAGAAGGTAATCGAGAAAACAAACTCACATTGCCTTCATTTTCATCACTAATCACCATAATATGCAGTAAACCAGAAATAGATACAGCTGCTTCACCTGGTATTTTAAAAGCCAATTTGCTACATCAACTTTTAAATTCCTAGAGATAAAGATAAAGTGGAGTGGAAATTGTAAATTATTTGACAGAAAAAGAACACAGAATCATTTTGAATCAGTTGAAGTTAAACTGAAGAGAATTCACATCTTTCACTAATGTCTTTTGCTCATTTCCTCTGCAATTTCTCCATATTTTTCCAGTCCCATTGCCCTCTCCGCTCAGTTTGCAGTTTCCCATGGTCAGTCACAGCACTCTGATGGTCACTTGGGTCCCTGGAGCTGTCGATGTTCCCGCCCACCGGATCATTTACAGCACCAATCACGGCAGTGATGTCAAGCAGGTGAACAGAAGCCTCTTCTTACAGTAGAAGACATACAGTAATTATTAGCCCTCCTGTGAAATTGTAATAGTTGTTTACATTTTTCAAGTTTCAAATTTTGATGTTTAACAGACCAAGAAAAAGGTTTTACGGTATTTCATATTACTATTTATTTTGTTGTTCATATTACTGTATATAGATTGTTTCTTTTAGTTTGACTAAAATAAATAAATACAGTACAGACCAAAGGTTTGGACAAACCTTCTCATTTAAAGAGTTTTCTTTATTTTCATGACTATGAAAATTGTACAGTCACACTAAAGGCATCAAAACTATGAATAAAAAAATTGGGCAATTATATACATAACAAAAAAAATGTCATATTGTAGGTTCTTCAAAGTAGCCATCTTTTGCTTTGATTGCTGCTTTGCACACTCACACTTGATGAGGTCAAGAGATTTGCAGGAGTTACGTTCTAAAAATAACCTGCAATAGGTAAAATAAGTTAAGTAGTCAGCTTTATTTTTTACAATTATTATAGAAGTTTCAAAGCTGCTAAACCTCACTACACACTTTATACACTTTTCTCAGAGAGGCATTAACCTTTTCACATTTTTCTCTCCTGTTTAAATACTCTCAAAGTTCAAACCTTTGTAGAAAAATACGTCCAGTATTATAGAATGAAACCAAAAACCATTTGTTCTTCATTTATTTATTCCGTAACAGCTGCGTAACTTCTACATTACTTTAGCATGTACAGAAGTTCAACTTTTTGTGGGATGGTTAGCATCTTCCTCTTCCTCTTTGGCGGTGCAGAACGACATCGTCGACATTCTGCGGAGAAAACTTGCAATATATAGTACAGCACTTCAGAGTCACACTGCTAACGATCAAAGATTTATGTTAAATTGGAAAACTGAACGCATTCTGTACTGTACAGGAGACATGGCAAGGAGGAGATTGATTGACAGTGATTGACAGCGGTCTACAGCCAATCAGGATGTACAAATGCAAATTGCACAAAATAAATGTGTGAAACTGCGAGGCCACGTAAAGTGAATCGAGTTATAGCGAGGGACCACTGTATTTACATTTTTAAAAGCCATTATCATTAACCACTTTAAGAAATTATTATTATTGTGATTGTTACTTGACAACAAAGCACTGTTGACTTGCCTAATTAACCTAATTTACTTTGTTAAGCCTTTAAATTGCGCTTTAAGCTGAATACTAGCATCTTGTAAAATACGATGTGCTGTCATCATGGCAATGACAAAAGAAATGAGATGTTATAAATTATTTATTAAAATTATTACCTTTAAAAATGTGATGACAGACTCTCTCTATTAAACAGCACTTGGGAAATATTAGGAAAAGAAATGCAATATTTATTTAAATAATCTAATAATTTTGTCTTCCAATGTATATTAGATGTTCTACCCAAACATCATTGTGCATAGTTATCTGTATTTCTCAGGTGGAAGTCAGAGGTGTGAACACAGTGTTGCTGCAGAATCTGTCATCCCTCTCCAGGTATCTCGTGTCAGTCCATTCACTCTACGAGAAGGGCCTGTCCAGCCCGGTCACGGCCAATGTTACTACCTGTAAGTCTGTGACGCATATAACTCTGTGACTCTGATTTGGAAGACTGCTGCTCACATGTGTTTGATCTTTCAGTAAGGGTTCCAGCTCCATCAGATCTGAGGGTCACTAACTTCACCGGCAGTGAGATAACAGTACGATGGGAAGCTGCAGCTGATGATGTGGTCTTTTATCTCATCAAATGGATCTCGCTCAATGGAGGAGACCTCAGCCAGGTTAGCTCCAACTCAAGTACTTCCTGTGTTCAGTCAAGATTGAAATTCAGTGGTGATCAAATCATCATTTTTTCTGTCGTCTTGTTCAATTTGTCTTACATGAACGACTAAACATTGGGGGACTTGAAATGTCAGATTTGCAATGGCTAGATTCTCTTATTATAAAAAGGAAATCATCTCTCTTTGGATTTAATCTGGACAGCATGCTTTTAAAGGGTTTAATTTATTTTAAAACAGCTCGTCCACTTACAAAGTCGGTAAAAACTGGAAAGTTTAGCCTGTGTCACACTAAAGATTGAGTATGTGGAATTTGGTCAGATGGTGCTCCGAATATAGGCTGGATAATTTGCTTTTTATTTGAAATTTCTAGCACGTTTTGACCTTCTATTAGTCTCATGTATTCACGTCATGCGAATTCGCAGGTCAGAGTTCACAAACCTTAAACTTCCACATTCTAATGTGTTTGAATGGAAGTCTAAGGGGCAAAAAGTACAGTGTGACCAGAATATACAGTATTATACCAGTTTTTCCGAAAATTCTGAAAATCACCACCAGATGCCAGATTAACACCAATAAATGGGAGGAAAACTAAAGTGAACCAGTGTTATTTTTTTCAAATATGTCAATGAAATATACTTAAACTTGTTTTGTACTTCATTAAATAAGACTTAAAATAGTACTTAGCTGTGACCTTGAAATTTCGAAAGTTATGTTCTCTGATTTGAATGTCCACTGTTCCTTTGACGCTATATTGACATGTGGCACTGTTTCCACCTGGTTTTAACATGGATTCATATTGTCCTTGTGACCAGTATTTGAATTTCACCTAGACCCTTTTCAGTCATCAAAAAACTAGTGTGAAGTGCAAGAGTAATAATGAATAAAAAAAAAAACATATTACAAGGCTTACAAGTTGCCTTACAGCAAGAAGATTGCTGGTTCGAGTCCCAGCTGGGCCAGTTGGCGTTTCTGTGTAGAGTTTACATGTTGTCCCACTGTTTGCGTGGGTTTCCTTCGGGTGCTGCGGTTTCCCCCACAGTCCAAAGACATACAGTTGACCTCAGAATTATTAGCCCCCCTTTGATTTTTTTTTCTTTTTTAAATGTTTCCCAAACGATGTTTAACAGGGCAAGGAAATTTTCACAGTATGTCTGATAATAGTTTTTCTTCTGGAGAAAGTCTTATTTGTTTTATTTCGGCTTAAATAAAAGCAGTTTTTAATTTTTTTAAAAACATTTTAAGGTCAAAATGATAAGCCCGTTTAAGCTATATTTTGTTTCGATTATCTGCAGAACAAACCATCATTATACAATAACTTGCCTAATTACCCTAACCTTCCTAGTTAACCTCATTAACCTAGTTAAGCCTTTAAATGTCACTTTAAGCTGTATAGAAGTGTCTTGAAAAATATCTAGTCAAATATTATTTACTGTCATCAAGACTAAAATAAAATAAAATAAATCAGTTATTAGAGATGAGTTATTAAAACTATTATGTTTAGAAATGTGTTGAAAAAATCTACTCTCTGTTGAAATTGGGGAAATTGGGGAAAAATAAACAGGTGGGCTAATTATTCTGACTTCAACTATATATAGGTAAATCGGGTAAACTAAAGTGGCCATAGTGTGTGAGTGTGTGTGTGTGTGTGTGTGTGTGTGTGTATGTGTGTGCGCGCCTGTGCGTGTGTGTTTGTGTGTGTGTGTGTGTGAGAATGTAATAGTGTTTGGGTGTTTTCCAGTACTGGGTTGCAGCTTCAAAAACATTCGCTGTGTTAAACATATGCTGGAATAGTTGGCAGTTCATTCTGCTGTGGTGACCCCCGAAAAATAAGGGACTAAGCTGAAGGAAAATAAATCAATGAATGAACAAGTTGTGAACAAGAAAAGTGCATAAATAAGATGGGCATGGCAATGATTTCAGACATATCCCTTGTATTGTAGTAAAACACAACACACCCTGCATTGTAGTACAACACACATTTTTCTCACAACATCATTCATATATTCATTTTCTTGTCGGCTTAGTCCCTTTATTAATCTGGGGTCGCCACAGCAGAATGAACCGCCAACTTATCCAGCAAGTTTTTACACAGCAGATGCCCTTCCAGCTGCAACCCATCTCTGGGAAACTCACAACATCTATTATGTTTATTAATAATTGAGTTTCTGGTCAGAAGGTGTAGAGCAGAGATGTCAAACTCAATTCCTAGAGGGCCGCAGCCCTGCATAGTTTAGCTCCAACCCTAACTAAACACACCTGATCAAACTGATTGAGTCCTTCAGGCTTGTTTGAAACCTACAGATAAGTGTGTTGAACCAGGGTTGCAACTAAACTGTGCAGGGCTGCGGCACTCCAGGAACTGAGTTTAACATCCCTGGCAAAGAGTATCAGCCAAGCAAGTTTAGCATTTAAAAAGACATCTAATAGACTTGCAAACATAGACATTTTGTCTACAACAAGATTAAATCTGGGCTGTCAATAGTTTAATAAGTCATCGAAAAGACAGATTAGACAGACTTCATGTGTAGCCTGTGTGTTTGATGGCTATTTTTGGACAATTGTTAGACGTCTATTACTTTTGAACTGACAGCCTTTTGTTTTAGGATGTCTATTAGATGTCTTTTAGATTTTTAGATGATAAATAAAATATAAATTAAAATAAAACACCAATCAACCACTCATTAAAATTAAACTTGTGGATTAAGTAGCTTAGATACATCATTCCATTTACATACTGCTACTTTCTGATCCCACTTGTAATTAGCTTTAGATAAAAGCTTAAAAAGCAGAGGTCTTTTAAATACAAAATTGCTTACTGGGTGGGTTTCTTTTGTGGATGTTTAAAAACATTAAACCACATCAGTGTTTATACTAATCAAATGCATTTCCAGCTACCTATAGAAATAGTTGGAATTAACAATTAAACAGGATTAATTAAAAACACATCATAATACTGGGTGTAAACATTGGCTGTGATTTAATATAAGTAAATTATAATATATTGCAGCTGATGATAAATGGGAAAGGCGAGGGTGCTATCTTGGAAAAGGTTGAAGAAGACAAGGAATATCAGATTTCTCTCTCTGCATCATATGCTGACGGCGCTCAGAGTGAAGCTGTGGCGATACGATACAGCACTTGTGAGTATACAATGCGTACACGCATGAAAACCTTGGACAACAACAGATGCATCATTTTCTTGCCCCTTTTGTCTCTTTAGTATCTGGAGGTGGTCCAAGCAGTTTATCCATCTCAGAAGAGACTGCAGTCAGTATGCTGGTGACCTGGGTTCACCCCAATGCGCATGTGCAGCAGTACCGTGTGTCATTTACTCCGCTCAATGGAGATGCGAGGGAAAACACGGTGAGTGCTTTTAGAAACGAGAACCCTATTATTTAGCGCAGAAGAGTGGTTTTGTCTCCATTCATGTGCCTTATAGATTGATTCCATATTAAGGGAGCAGATGTTTTAGAGGCTCTCATAGTAAGCACTCGTATATAAAGGCACACAAAACCACTCAGATGCCCCTAGTAACTGCAGTGCAATAGCCTGACAACCACTCACAAAAGAGCTGGAGGTTGGATGGGTGCAGGCAGACATCAATATTATTCGTTTCAATGTAGTAACCTTGTAGAACTGAAATAAAAATAAAAATACCAATTTAATTAAAAAACGTTCATAGCACGATGTTTTACAATCTCTTACAAGTGGACGAATGATTGTCCTGAAAGGATTAATCCTTGCTGTTGGGGATGTTTTCATCCACTCTGCTGTGATTTTGAGTTTAACTTGGCCATGACACCAAATAATCATGCATTCTTGATTGCTGCTGGTTTTCCCTGTTAGGAAGAGGTTCAATTATACTGTTGGTCATCAGTTCTAGTGCAAAAAAAGCTTAGTTTCTGTCTTCAGTATGCAGTAGTGTGTGTGTCAAAATCTAAATAAGCAGCTCAGCTCTCAGAGCATAGTAACCCCACAGCTCCTATTGGTTGTCTCATTCTGAGCTGGGATCAAACTGGTGACCCTGCTGAAAAATCCAGCTTAAACCAGCCTAGGCTGGTTGGCTGGTTTTAGCTGGTCGACCAGCCTAATTTTAGAGGGGTTTTGGCCATTTCCAGGCTGGTTTCCAGCCTTTTCCAGCCTGGTTTAAGCTGGATATAGCTGGTTTTGGCTGGACTCCCAGCTGGGCTAGGCTGGTCAAGCTGGTTTCAGCTGGTCATCTCCCAGCCTGACCAGCTAAGACCAGGCTGGATTTTTCAGCAGGGGAGTCTTTGTATGGGAGTCGACTGCTTTAACAAGGTGGCTATCGCCTCTAACGTCTGTCGCTAGAGCACCTTTAAAAGTCAGAGAAGTTAGGTTTACCTGCATAGCATTTCGCTAGCTGGCCTCCATTACACTCATGCCCTAAACCTCACTCTCATCCCGGACGAGCCCCCATGTGTAACCTACCAGTCCTACTGCACCCATCCCGGCCTGAGCTGTGATCAAACCAGCAATTCTTTGCATTGGAGTCGGTTACTTTAACAAGGAGGCTCAAGACCATGGCCTCAAACGTCTGTCGCTAGAGCACCTTTAGAGGTCAGAGGAGTGAGGTTTATCTGCATAGCACTTCACTAGAACTCCATATAAAAGCCAGAAACATTTTTGCAGAGGCCTATCTGAAGGGTTAATGCTGCCAACCCATGATCAACAGTAAAAATGACATATTTGATCTCTTCCCAACAGACAAAACCACCAACAATCAAGAATGCATGTTTATATGCTGTCATGGCTTTGTAATAAAAAAATGTCAATATAATGGAATTCAATAGGGCAAAAACAGCCACCCACATGCTGTACCGAAAGGGTAAATTTGAACATTACAGAACAGTTAACGATGTTATTATAATAATATTACAATATAATACAGAACAGCATTAAAAAGTGATCGTAAAAACATTTATAATAATCATTATGACCTTTCTATTCATCAAGGAGTCCTAAATGTAAAAGGGAAATGTCTCACAGTAACCGGGAAAAGCAGCAGAGCATCATTTTGTAATGATTTTTGAAGAATCTGGGTACACATTCAGCTTTGCCATCAAAGGGATACATTTCATTTTTTAAAAGAACTATATTACAAATAGAAATACATTTAATAGAACATGATTAGTTTGAATTGTAATATTATTTTACAATAATTAAACAAAAGTTAAATACATAAATGCAGCCTTATAATGAGCATAAAAACCTCAAAAACAAATAAATTACTGGCATTAATAACAGTGTAAATACATATGATATATTATACATAAGTAAATATGTAATTATATAACCTAAATATTAAAAATGATCTAAAAATGTTGACAAACTAAACTTAAAACTAGAAAAACTCATACAGTGATAAGAAATTATGAATTTTAGCAATTTTGATAATGAGAAATGAATAAAACAAATATAGAAAATATTAAATAAAAACTAAGAAATAAACTAGATTCAAAACTATGTTACCCCGGGAATTTTGCTTGCTCACTATAGTTCGACGTAGTTCCTGATTTATCAGGGGTTGCCACAGTGGAATGAACCACCAGTTACTCTGTCATATGTTTTATGCAACGGATACCCTTCCAGCCACAGTGAATTTGATCTATTGCTTAAAGTGTTTAGTTGTGTTGTAAATGTGCTGTGATCTTTAGTTGTGTTATAAATGTGTTGGGGCGTTTTTTTTCTAGGTGTCATTGGCAGGCAGTGAGAGGCGCATCCTGCTGCAGAATCTGCTGCCTGACACTCGCTACAGTGTGCTGGTGACTGCTGAATACCGCAGCAGAGAGGGCGGCAGCGCCTCTGCACAGGGCAAGACCAGTGAGTCTCAATTGCAGACATACACACACACACATATTAATACATTATCTGTGGAATTAAAGTGTGTTCTGACCTGCTGTTCACTTAGGACTTCACTTTGCACTCTGCCTATTTTATTTAAAGTTACAGTTCAACACAAAAATGCATTACATTTTCATTCATTCATTCATTCATTCATTTTCTTTTCGGCTTAGTCCCTTTATTAATATGTGGTCTCCACAGCGGAATGAACCACCAACTTTTTCAGCATATGTTTTACACAGCGGATACCCTTCCAGCTCATTCACATTACTCATTCACACTACTCACATTCACATTGCTCATTCCATTACTTATTCACACACATACACTACGGACAATTAAGCTTACAAAAATTCACCTGTACCACATGTTTATGGACTTGTGGGGGAAACCGGAGCACAGCCGGAGAACATGCAAACTCCACACAGAAATGCCAACTGACCCAGCCGGGGCTCGAACCAGCAACCTTCTTGCTGTGAGGCATTTGTGCTATCCACTGCACCACTGCAAATTTATATTTCAAACATAAAAAAGTGCTGGACAAAAATTTATCGCGATTAATCGCATCCAAGAAGAAAAGTTTATTCAGACATACCTATGTGTATTGTGTGTAAATTTATTATCCATATATAAATAAACACGTGCGTTCACATTGTTAAGAAAATGTTTATTTATATTTAGATATAAAATATGGATATGATACAAATTTTTTATAAATTGAAATATCCATGTAACAAAATTGTTTTGTAAACATTTGTTTATTTGTATGTGTGTGTGTATCACATATACATAATTAATAAATAAAATACACACACATATATTTTTATTTTGGATAGGGTTATTCATAATTAAGCTTTGCCCAGCACTAAGCAAAAAATAATTACAGGCATGATTAGAAAGAAATTTTGTTTTCTTTGTTATAAAATAATACAATAAATGTGACAAATGAACAGAGACATGGAATTCTGAAATCTCCAAAAAAAGGAAATATTACAGGATGCTAGGTGTAATGTTCATGATGAAATTGTCTGTAAAACTCTCCTCTCTGACTAATACTATTTATGTCACTTTCCGATTTCTTTTACTCATCTTAGTTCTTTCTTTCCTGATATAGTCCACTATGCTGCCTCAAAATATATAGGGGACAGGTAATTGAGTGAGCACTTTGGACATGGTTTGTGTTTGTCTTTCTGCACATCAGCCAGTCTGCGGGTGAGCAGTGTAAGTGTGGTTCGCTCGGACCACTCCAGCATATGTGTGTCCTGGAGGCCCGTTCCAGCAGTCAGCGGATATCGCATAGTCATCCAGGCCCTCAGAGGTGGCAGCACTTAAATCAACCATCATAACAGTTTTTACTGTTTGTGCTGAACACACAGATTTTTTTTTACTTCTGCTTCTGTGTGTTTGTGTTTCAGAAAAGCAGACTAAAGAGGAGATGGTGGATGCTTCCAGCAGCAGTCACTGTTTCTCTGAGCTGCAGCCTGAAACCGTGTACCGAATCAGTGTTCATTCACGTCTGGGAGCCGTAGAGGGCGCTGCTGTCACCATTCTTCACCCCACAGGTCAGATACACAGCACTGATGTATGAAAATGACTGATGTGATGATTTGGTAAATAGTAACAGCATGTTATTCTCTATTAAAGCTACTGCTCCAGTGAGAGTTCAGGTTCCTCCTGGACTGCATCCCATTCAGAGAGAAGGTAAGAGTATATACAGTATAAAACTAAACAAGTATTAAACAACGGTTTTAAATATAAACAGCGTTTTCTTTTATGTTTTATCAAACCAAACTAGTTTATGGACAAGAGAGAAATGTAATTTTTAAGGGATCAAACTTACTTTACTTTCTACTTTCTTTAAACTTAACATGCTCCCTTTCTTTCTTTTTTTAGTGTGTCCTGAGATGACAGTCAGAAATTATGTGCTTAAAGGTATGGTCATATTTACATCTTATTTACATACAGTAAAAAGGGAAGTGAGTATTGTCAAGTATTGCCACGACTGCCCCATGTTCATGCAGTCTCTGAGAATGAAATCCATGTCCTTTGCGCTCCAAGCACCAGGGTCTATTGATGAACTAAGTTCTGTAGAGCAAATATGGCAGCAGTAGGGATTTAAGGAAGCAATGTTTATTTTGCTAGTGCACATTGTTAGTATTAAATTCAACCATTAATTGATGCAAGTTAATCCACTGAAATCGTTTTGGTCAATCTACCATTTGCTTCCTCTGAAATAGGAACTGATGATGTCAGTTTGACTGATTGGACAAAATAGGATTAGCCACGCCCCTTTAACTGTGAACAAAGTCCCTTTAAGGCAAGTCATTTCATACAGCTGCCATCTTTTAAACGCCTCTCGGGCATTCTGTCTGAATGGGAAAATATTAAATTCAAACTCCAAAACTGTTTGCCAAGCTTACGATTACATTAGATATTTGGAACTGTTACTAAAATTAAGCAACAACTGTCTCATATGTTTTGTTCCTAAACGTTCGAATCAAACAAAATCTGCCTATTTTCAGGTTGCTCGAACTAATTAGCATGCACATTTAAAAATAATGTGATAACAACACCAACTTCAGTTGATTGTCCGATAGCGCTGAAGTAATTCACAACTTGGTCTTGATGGTGAACCTCCTCCAGAAATAACAGCGACTCTTTGTTTACACATCTGTTTAGCTGTGCCTTTACTGAATGAGCACTGTGCTGCGTCCGACAGATTGCACTATTATGTTTTTCTCTTCTTCTTCATTCTTTTATATCACATTTTACCTGTTTTTATGTTTTTTAATCAGTTTTATTATTTGTTTTTATTTATTTATTTATTTATTTATTTATTTATTTATTTATTTTTACTATTTACTTTTATTCTTGTTTATGTAAAGCACTTTGAATTGCCACTGTGTATGAAATGTGCTATATAAATAAACTTGCCTTGCCTTGCCTTGCCTTGCCTTGCCTTGCCTTGCCTTACAAGATTGTGGGCATTTCAGTAGTTGCTGTCATGGGATGTCCATTTGACAAGACGGACTGTACGTCGAGTTCATTTAATAGATTACAAACCATTAAACCTTTGTTTTCAAGAGCACTTGGTTTATTTAAAAGTACATATTTCCAGCTTTATTCTGATATACTGTATTTCTCATGTCTGTAAAGCAAGTATTCGAGGAGATTCCAGTGTGTTTGCTGACCACCAACCTGTCGTAAAAGCACACGCCTGTTACAAGCTTCTCCGTCAGTCTATAGCGATTGATAATTGGCTCCTGTACTAATAGGCAGGGTTTCATTCGCCATATTGACCATTACACTTTTCCCCATTCCAAACTATACGAATGACACGTCTTGTGTATTCTATAGTCTTCAGCTATATTCTACAGTTTCAGTTGGAAATATGTCATCATAGTCATCATACTGAACTTGTGTTTATGCAACTTCTGTTTCATTTATTTTTATTTTTTTATTTAAAAATATGTTTTTTTAAAAACAACAGTATTTATTATACTTTTACACTTTTTTATATTTATAATTTTTACTTCTTAATTTCTTATTTTAATATAATATTATACAATTAAATATATTTTAGTATAATTTAAGTATAAATAATTTAATTTATTTGTTTATTTTTAATAATAGTAATACTAGATTTTTCAGATATATTTTTTAAATTAAATTATGCACTTTCTTCAGAATATTTTTAAAAAGTATATAACTTTATTATACTTTTTTACAAACACACACACTGGAGAACAAAATGGTAAAGTGTGTGTGCCTGTGTTTTGTAGGCTTCGACATGATGGAAGCGTTCGGTCTCACTCAGAGAGCTCACTCTACTATTGAAGGAGTAGCAGCTGAACCTTTCATCTTCAGCACTTTGCCAAGTTACACCCTTTACAGAGACGTACAGCTCACCCAGAGCACAGGGTAAACACAAACACACAAGCACACATAATCAAACATCTCAGTTTATACATCCATTGGTCACTGTTCAAACTCTGTGTATCTGTTTCAGCTTCATCCACCCAGCTGGCTTTTCTCCAGAGCACACCATCAGTATGGTCTTCAGGCTCCTGCAAGATTCACCCAGAGAGCCCTTCGCCCTCTGGCAGCTCACCGACAATGACTTCCAGCCCAAAATGGGGGTCGTGCTGGACCGTGAGTGCCTGGATATTTCCTAAACATTGAGGAGTGGTTCTAGATCAGTAGAATTGTAAATCCCATCATGTGTGCATCTGCAGTAGTCACAGTGTTAAACAGGAAGTTACACATTAGGTTAGGATCAGAAATTAAGCATGTACTTCACTTGGAATATATGAATTAATTACAAAGTTTAACAATAAAATAAAGCGAGGAAAAATGGGATAGTTTACCCCAAAATTAAAATACTTACTATTTACTCACGCTCAAGTGGTTTCAAACCTTTATGAGTTTCTTTCTTCTGTTGAACAAAAAGACCTTTTTAAAAAAATCTTTTTATTGTTTTAGCATAAAAAATAAACAATAACATAAACAGACAAAAAAAGATATAAAGGCCATTTCACAATACACAAACAGTCAGACACAACATAATACAATATCATCCAGAAAGCATAAGAGAAAAAATGTAATTAAATATGAAAAATTAATAATATACAAAGAAATGTGTAGGCTCCACAACTCGACATATGCCAAACTCCCACCTATAATGAGTTACAAGTCAGCATTACTGATGGAAAACATAATTTTGGTTCAGATTTTAAAAAATATGTTTAGTTCATTTGCCATCCAATATCACATTTCTTCCATGGGCAACACAAAACTGAAGCATGTAATCTGACTTTCAATTTTGTAAAATTATTTTCTTTGCTAATATCATACATAAAGATACTGCCTGTGATATGTATTTATCTCCAATTTTTCTCCTATCCAAAGATGTGACAGATCAATCCTATGTACTTCAGATATAAAATAAAAAACGTTCTAAAAATAAATACTAAAGTAACTAACTTTATGGCATGACCAGAATGAGTGAGTCAATGTACCTTCGAAGTTTTTACATTTATTGCACAATAAGGATACATTTGGGAAAATTGTATGTTATTTTACTTTTGAATAATGAAGTCTGTAGATAACTTTAAATTAAATCAGTCTGTGTCTCGCGTTGATAGAACAATCATGAATTTTGAAAATTTAATCTTCCCATGACTCGTCTGATATCTCTTCGTTAAGCTCCTTCTCCCACTCTTTCCTTATTGTATCAGTGTTTGAATTACCCTTGTCTAATAATAAGTTATAAAAAAAGAGACGATACCTTTTTGTATTAGGCTCTGTTTTTTTGTATTTTCAAGTGTCTGGTGTATAGTTATATTTTCAAAACCAGGAAAATTTTCCTAGTAAAATCCTTTATTTGTAAATATCTAAAAAAAAAAAAAAAAAAAGCTCAGAGGATTGAAGAATGTATTTAGATTTTAACTGACTAAATAAGCCAAATTATTTATTAGGTCTTTTATTTGTACTAATCCTTTTTCTTTCCAATATGAAAATGTTTTGTCTTGAGTTCCAGGAATAAAGGCATGATTTGACCTTATTGGGCAGTCCAAATAAGTATTTGGTAGACAGAGAAATAATGTAATCTGTTTCCATATTTTAAGTAAGTTATTTATCACAAAATTTTCATTATGAATTTTTGATTCAACTTTCATAAAAAAAAAAGGTAAAAAAAAATTTAAAAGAGGATGTTTAGTTTAAAAGCTGTAAACCTGCAACCACGGAGTTCCAGTAGAAAGAAAAAAAAAACAAATACTGTAGAAGTCAATGGCTACAGGTTAAAATGTCATCTTTTGTGTTCAATAGAAGAATGAATCTCAAAGAGGTAAAGGGTGAGTAAATGATGTCAGAGTTTTTATTTTCGAGTGAACTGTCCCTTTAAGCCTTAAAATTGCATTTAAGATTTTAAATGAACATTTTAAATTTTCACATATTCATTGCACTACATTGCACTGATTCACTTATTTGAACTGTACATACCCACTGCACATGGACATTTGTAATTATGTACGCACCCACTGTACATATACATTTGTAATTATGTTTATCTGTCTGCACACTTCTGATTATTAATAGCAACCTTAACATATATTAATTTATTGTAAATCTCTGTTCATAGCTAATACAACCTGTAAATAATGGTAATAGTACATCCAACTGTAAATATGACCATAGTTTTTCTATAACTGCACTTTATAACTTATACCTGCTTATATACGTTGTCTTGTACTTGTACATGTGTAATGACAATAAAGTTGAATCTAATCTAATTGTGTAAACATACCAATTGAATTTAAAACATTCAGGTACAAGAAATGACAATGTTTGCAATAGGGCTACGCAATTAATTAAAGTATAATTTTGATTTTGATATTGGCATCTAATGACTACAGTTTGAAGAAACAATCAAGATAAAATACCTTCGTTCCTCCTTTAAGCACAATTTCACCTGGATATTAGTGTATTAGGTGTATTAATATTTATAAACACAGGAAAGAGCCTTCTTAGTTCACATGTGTCAAAGCCAGTTCCTGGAGGGCTGCAGCTCTGAGCAGTTTAGTTCCAACCCTGCTTTAACACACTTAGCTGTAGAAACACAGACACCTGTAGAACCAACCTGAAGGACTCAATTAGCCTGATCAGGTGTGTTTAATTAGGGTTGAAACTAAACAGTGCAGAGCCCTGCTTTAACTGGCTTTGAGACCTGTGTTCTAGCTTAATGGTCAAATTAAACACGCATAAATAGCCAAATACATGCAAACATTTGTCAAAATTTGGCACTCAGTGATTATTCATATAAACCCTTGTGTGTTGTGTAAAGATTTGAGAATGAAAATGTATGTGTCATAGTAAATTGGCCCCGTGCAGCTCCTAAAGTGACATCAGGCTATATTCCTGCTGCCATCTGTGTTCATCATTATTAATCAAACAAGAAAAGACTAGGACAGTGATTTGTTCTTGCCTTTTGTTGTTTGATTAATAATGATTCTTTTGGACTTTTGTAGATTTAATATGAAACAATGCCTAAAGGGAATACTTAATTTAACTGAAATATACTTGGCTTAAAAAAAAAACATTTGTAGGCATATCTTTTTGTTTCATTTTATTTGGCCTTTGCTTTTGTTTTTATTATTTTCAATACTTTTGAAATTTCCATGGTCTCTAAATTGTATATTGGGTGTAATAGCAACCATTTTTAGAGAAATATATTTACTAGTATCTATAATCTAAAATCTAAAATCCCTAGTTTTAACAAGGACGAACTGTATTTAATTTTTACAATGCAAAACAATGCTTTTCTTACTTAGATTTTTCATCTTGTTTCTAGTCCAAATATCAAACAATTTTTAAATCAAGAAGACTTTTCTAGGCAAGTAAAACATATTGTCTTGTTTTTTTTTAAAAAAATGGCAAAATTAAATAGGTTTTTCCTTTAAACAAACAAAATTATCTGCCAATGGGGTAAGCAAAATAATTTTTTTTTTTTTTTTTGCCTAGAAAATTCTTCTTCATTTAAGAATTTTTAGATATTTGGACTTGAAACAAGACGAAAATCTAAGTAAGGAAAGCTTTTTTAAGTGTACAGTGAAGATTATGCAGTGTTATTTTACATCTCTGTACCTGAAAACATTTAAACTCCCAAGTAAAACGTTAATCAGTTTTTATTTAGTTTGTTTCTTTTTTCCTATTTATTTATTTATGTTTTTATTTTGTTAATTTAATAAATATTTTATACAGATGCACTCCTCTACAAAATCAGTTATTCTTTTTAAACAGAGATATTCAAATCATCTGGTGAAATTGTTTTCATTTCAAAATATAAGTCTCTAAGTTGTTTTCTTTTCTAATGTCTCAAGTTCATGAGCTTTTCCTTCTTTGTTTTGTTATGTAGCTGAGAAGAAAGTTCTACTGTATTTCAGTCTAGACTATAAAGGAGAGATCCAGGAACTGACCTTTGACCAGCCACAAGTCCACTCAATTTTCTATGGCAGCTTTCATAAGGTTTGTGAGATTTATGTATTTTTTCTCTGAGAAATTGTTCAGCTGACCTTCCAAAATAATAATTTTTTTTTGATAATTTTTTTTTTTTTTGAATTTTTTTTTGATAATTTCGGCACATTTTAAAGCATTTATCTATCAGTTTTTGTCTTTACACTTACCAAAGTTGAAATCAGAATGTACATTTATATTTTTAAATGTAATTACTGCATAAAAGTTTAAGTTAAAAGGCTCAGTCAAATTTAAAAAAGAATCGAGATGCAGCTGCCACTGATTCATCTTTTCTCTTTGTCTGATTTGATTGGCAGATCCATTTATCGGTCAGTCAGGTGAGTGTGTCACTGTCTGTGGATTGCCAGCGGGTAGGAGAAAGACCCGCACGGCCCTTGGGAACCTTGCCCACTGATGGCTTTGAGATGCTGGGCAAACTAGTGAAGACACGTGGACCTCACAGCGGATCTGCTGCAGTAAGTCTCACTTTATGACCAGAAATAGACTGATCATGAAGTTCAAATACCAAAAAAAACAAAAAACAAAGAGTATATGAACACTGTCATTCAAAGGTGTTTTTAATCATTTTTTTGCCTATTATGCTTATTAAGACTGAATTTAGTGTGTTTGATATTAAAGATAATAAAATTGCAAACCATAATTCAAATCTAGCAATATTTGGTTACACTTTATTTTTTTAACTACTGAATAAAATTAGGATGAGGGCTAGGGATATGTGCATGTAATTATGCATAACTAATTGTAATTAATTACTATATTGAATATATATGTCACCTAATATTTAAAAATATGTATTCCTATGATGGCAAAATGTTCACCCCTAGTCTTTAGTGTCACGTCATCCTTCAGAAATCATTATAATATGCTGATTTGCTGCTCAACAAAGAAAAGTGTCTTATTCCTATGCTTAATGTTTTCATTTTTTTTCTTTGATAAATACTGTTCAAAAATTGTAACATTAACTTATAACTTTAAAGCTATGTCTTTGCTAAATAAATGTTCATATTGTATTCCTATTATATTGTATTCATCTCCAGTTTCAGCTGCAGTCCTTTGAGATTGTGTGCAACACTACTTGGGCGTCAGAAGACAGCTGCTGTGATCTGCCCTCACAGGTACACCAAAAGTTGTGCTGACATCTTAGTATGAATGACTTCATATAGTACATGATGCTGTAAAGCTGCTGCTGCTGAATTTTGAGTGTCACTCTCTGTCCTCTAGAGAGATGAGGAGAGCTGTCCGGCCCCTGCTTATGCCTGCACTTGCACCACAGATGTCCCAGGATCACCTGGAGACACTGGGCCATCTGTGAGGCTACAACTCTGCTTTTTAAAACTAGCATTAACATTATAGAAAGCTTGTATTGGTATAATTAGTGCTGTAATAATTATTGGTGTAATGATATGCTTGTTCAGGGGAAACCTGGTGTTCGTGGTGAGAAGGGGGAGAAGGGAGAGGTGGGACAAAAGGTAAGGCACAGAAATAAATTAGAATAAAATAGACATTTTGCTATAAATAAAATTATTATCAGATAGATTAAACAATATATAAAGGTTTAGGGGAAACTGTATTCAAATAACGAGCAGATGAGCTGTTTTTTAAATATTTGCTGCTTAGTTAAAGGGCCATGAAACCCCCTCGTTTTAGCAGGGTGTTTTCACACCTCTACTTTGGAAAATGTCAGAAAAGTGGGCTTGTCCAGCTCTGTTTAGGGGGGAGTGTCGGAGGAACTAAAGTGGGAGAGTGTGGGAGTGTATTTGGGCACGCGCGAGTTTCAGTCAAAATACTCACACACAGGAGAAAGTGATTTTAAAAAGTGTTTAACCTACATGGACATCTGTAGTGGAATTATTTGCCAAATATTAAATGGTGGACTTTAACTGCAGTTTGGCTCTTTCATTCAGGGAATTAATTCATGTTACGGGGCAATAGTTAACTTAGTTCGATACGAACAAACTGAATAAACAAAGAGCACTAGTCGCTCACTTAACAAATCTGTAGAGACAGGACAATCACCAGCAACTAGAGCCGCGTTTTTATGAAGAGAAGACTATAAGCGAATCCGATCTCAGCGTTTGCAGATGAGAACAGCTCTCAGGTAAACAATAATGGCTCCACACGTGAGTCTGAGCTCTCACAGAGAGAAAAAGAAATAGAAACTTAACGGCAGCATACTATAAAAGCAACACTTCATGCTTGTTTTGCCAACACAACGTGGCATCTATGTCGTGTAAACACAGTAATGAATATTAATGAAGTTGCACAATAGAGCGCGCTGATTGGTTTGAACCAAGCCTTACTCATGCATTAATGCAACACACTGTAAGACGTAATAAGACTCACTCTGGCACAGACGCCCAGTCTGCACGCTGGAATACAGGCTATTATGTCATGACCGTGACGCAGCTTCAAAAATTCGTTTCAAACAGGAAGTACGAATTTGCTTGAAATAACGCAAAAACAACCAATTTGCACTTTTTAGTGAAATATAGGTGTCTTAATAGTGTTTTTAGCAGTGTGGGACACATATACGACTGTCAACAGCTCAAAAAATGTGTTTTGGTGTTTCGTGACCCTTTAAAATTGCATTCAGATAAAAAAAGTTACATTAAATGTTTCTGCAAATATTCAAAATAGAACAAGATTTTTTTTAGTATATAGTATATATAGTATACACTCCTAATATTTATTAGGATGCTGTGCTTCACTTGTTTTTTCGGACATCCTTCTTGTGTGCAGAGATGTGTTTGATGCAGTGCTCACACTGACTACCACAGACTGTACTAGTGAGCATTTAAATCCAGCCGTGTCACTTTTTACATGTATGTCTCTGACTGAATTTTCAAGAGTTCACACTTAGCTGACGATTGGTTATAAGCAAGTTTGGCATGCTGGGTCCTTGAGCCCTTGGCTTCCTCCTGTTAGCAGGGCAAGAGGGTAGCTTTGAGCTCAGGTAGATCTCAACGACTTCCCCTTTTTGATAAGAGCTGATGACTAAAATGATTGCTATAAAGAGATATGCTGCTGAATGAGAATTTGACTGTAGTGCTGTATTTAGATTGTTCAGTTCACTTGTAGTGCATGTTTTTGGAATGTGGGAGGGAACCGGAGAACCTGGGGGAAACCCATGCGAGCACGGGAAGAACATGCTAACTTCGCACAAAAACTACAGCCGGCCTGTTAAAGCACTAGAACCGGTAGCGTACTTGCTGTGAGGCAACAGTGCTAACCGCTGGGCCACCGTGCCGCTCCATGAAGTGAAAGGTGGAGAAGTATGGGTGGATGGGTGGATTCTTCAAATCAGAGATGACTGTAATGAGAAACCCTGGCTCTTTATGGTAGGTTGGGAATCGTCTGATTGGTGGATCATACATAGTTAATGCAGGACCAGTCGTGTTCAATCATAATCACGAGATCCTCTCGAAATTAAGCTACGGTCACACTAGAGTTTGTGTATGTAAAATTCTGTCGTACGGCGCTGCGAAAAGGGGCGGGATTAAACAAGATTATTAGACATTAAAAAAAGCGAGCGATTGCTCCATGTATTAAGTTTCTGTTCAGAGAGGTCATGTTTTAATCCTCGGTTGGTCTCACGCAGTCAAGTGATGCGATTTCCCAGGTCAGAATTCACCAAGCTTGAGCTTTGCACCGCAGCAACCTTCGAAATTGATGCCTGACCGCGCGTTTCCCGTCTGACGCATTTGCGTGCTTATGAATGGAAGTCTATGGGAGGAAAAGCCCTGTGTGACCGCAGCTTAAGTTTATAAATGAATGACACTTATATTGATTTGGTGGCCTGCAATATCAAGCAATGATGGATAGCCATGTGTGTGCATAAGGATCTGTCACAATCTTCACAAAATCATGAACATACTTGGTCATACAAACAAGAGTAAACAATAGCTTGAGTGCAAGGTGATAAACTTGCGGCCACCTTTTAGATTTGAACTGTATATGTTCTGCATGTAAAACAAGGATTGTATTCAGAAATAAAAGTACCAGAGCTGTAACTTGGGCATTACTAAATCAAGAGGTATACATTTGTACTGGTACTTTACACGTACGTATAATACAAAAAATTTCAGAGTACATTTTTTTTTCTTTTTAGGTACAAATATGTACTATAAAAGTATATTTACTATAATGTATCAATATGGACCATTTATGTGTAAATGTGTACCTTTTGAAAGGGTACCACCCCAGTGACAGTTCTAATACCTTTATTTTGGAGAATGTACTAAAAGTTCTGTATCAAAACTGTCTGGTAGGAATTAATGTATTGTTTTACCTCTAGAACCTACAATCCTTCAGTTAACTACTAAGCCATACTGTCTGTTTAGAGTGCCTGTTATCTGTCTTGTTTATGTGTTTCTGTGCGTTCTCTGCATCTCTTTAGGGTGAGGTAGGCCCTCCTGGTAAATCAGGCCCTGAGGGTGGCTTTGGTGCTCTTGGACCTGCTGGTCCTCGTGGAATAGCTGTAATGGGTAAAATGGTAGGTTTACACTTGTTCTATAGAAACAAACAATCTAATGTGTATAAACATTTAAGATATACTCAGACCCTCTCTCTTTTCATTATAAGGGTCCACCAGGAGCAAGAGGAGAAAAAGGAGATATTGGAAGGCCTGGGAGTCAGGTGAGTTTTGGGTTAATGGCTATGACTGGTCATTTTAGGAATGTTTCTGCAGCAAGTCTAATTTTAGGCATATCTTTGTGTTTTAAGGGTTTACCAGGGCCTCCTGGTCAAAAAGGTGGAGAAGGCAATCCTGGTCCAAAGGCAAGTCTCTGTGTGGCTTTAGGCAGCCATTGTGTTTGAGATGTTCAGTCTGTCATTAATTTTTCTGTCTGTAAATGTAGGGCACTAGAGGAGTGGAGGGTAACATCGGACCCCCAGGCATTACAGGACCAAGAGTAAAAGCATTTTTGTTTTCATATAATATATGATTTGCATTTTGATTACATTTTTATTAACATCTTTGTCTACATTTTGTAGGGGTTACAGGGTATGCCTGGACATCCAGGACCAGTGGGAGACAGAGGACCACTCGGCCCTGTAGGGCCCACTGTGAGTAAAACTTTTGCTCTTTGGCCATGTGCAAAGTACACAGGTTTAGTAGATATAACTGCATTAAGAGAAATAGGACAACCCTTTAGACCATGCACTGGACACCCCAAACTATTTTTCCCATCTTTAAAATAGCAAAAGTGGGTTCGGACATGCCCTAAGTGCACTTAAGACCATGCACTTAGATCATTAAAATAGAGCCAAATGGCTTTTATTTACATGCAATTTTGCTAAGTTCACATGTTATATGAATTCATGTGCTTGTATTTTTTTGGCTTGGCGCATAAAAAAAAGACAAAAATATTGAGACCCACATCCTCAGACTGTATTAACCCCCTTAAAATGGATCCATTACTACACACTAGTTAGGACTAAAAATGTTGTTGCTGGAGATTTAAACTAAAACGTCAACAAAGGTGTCCTGTGTTGCCATGTCCAATCATTATCCACGCAAGCATCTTTACAGATAAGAGATGCTTTACTTTAGTAGTTTCTTAATTTTAAGATTTAATGCTATTATTAATTTAAACTAGCTTGTTGTAGGTTAAAACATTTGTGCTCTTTTGTTTTTCTAGCAAGATCTGGTAATACTGATAAAAACATCCCTCATTTATTGTGATGTCTTGCACTGTGAAAACAGAAGAAAGGGCCAGCCCTGATAAACAATTTAATGTTTCATCTAGCTGTTTATTTAGAAGGCTTCTGTACACACTGTACTGAATTTTGTGAAAGTAGTAGAGAATTTTTTGTTTATATAATTTTAAAAAATGATGTAGAAATTGGTAAATCACATGTTATTTTTCCCTTTTCAAAGGGTCTTCCTGGAAGTAAAGGTGAACGAGGAGAGAAGGTGTGTTACAAAATGGCATGTCTAAGGAATACAAACCTTAAAAGAGGTAGTTTTGTTTCGTTGGTTTTAATTCTCTTTCTGTTTATTAGGGCGAGCCACAGTCTCTTGCAATGATCTACCAGCTTGTTTCACAGGCCTGTGAAAAGCTTGTCCACAGTATGTACTACATTACCTACATCCATTTTAATTACAGTAAAGCAGAATTTAAAAGCATCTTTAAATGTAAATCTTGGCCTGAGTAAGAGCCCTTCAATTATCAATTGTGTTATCTTAATTAATTGTGTTCTAGATGAAGTGCTGAAGATGGATGCTTTTCTAAACGAGCTGAATCGGAAGCCAGTGCCCATCCAGGAGCCAGTAGCACCTCCCGGAGAGCCGGGCATACCAGGGGGAAGAGGGGCACCCGGACCCCGGGGCCCTCAGGGTCGACTGGGAAGCAGAGGGATGCCTGGGAAACCTGGTTATCCTGGAGAGCAAGGTAACCCTTGATACTTGCATTTCTTTGGAGATGCAGGCAAACTCTGATGGTTTTTTACTTGTATCATGTAAGTAATTCTGGGATTAACATCTAGGACGCAGAGGCATGGCTGGTGAGAAGGGCTCTCCCGGAGCAAATGCAGTGGGACCACAGGGAATGAAGGGTTTTGGAGGTAAAAATGTCTTGTATATCACATAGCTGTCTTCACTTTTTTATTTTTTATTATTAGTTTAACATTTTTAGATTTTCCTGTAACAAATGTGACAAAAACATTGCACATTTCTATCATCTTAATCTGTATTTTATCTCATTTTGTAACAAATTTCTTACCATATTTAAACAATATAGCGCTCAGATGCACAATTGCATTGTAGTAATATTGTTTGAAATGTTAAGTACAATTTTTATTTATTTTTTTATTTGTAAGTTTCTTTAAGTTTTAAGTCCTCTGCTAACCAAGACTGCATTTATTTGAAAATGAATTAATAAGTTAGTTATATTTGAAAAGCATGCTTTTGGGGCGATTCTGTGACTTATTTGGAATAAAAATAATATGTAATACTTCCATCCTGAATTGATATATTAATTTCTTCTTGTTTTTTATTATTATACTTTTTATTATTATTTTTATAAATGATTAGAAATGTAATGAAATATAATGAATTGTAGGATTACAAGAAAACGTGCTTTTCATTTACATCATTTAGCTTCTACACAATTAATGGCTCTCATGTAGAAAGCATTCATATGCACATTTGTCTAAGATCATACTCCAAAAATTCACAGAAATAATGAAATACACAAGCAAACAATAGTTCACTAAAAACATCTCTACTAAAAATTATTGAATGGTTTTGAAATGTTTTAAAATATAGTAACAATGTGAAACCCACATGCACACAAAATATTTTTTTTTATCTTATCACCATTACATACTGTATATACAGTATTCAGTATATAAAACATATTGTCAATACAAAATGTGGATTTCATTGATTTATTATGTATTAATTATTTTATGTATTTTGTATATAGTTACAAATTTTCTTAATACTGATAATTAAATCCATGTTCAATGTTTCTTTACATACATTCAGTTGCAAGTTTTCTTTAAATATACCTACACAGAAATACATTCTAGTTGACATCTAGTAATTGATAGATCTGTGATCTGTAATCAATGAAAGCTGTTTGGGTAGTCTATAGCAGGGGTGTCCAAACTCGTTCCTAGGGGGCAGGTGTCCTGCAGGTTTTAACTCCAACTTGCCTCAAAACTCCTGCCTGGATGTTTCTAGAAAGTCTAGTAAGAGCTTGATTAGCTAGCCCAAGTATCTCTGATTGGGGTTTGAACTAAACTTTTGCAGGACATCTGAACTCTAGGACCGAGTTTGGCCACCCCTGGTTTAAAGAATGGCACACGTCATTGCCCTTGCTCGAGAGTATCTCAACTGGGCATGTGCTGTTGAAAATGTTTTTCATCACTTGTTTTCCTGTCCATGAAGAATATCCACTCTTTTATTACTGAGTGAGACCTGATGTATTTCTAGTATTTTAAGTGCTAACTAAGTGTGCCTTCATTTATTTCCACTTCACCAGGACCTCCAGGTGAAGCTAAAATAGGGGAACCAGGTCCCAAAGGTGAGGATGGTAAAGCAGGACCTACAGGTATTCCTGGAGCTGCAGGTCAACAGGGAGAAATGGGACCCTCGGGTGTTTGTGACAGCAGTGGATGTTATCAAGGGCCTCCTGCAGGTGAAAAAAAAAGCTATCCCAGATATTATTAAAGGTCCAGTGAAGTGCTTTGAAATGTGCATTTTTATTAACAGTGTGACATAATCTCAACTGAAACAGGAACACAGGGCGGGACATAGAGTAGCCCCTTTTCCCCTTTTCAAAAACAGCCAATAGCATTTTGTTTGCATCATATCTCTGCTAATCAGAGCTGTTGAGCTCATGCTCATCAGACTCATGACAGAATATAATAGTAATACTGAGTCTGACTCACTCTTACTCTACGTTAAAATAGTTTTCTGCGTGATTTAAGTGGATTGAAGCGGTTCTCATCACATTAACATGAAAGCAGACTTCATGCACCCTAAAGGAAATCATATTTACGCTGTCTGTATCCCTATATGGTACTATTCACCAAGTAAAACTGGATTTTAAATCTTTGTTAAATCTCTTCAGATCTCTTGCTGAGTTTGTAGGTGTGTGTGTGAATAAATGACCAATTTCAGCAGCAACAAAAACGTCTTAAAGGGAGTGGGACATAGCAAATACTAGAGAGCTTTGATTGGTCAGATATAATGAAAAAATGAGATGACATCAAAAAATATCCATTGATTAATTTTGCAGACTTCTGTGATTATAATTTGATGATGTGATTTTTGTCAGTGATTTGGAGCAGACTAAATTACTAGATTATGTATGTTAAGACTAACATACTAATACTAACACCTACAAAACTTTGAAAACCATTCATGTTTGACCTGTGGGTGTAATGACTTGTTTTTATTTTCCAGAAGATCCATACCTCGGGTACCGTCCTTGAGTTGAGAAGTTACTGTTAGACTTGAGCACTGCCAGAATCCTCTCTCTCTCCTCAGACTTTGTAGAAAGACACTGTGAGACAGAACGGATGAAGAGATTCTGATGGACGTTGACTTTGAGCGAGCCTGTTGATGGACTCTTCTAACCGTATTTTCTCCAAGTGGAGGCTGATTTCGCCTCAATACACCCCTTCTGAGATCAGCAAAGCACTGATCATCCTTGAACATGTCAGTGTTCTTTAGAATTCAACCTGGACTGCTGCTACGAGACAACAGCAGATTCACAGGCTGAACATCATCTGCAGGAGCCCAGAGGAGCTCACAACACACACAAAGCTGTTTTTTTTTTTTTTTTTTACCTAGACTGGTATTTTGGTGTCCAGACAAGGAACCGGTGTGTTACTGAACATTACCAAAGATCCGCACTAAGAATGATTCTAATATTTTTCTTTGATGTATTTTATTGTATTTAATGCACTGTATGTGTTTTTATATGTAAGTTGTTGAAGGCTTGTTAATTTCAATGTTTTTCATTCCAGTTTCCTGAACTCCTCCTTTTGGGTTTTTGCATCAAGAATTGTTTTAAAATATGAAATAAGCAATATTGTGCAAAAGCAATACAGTTAAATAAGAAACACACTGTGATGTTATATTGTCTTTTTTAAGTATGCAGGAGTGCTGTCAATAGTATTTTATTGGATTATACTAAGTTGTGTTCTGTTTTTTATGCTAATACATTTTTATGTAAAACCTGTATAAAATGAAAACTGACTCACGTGAGATCTGTGCTTCTGTGACAAGGAAATGGCTCCAAATATCTGCAAAATTATAATGAAACCATCACATTAATCAGTATTTATAACAAAATGCTTTTTTCACAAGCAGTATGTCAGTGTGTAAGCAGCAGTGAAATCATTCAGCTCAAGTCAGATTATTTTCATGAAACTTTAAATGACGCCTTTATATTTTTAATACATTCATATGACTTGGACAAATACAAATAAACAAATAATTAAATTTAAAATATTAAATAAACAAAATGGCAAAAGAATAGTATATAGGAATGGTTTATTTATAGGAATATCATTTAATCCTTAATTGTCAGAGGGTGCTACTAGGAAACAATATTGCAAAGAATGACCATTTCCACTTTGTTGTATTCCCGAATGTGCCTTTAATTGGTTGATTACTTTCAAATGTTGTTTTTCAATTCACATCTTTGCAATATTTCCATGGTAGAAAACTAACAACTTGTAATTTCTTAAGGATGTCATTCCAATGGAAAGAGTCCGCACACAAATACCTTACAGAAATATGCTTGGTCAACATTTTGTAATTCTAATGGGTTGTGTTGTAAATGTGGACACTAGTCATCATTTACTCTTCCTCTGCTGTGATATTCTTTTATCTGTTAAACACAAAATAAAGTATCTTAAAGAATATTGGAATCCAGTAACTTCTGACTTAAATAGTTTTTTCACACTGTGGATTTCCTGGTTTGAAACCATTAAAAAAAAAGTGAGTAAATATTCTGTTGTGTGTTTGTGTGTGAAAACTCTTTCAACTAACTAGAAATGTAACATTTGTAGGCAAACTTCATGGTGTTTTGAGAAAGCCCAGTCTGAAAGTTTGGAGTAGTTTCGAAGTTTAAATAACTGAAGTAGTTTTTAAGAAGTTTGACAGTTGGCATAGTTAGATAACTACATGTTAGCATGTTTCTATCAATGCTAAGGTGTTACTAGGTGTTTGCTAGGGTTTTTAGGTGGTTGTTAGGGTGTTCTAAGTGGTTGCTAGGGTATTGCTAGATAGTTGCAACAATGTTCCGAGTGACTGCTGGCAGTTGCTAAAGTTACGCTAGGGTGTTCTGTTATAGTTAAGGCGTTGCTAGGCAGTTGTTCTGAGTGGTTACTAAGGCATTGCTAACATAAATTAGCATGGTTCTAGTATGAATTACCATGTTGCTGGCATGTTTCTAGTAACTAGCATGTTGTTTTGCAATGTTGCTAGCATATATTTTTCTAGTATAAGCTAGCGTGATTCTGGTATGAATTATGTTGCAAATGTTTATAATATAAGGATTAGTATGATTCTAGTAAGAATTGTATGTCGTTAGTATGTTTATAGATTAGTATGTTTCTAGTATGGATTAGTATGTTTTTAAGATTAGTATATATTTAGTACAGATTGCTATGTCGAAATATGTTTCTAGTATAGATTATGTTTCTAGTATGAATTGTCGTTAGTATGTTTCTAGTATATTGCTAGCATACATTGGTTTATTCTCATTATGTCTAATGTAAAGTCAATGGCAGATTTTTACAAAATAAGGCAATGGGACAGTTGCTACCGTACGGCTATAAGATGAAAAGGTGATCAGTGATTGTCAGATTGGTAGTCTGAGTTGAGCCTGTATGACAGTCTGGTGCAAAGTTACAAACTGGTCACAAACTTTGGTCCAATATTAAGTCAATGGGACTTTTTCCGTGTCAGATTTTGGAAAATCCTCTATGTAGTATAACAGTATGTTGGCTTTCTCAACTTCCATCATAAATATTCTGCGATCTGCTCCGGAACCAAAGGATGGAGCTCCTGATTTCCACGGACAGCAAATCTGATGTAAACATCCGGTGTTTACTATAGACGCCAACATGGCGAGCCGCAGAAGTAATGCGAAGAGTCGGGACAAACCTGACAAATATTCTGTCCTTCTGCCGACTTACAATGAGCGAGAAAACCTCCCGTTGATCGTCTGGTTGCTGGTGAAGTATTTCGGCGAAAGGTAATTGCGAAACCTGAATAAAACCAGCTGTCAGCTTGTAGAAGTCCTAATGATGAGCTGTCAGTGACGTCACGCTAGAAGAGGAACTGTAATTTTTTTTATCGGTTTTAAGTGCTCATTTATTTCATTAATGCAGTGGCTACAACTATGAGATCATAGTCATCGATGATGGCAGTCCAGACGGAACACTGCAGATCGCCGAGCAGCTGCAGAAGATTTACGGCGCGGATAAAATTGTGAGTTATGCATTATTATACACACCACATGATTGATATCTCGTCGGATAAGTAATTAAATAAAGCTGGTATTTTTATTCTTTTCAGCTCCTGAGACCGCGAGCAGAAAAGCTGGGATTAGGTAAACTGGCTCATTATGCTAAATAATCATTTTATTAATGCTTCTTAAATAAATAGTTAATCCTTAGGTCATCCAAGTTGTAACAAAAACAGGAGTGAGCAACACCGACATTTTAAAAGTGCCCAAAAAAACATATACAGGAAAAACAAAATCTGAATATCTGTGTCTCCTGAATCTTCAGAAGTGAAACAATTGCAAGAAACTGAACATTATTAAGTTTTTAATATTGCCTGTATGACAACATTATGAATTGGCAACATTATTAATTATGAAGGTCTTAAAATGTATTTAATGTTTTGCTGAATATGAAAAGTGACCCAAATTGTCTTATGGTGTGTAAAAAATGAATAGTAACTGGTTATTTTTCAGCTAAAATATGTGTGCTGTAGCAGTATTGACGTTAATTAATTATTTTATTATTAATTAATTAGTAATTGACGTTTATGTCATTTCAGGTACTGCCTACATCCACGGCATTAAACATGCAACAGGAAACTTCGTTATCATAATGGATGCAGATCTGTCACATCATGTAAGCATTCATCAATTAGTTGCATACTGTGTGTTTTGTACCTTTTTGAGTAAATTGCATGCAGGGTTTACATGGCCATGAAAAAATGGACATATTTAGAAAAGCCATTGAAATGAATGTTGCTGAATGTCTTATGATGAACATGTGCCTTTAATATATTTAATGTTTTTACTTGTGGCAAAAGGGTTTCAATAGAATTAAAGTGATTCATAGTTATAACGACTTATAATGAGTTAGAATTAGGAGCCATCTCATGGGAATGATTTGTGTGTGTTTCTGCTTGTATCAAGTGAAGCCTTTAGGAGCATTCATGTATGTGTTTTTTCTTCTCCTTCACAGCCAAAGTTTATCCCACAGTTCATTGAGTAAGTGATTTCTAATTCATTTATCCTTGCTTCTGCTTTTAAAGAACTGCTCTTTATTCTGTGTAATGTAGTTTTGCAGTAATAGCATTATTACAAGCCTATGAGTAACTTCCACAAATTTGATATTTGTTCAGAAAACAGAAAGAAGGTGGATATGACCTGGTGTCTGGCACAAGGTACAGAGGAGATGGTGGTGTGTATGGATGGGATCTGCGGCGAAAACTCATCAGGTATAGGACTGGCAACTTTAGCTGAATGAGCAACTCCAATGAATAATATTAATAATAGGCAAATAAGATGTATTTTGTCATCTTTAGATCTATGTTATGGCTGCTTGATTATGTAAAAGAAATCGTTATCATGATTTCTTTGGTCCAAATTGTCATTGAAATGATTTTTTATTTAGATATATATATATATATATATATATTTTTTTTTTTTTTTCTTTTTATGTTTTATTATTGGAGATCATTTTACACATCATGAAATTTCACAATTCACAAGTAGATATGGTGCAATAATAATTTTCTCAATAATTTTAATATTATAATCATTGGAAGCCAAAATCAAAATTTATTTCGATTAATTGGGTAGCTGTTGTCCAGGGGTGCCCAATCCTATTCTTGGAGATCTGCCTTTCTGGAGAGTTCAGTGCCAACCCTGATCAAAATCAACTAAACCGACTAAGTAGGATCTGAAGAAGCACTTGGTAGTTAAAGAAGGTGTGTTTAATCAAGATTGCAGCAGAACTCTGCAGGAAGGTAGATCTCCAGGAACAGGATTGGGAAACTCTACCCTAGTCTGTGGCCCAATTTCTGTAAACTAGATAAAGGTACATACAAGTATAAATGCACAAGTGTTGGTTTAAAAAATAAGGACAAACACAATTTGAGCTTGTACACTTTCAACTTTTTTTTATTTATTATTGTGGTCAAACGCATTAAAGCAGCCATTAACACAGCTGTTATAGGGTATGCGGACAGAAAGCGCAATAAAACAAGTCATTCATGCTTCTCTCCGCTGTGTCAAAACATCAAAATACAATAAAAAATCTAGTTTTCACATTCTTTTCATTTTCTTGCTCTTCCACCTGCACAAAAGCTGTAGAACATTGGTTAGTTCATTCAGAAGTACTTGCAATAGTGATGTAGAAAGTGTCTGTAAGGAAAGGTCGTAGTGAAATTCACTTACAGCACATGTGGTCACGCAAGCGATGCATCCAAATACTTGTAAATGTCAGTTTGATATGGCAATGTCAACCGACCACTCAGAATAAATAAAAACAGGGCTTAGATTATTCCATGGCACATATACTCTCACATTTTGTGGTACTATATTACTTGGTTGATATAACTTTTTTTTGTTTTAGTCGAGGGGCAAACTTTGTAACACAAGTTCTGCTCAGACCAGGAGCGTCTGATCTTACTGGGAGTTTTAGGTGAGGCATGTTTATAAAGAAATCAGTCTTATTACTTCTCATAAACTGTATTGTCATTATAAATAACGTGTTCTTTGTTTTAGGCTCTATAAGAAAGAGGTTCTGGAAAAACTAGTGGAGCAGTGTGTGTCAAAAGGCTATGTGTTCCAGATGGAGATGATTGTCCGGGCCAGACAACTGGGCTATACAATTGGAGAGGTCAGCACATCTCTTTCCACATTTCCTATGAATGCAGTTATTGCCAGTTATTTAAAAAATGGTTTAGATATATTTGTGTAATACTTGGACTATAGTGGCATTTTGCTCTGGGTAGTTACTGAAACTAACTGCTAGGCCCTGTTCATCGAAAACGTATTTCCCCACTGCCAGCAGGAAATCTAAGGTGATGTAAGCCATGCTGACAGTGACATCAAAATAACAAAGATGTTTCATGATAATGCAGATTATGTCAAGGCTTTTATATCAAAGTTGATATTTGGTCGCATCATATTGGTGTTTGGAAACATCTAGTTTTTAGGATATGAATTGTTAGCTCAATGCTCAACCCCCAATCTGAAGGATCAGGACATACACGCATACACTACAGACAAATTACCTTACCCAATTCACCTACAGCACGTGTTTGGACTGTGGGGGAAACCCACACGAACATGAGGAGAACATGCAAACTCCACTCAGAAATGCCAACTGACTTAGCCGAGACTGAAACTAGCGACCTTGCTGTGAAGTGGCAGCACTAACCACTGTACCACCGTGTTGCCCATATTATGTGAATGTGTATTCAAATTCTCTGCCAGGGTTTACATCACTGTAGCTGCTATTTTGATGGATTACACCCTGATCTAATCCAGGAGCTAATTTAGTCCAATAAAACAGTGTTGTTTAACTTAAATCATTCCCAGTTCCTACAGTGCGAACACTCCAGAAACCATGTTATGGTTCTAGGAACTGTGAAAAAGTGTAAAAGCC